ACCAGCATCCATCGCTGCCGCCGCAGCAAGAGAATGTTAAATCACTGACAGGATACGGCGTGTGCTATGTGTCACACAGTGGTGCGTCAATCAAGCAGGCCTCTGAATCCAATGAATGAATCTGAATAATCACTCCTACAGCCACTATGCAAAGCAATCGTCTGACTCCACTGACTGAATCGCTCTCACTTCCCACAGCCAACATGCAACATGAGTGGCCGGCTGCGATTGTTTTCAGACACCTTTGGCGTCAGGTTGTTAATCACACATAGGTGCACACTTCGTGTGCAAATTTGCAACTTCCTCACGCGTGTGCGTGCCATTGTAACACATGCAGGACGACATTGGCGCCCTTCACGGGCAAATACCAACACAGAGTCTCCTGCATAGCTCTGCACTTGTCAGAGACATGCCCATGCAGACAAACTGCAAACATCAGGGACGACCATTGGCAACCTTGACCGCCAACAGCCACGACAAATCTGCCGTGCTCAGTTTCCCAGCTTGCTGCATGATGCGACGGCGTTTTTTCTCCTGCGCCCGGCACAGACAATTTGCTGCAAACAAGCTAGCATTGATCAAGACAGGACATTATACCATGTCTGATGGCCACCAGTCTATGTCCTGGCTCTTCACCTCTCGGGTTGCTTGCGCCAACTGCCGCTTCAGTGCCTGTCGCGCTGCTTTCAAATCTGCCAAACGGTCTGCCGGCGGCGCAACGGCCGCAACATCAGCAGGTGCTGCTTCTGACGACATGGCTTCGCAGCAAGTGCGTCAAGGTGAGGGTCACCCAGGGCAAGTTCCTTCTGGCCAAAAGCTTGCAGAGTCTTCTGACAGTTGCTTCAGGGTTGCACGCTGCAAGCACATGCTTGCAAAGAGATGACACTAACACTAGCCTACACGGGGAACCCAAAAATGGGGGCTGGGATTATGCATAGAACTCGGCTTCCACAAGCTGGACCCTAATAGTATGTATGGTGTATGTAGGTAATGTATGTATGTCTGTATGTTATGTATGTAGTATGTAGTATGTAGGATGTATGTATGTATGTAGTATGTATGTATGTAGTATGTTGTTGTATGATGTATGATGTATGTATGTTGTATGTATTGTCTTAGTATGTATGTATGTATGTATGTATGTATGTAGTAGTATGTATGTATGTAGTAGTCTGTATGTATGTATGTATTATGGATGTATGTATGTATGTAGTATTTGTATGATGTAGGTATGGTATGATGGTAGTATGTATGTAATGTATGTAATGTATGTAATGTATGTAATGTATGTAATGTATGTAATGTATGTAATGTATGTAATGTATGTATGTATGTATGTATATATATATATACATACACATGTATGTGAATATATATATATATATAAACAATCATATTTATATGTATATATATATATACATATACATATCTAAGGATGTAATATGTGATTATGTCATATGATGATTGATATTGATATTGATATAATATATACATTCATTTGTTCACATGCAGTGCAAAGAAATGGGTTGGAACGTGGTTTTGAAACCTTCGCAAAGCTCATGGCAATCCAAGTCTCAAAACTGATACCGAGGTGGGAAACGACGACGCGCAGTGCGGACGTGAGCCGCTTTAAAGCGAAAACGGTGGGCAGACGTGACGGCAGAACTTGGGGCATTTGGGTATGGCTCCAATTTATGGCAATTCGAATGAGGAAAATCATGATAAACAGTGTTTTTTTTTTTTAAAGAGTGTCTTCATTAGAACTTATCTAAATTTAAAACGGTTGAATTTGAGGTTTCTAGTGGTGCACGCGGAATGCCTGACAGTTAGGTTGACGGAGAGATCGACGGTCAGGTTGCCGGTCCGTCCACGTGTCCGTCAAGGTGTCCGTCGACCTCTCCGTCAAACTCACCGTCATGAGTCACCGTCAAACGCAACCGTCTAGTTTTTGAGGTGTGACTAGAGCATACGTTTCAAATTTAGCTAAATTAGAACCAAATTCTTGACATGTACCCACTTGATGTGTAGCCAGTCAAAGGAGCTTTAGTGGGTTTCAAGTGACTCGGCCATTTTCGCCTCAGTGTTGGGGGACTGGGACAAAAGGCCTAAGGTATGCGTACAAGTTGAAAGAGAGCAAGAACTTCATCATTTGACTACCACCCAAAATTTTCACTTCCTAATACACATTCACTTATATATATACATATATATACATATATATACATATATATACATATATATACATATATATACATATATATACATATATATATACATACACACATCTAGATCTAGATATAGATATGGATATGCATATGGATAGAGACATACGCATATGATGTATTTAGGCACCCCCACATGCACATTACATACAGCATAGCATGGAAACCAACAGTTTTCCGCAATCAACGAGTCCGTGCTTCCGTCGTCTCCACCTGAAAAACGGACACATGCAGACTGTCGTGTTGCTCTGTCCCATGCATTCCTGGCCTTTTGAGCTCAAATTGGGTGTGGCAGTAACAGGTGAATCATACTATATATTATTATGTATATTTATGTAGTATATAATAATATACAGTATATATATATGTATATATATATATACACATAGACTCTTGGTGTCCGGTCCTTTCCATCAAGTCCGGTGTTGTTCCAAAAGAGCGTTGCACTTCCAGGACAAATAGCTTCCAGCTCTCAAAGCAGAACTCCAAACCCATGAATTTCAGACATGGTGGTTATGTTGGTCATGTTTTGATGTTTTCCATCAGAAACCGCAGCCAGATAGGCCGATAGGCTGGGGCCAAAGATTCGCCCCTTGCCCGAGCTCGCTATGCGAGATGAAAGCCCGAAGACCTGTCCACCCATGCAGGATGGGTCGTGGTCGGAAAATTGGGTTGGGAGATGTTGGGAGACACACTGTCCGGAGGCAGCTTCTGAGATGAACCCAACAGCTGACTCTGCTTGTGTTTCTCGTGTTTTTTTCCATACATTTGCGTGCATAGAGATACCATGAAAATGATTCAATCCGCAAGCCGTGACGTAATGCTACAGGAAGCCTCCACAAGATCGCTAATATCAATTTGGGATCTAAAATGTCCTCAGCTACTATACAACTGTGAAACTGCATCAGGACCTGGGCTTGTCTCAAGACTTGATGAGAGCAATTCGGCATCTCGGCACAAGGGGTTGAATGGAGGCGCAATGATGGGCAACCCATGCGGGTTCCTCAATAGGAGGTGATAGTGCAGTATAAGAACGGCCAGATTCCAGTCGCAGCAGAACCCTGTGTCTGTGCGGGTGTCTAAGGCTCAAATACCAAGTTCTCATACAGCTTTCGGTGCTTTTGTGGAAGCTCCTCATTTTAGGAGGGAACCCATATTTCAAGGGTGTAGAACACCGTCTCTTGATCTATACCTGGTAGGTTTATGGGAGCCAAGCTTCAAAATTCCCAAATCCCCAGAGTTGGGCCAAGATTAGTCTTCAATCAAACAATATTTAGAGTTAAAAAACAGATATAAACATATCAAATTCACGATTTTCCAGTTCAAAGCTTCACTCCATACTAATTCAGTATTATTATGGTTCTACAACCAACCATGGGTCTTTCATGGGCCGTGGACAAGGAGCCTCTACGAGACGCGGCGTCTGCAGGATGCACGCTCGGATCAGCGGAGGGGGCAGCTGCTCCGACCTGTGCGCGCCTTGCGAGCCACGGCAGGCTTTGCCTATTTCCACGAAGGCACGCGTACGTAGCGACGTAGCGACGTAGCGTGCGATGGCACGGTGCTGGGTATCCAACGGTCTGAACCAAAGGAAGGGGGAACACATGGGAAAACTGGCTAATTTGATGGCTGAGCCTGGTCACTTGAGATTTGGGAATTTGGGGAACGTTGAGCAAAATCCTAATTGTGGGCCATCGCCGCTGCTGCTAGGTGAGGATTGGAATGCCAAGATCAGGCCGATCTGCCTTTGGTTTTGCCAAACAGTGACGAAATTGACGAAATCGGTGGTTTCGGACCAGACCCAGACGCTAAATCAACTGATACCTTTGCCTTTATAGTCATCGATGCCCTTGGCAAACCTGGTCTCAGGTCCTTCGATGGTATTGCTTCCATGCCCCTGACCTCACACAAGAGTCAGAGCAGGCATCGGCTCTTCGATCTGAGCCAGCTATGTCAGCTATGTACCGAAAGCAGAATCTGGAATTGAGATGAATTAAGCAGAATGTGACTCCAAACAGGCTGTGGCTCCAATTTCGACCAACATCGGATTCATCGTGGAATCATGAAGAAACATCATATCAAACAGGCCGTCCTCAGCGCCGCGCGCCGGTGGACCACCTGGCATTCCGAGGACACCACGGAGGCGTTTCCCTTTAGCCCCTTGCATCATCCCGTCATGAATGACCATGACTTAGTATCAGCTATGGCGACTTGGAGATCTCCGATGATTTAGGAAACCTCCATGTTTAGCATTGCTTTTAGCATGGTTAAACTAAGTTTCCCAATTGGCTGTTGGTTTTAATTTTTGTAACTCCTTGTTGATAGGTCGCCAAGCTTTGAAGCAGGCCGGGTGAAGATGGGAGAGAATGAAGAGCCTGGGATTTTTCTTTGGGTTTACCATAAGCTAAAGATGTAGAAATGCTGGTGGCTTTGTCTTCTTGAGGAATTCTAAGAGCAGCAAGTTCAACAACTTTGACAACTTTGCTCATTGAGATACTGGCTGCTGACTATAGGTAGGAATTGCTTACCTTGAGTCATTCCTCAGATGGGCAAGGAACGACTGCTCCACCAAACTTTGCAGGTTCAGATGGCCAATTCTTTGTCAAGATCAGCCAGAGACAGCAGAGACCGAGAAATCCAAAGTACAAATCTCCACCTGATATTCATGATCATTCATAATTCATTCATGCCATTCAGATTACTTAGTTACTGCCAGTCATTCCCGATAATCAGTGTAAGACTTTGAACACATCACAGCAACGCTTCAGCTAGTGCGGCATGGCGCCCAAAGCAGCTGATGTTGGCTTAGCGGCACGGCTGGGCGGTTGATGTCAGTTGATGTCAGTTGTGTTGCGCTGGGAACGATTCCAGTTGGATCAGTTGGAGGTTTCCAATCCATGGGAGGTACCCCCAGTTATCATCCATGTATAGATGGGAGTTTCCATGAAATAAACCATCCAGCTATTGGGGTCCCATTGATGGAAACCCTCAGTCGATCGTCCAAGGAAACTGGAGCAGATGGCCGTGATGGCCGCGTACGCGCGAGCATTTTGTCTCCTGGTGATGGACAAGGTTAGGCGTTTCATGTTGGCTTTCACTAGGCCGATATACCAATTCTTTACAATATCAGCAACATTTTTGGTATATCAGCTAGTGAAAGATATACTAGCCACAATAGTTGGTATATGGGAGTCGATCTAAAGGTCCATCTAGGAGTGTTTATTACAAAGGCCGCCAGTGTTACAGCATGGGACCCTGCCATTTTCTTTTTGTTGAGTTCGCGAACACACATGATTTTTTTGGCGAACGATTTGGCGACAGTTTATTTGATGAGTTGTTTTACCATACTGACTCTTATTGTTTCTATGGGTGAAGCGATATCCTTCTGAATTTTGCATGGCAGGGATACAATAGACCCACGTACTATGTTGCAATCAAGTCGAGCTGTTTGGTTGATTTGCAAAATATGTTTCGCGAAAGTTTCGTGAAAGTGGCGAAAGAGAAGGTGCCCATGGAAGCCCATGGAAGCCCATGGCCTACGCAGTACCTTTGCAGCGTCAAGGGAGCCTGGAAACAATGAAAGTTTGTTGTTTCCTGGTGGAATCCCAACATGGCCTTTTATTTGCCCTTGGCTGTCTCCCTGATCACTCACACAGTTGCCGTTTACATGCAGTTTGAGCGCGTCTCTGCAGCACAAAGGCGGATGCTATAACCCGGCGAAAGAACAACGTGGAGTTGCGAAAGATTCGCGCAAACATTTTTTATTCGCGAAGAATGGCTGTTTGCAGATGAAAGAACTTAGATATCTTAGATCAACCGCCATATCCAAATAGCAGTTGAGTCAAAGATGGATACTCCACGGGTAGCCGGACGCGCCAAGGCTCGTGGGCGGAGTTGTCACCGTGGCCGCAGGTTTGGCCATCTCAAAACTAATGGCGCGCGGCAAGTTTGGTGAAGGCGCTGGCAGCACAATTTATTGTCGCCAAATGGAAACCTGTTTTCAAATTGGGGAAATGTGAGAATTGGAGGCACAAAGACTTGCAGTTCCTGAATTTGCATGTTATTGGCATCTTATATTGCTGTGTATGGATGCATCGAGCAGTCAAACGATCTCTTAAAAGTGTGCAATTTGACCACCGATTTTCACCTGAATCTGTTTGAAGTACATCAGGTCGTCCCTGCGCGAGTAAAACCTCCACAGTGTTTACAGAAGTCACGACGGTGAAGGGATGCCGCAAAGAAGCTGGTGAGGCGGACGACGCTGGGCTTGGGGGGTACCTTTTGTTGGCCCTTGGTGATTTATGATAGGCTCAAGAAATTGTGTATTGAATGACTATTGAATCACTATTGAATGACTATTGACTATTGACCATTGACTATTGACTATTGACTATTGGTATAAATGAATATAAATATAAATGCAATCATCGTAGAGCCCAACCAAGAGTTGCAGTTACAACCAGCATGAACATGGACCAACATCAGAGCACTGAAGACACAAACAGAAGAGATGAGAAACAAATGGCTATGGGTCAAAACCCTGGTAGCTTGGTGAGCCCCAACTTGCCGGTAAATGGATGTTCATCACCCCAAATATTGGGCCCAAAGGTTTTAACCCAGACCCAAATCTGTGTCCCAGAAATCCAAATCCAAATTTTCCCTTCCTTCACCCCACTGCCACGCTCAGCTGCTGAAACTGACCCTACCGGACCTCGTAGCAGCTTTGTGCCCTGACTGAATTGACACTTTGGGCGAGCCAGAAGATATCGTTTTATCCACTGCAAGTCCAACACGTCATGTTTCGATATTCTTTGATACAGTATTTATTGAATTACTCCATGTAGCGGCAGCGTATGTGGCGCTGTGATCCCCGAAGATTCTTTGACCTGAGGCGCCAACGGCCACAATCCCTGGATGATGTGTTGCTTGGCTGAAGACGGATGCGGACGCATGCCATCTACCTCCAAACCTCCCGCTGAGGCCAGAACTCACTGAACTGCTGCAGTCTACACAGGCCGGGGCGTCACGATTCCTAGCGGATGCTGCTATCTTTGATGTGGGACTTGTACCAAGTGATCCCAGGTCATCCCAAGATTCACATGTCCTGTCCCAGGTGTTGTTCATGTTAATGTCAACATCAGCCGCTTGCAATCTGCACCAGGATTGCTGCAAAGATCCTGAATGGCTTCAGCATCGAGATGAACCTGCAACGGAGCGGGTTGATGACCTGATCATCATGGCCCACAACGGTTAGATCCAAATTTTAAACAGAAGCACATGAATCACTACACTGGCTTCCCGTGAACCTTCAACACTTGTAATTATCATGTTTGCCAGATGTTGCCAGTCACATCTCACAGTATAGACCGTTCGATTCATCTTTGGATGTTCCCCAAGGTTTGTGCAAAGAGGGTGTATGCCCAAATTTGCCATTTGCGTTTGAAATGTTTGAAAGATGATGACAATCAATGACAATGATCATCGATGATCATCGAAACTCGGGGGCCCCTAGCCCAAGACGCACCCACCAGATCTCGCAAGCATACCAGCATTAAACCCCACATGTGAAATGATTTAAAGATATCTATAGATATCTAAGATATCACACTAACAGTCACTAAAGTGACTAACATCTCAATCTTCTCACGATTTCTCACGTGTTGTTTCCTGGCCCCGACCTCCACCTGGCTCGCAGCGCAACGCAGGACCTGGCGGAGTGGCTCTGCGACCAGGGCGACGAAGCGTTGAAAGCCTCGAGCCTCGTGGAGCTCTCTTCGAGGCGCCAGGTGCTGATGGAGAAGTTGGAGGCGACCGCGCGCGCGCCTGCGACTGCGGCCGAAAAAAGGGATGAGATGGGAAACTACAAGGGATCACAGACATTGTGGAGTTCTGATTTTGGGAAATATGTGAAATATGATGAAATATGTATGTGACTTGAGATGATATTTCACGGTTTCAAAGTGAACATTGGGGGAATTTACCCCCAAGTTATGGTTGTTTACTGAAGAAAAACAATGGACAGACGAGGTTTGAAACCATGGGGTTTGGGGGTGCTCCAAATTTTGGCAAACCTGATGTTTTCCGGGCAAAACCTCTATGAGTCTATGAATATATAATCTTTCTGGTCGGTGAGTATATCAGTATATTATGTCATATCAAGATGTGAACGGAGGTCCACAATAATTTTTAGTATTCAACAATGCATTTTGGGGAGAAAGGCGTGAGACACATCCGCACACGGGTTGAAGTCAAAAACTGTTCAAGTTTTGGACACGGGCTCACGGCCAGTGATTGGTTGGGATTACATTTTAGAAGATTTAGCAATGATTTGCAGACACTGTTTTGGTTGAGCCATGTCCACTTGGAGGTTTCCACTGATGTCATGTCTCTTCTTTGCCAGGAACTGCACGATCTCAAGTGGGACGTGCCCTTTGATGCTGAAGAGGACAGAAAATCAATAGATCAAAAGGATCAACAACCTCTCCAGATAGGTCTCTTTCGAAAGTTTGCACCTGGTGTCGCAGGAAGCCATCAAGGAAAACAAAATTGCCCGGGATGCGGCTGGCATGGAATGACGTTTCCGAATCGTGCATGGACAACGTGGAAAAGATGTGGGCTGTGGGGCCGATGGAGATGGAGCCAGAGTTTCCATTGACTCAGTTTGGGGGGCACACATTTGTGCTAGAATCCTTTGGTACAGATGTAAGTTGATGTAAGCCTTGCCATTGATGTCATTCCATGGCTCCAGCAAATCACCTGCTGCAACAAATCCCTGAGAGCATCAGCATCAGCGCCATGGTGGAACTCTCCCTGGAGCCCAGAGCCGTGAAACTTGCCGTGGGCACCTCCATCCTCTCGGGGTTGTTGGCCCTGAGGCGGGTTGTGGGACGACTTCATGGGTGGAAACAAACATGTATATTTAAATATTTATCTCATTTTATCTCTATATATATAATTATATACATATAGTTATGTATATATATATATATGTATATGTTACAATTACAAGCATTTTGATGCATTTTCAATCAACACTTTGCCAATTTGCAGCTTCAGACGCAACATTCCACATGTTTTCCTGCGGCACAGGTGGCTTCTGCAGCCGAAACAAAAGAGTTTCCGTCAACGGGCACTGCATTCAGGGTTTGGTGGGGTGAAATTTACAACCAGGATGCCCCCAGTCGCTCCTTCGCCCATTACTGGCTTGGATTATGCTTACGTAGGAATACGTAGGTATGGGTCATAAAACACAATGCCCTAAAAGTGCGTTAACATTCCAACATAGACCATTCTGGTCTTTTTTTCTGGCTGTTCATCAGAGGACCAGCAGAACAGTGTTTTGACCCATTCGAATCCATTCGAATCATTTCGAATCATTCCCCTTTTTTCACCTTTTGCTGCGCCAAATCTGAGGTAAAGTGCCAGGCGTTTGGTTCCTGGGCGTCTTGCCGCAGTTAGGTCCAGGCCCGGTCCAGTTGTTGGGAAGTGAGCCTTGCTGGCTGCACCCTGCTGATGTTGTCAGGTGGTGAAAATGCCGGTATAAAGTTTGACGAATTCGCCGACAAGTACGGTCAGGAGGGTGTCTTTGAAATGGTCCTCGTTGCTTGTGCCAAGGTTGTGGCAAATTTTTGGGAAGTGGTGTGTTCTATTGGAGGAGGCTGCGTATTCTTTAGTCGATCCGTTTCCCGCGAAAGCTTGTGGGTTTTGCTTGTGAAGGACGGATCTAAGTACTCTAAGCAGACACTGTGATCCGCACGAAGAGCCTGGTCCCTGGTTGACTAAGACTGGATCTCGCATGGTTTGTCTGAACTCCTGGCCTTTGATCTCCAAAATCTTGGACATGCGACCCTTCAAAGCGGTGAAACCAGGCAGGATGAGGGTCCGTATGGATCCGTCATGGGGCAGCAGTGCAAAGAGAGAATTCTGGCATCACTGTGTTGTTCTGTCTCACCTTTTCAATGACTTCTGAAGTTTCGCTTCCAACCTTGAAAAACTGAATAGATCTGAATAGTTTTGGCCGTTTCCGAGTGTTTCCTTGTGAGGCTCCTTGGAACACGCTGCTAAAGGCATGGTGCAGGGCGTCTTCTTTTCTGAGGGCGAACAATGGAAACGCGAACGGCGTTTGATTTCACCAGCTTTCAATGCCAAGAGCGTGGCGGCTCGGTGAAACTGCCACCAAAACCATGTGTGCCATCTTCGAATCTCCGCAAAAAAACAAGTGACTAAAAAGCTGTTTCATACATTTCATCATATTTACCTTTCTGTATATTTTCATCATATTTTCATATTTTGCCTGGGAAACAAAGAAGACACATGTCAGCCTAACATGTCTGGTAAATTTCCAATCCAGAAGCACCGTTGGGACGTTGGGATCAGCATCAATTCTGAGGCCAGCTATGTTCCGGCCATGACACGCACGACGCAGACGTTGCTGCGAACGCTGCGACGTGATGCGGAGAAGGGTGATGTCAACTTCACGGAGCCTGGGCTGTGGTGGGTGCGCAGAGGTCAGATGGATTCTCAGATCCTATGGAAATCCTATGGAAGATTAAGGAATTGAACAGATGTATCATGATGGGTCAACCTTAGGGCTCACCAGGTTTTATCCATGTTTATCATTATCCATGACATTATCATTGTTTATCCATGACATGGGACGCCTTTTTCTATGCAGGGCGGGTCAGCCACGGTGCCGCCAGGAGCTTTTGCCTCTCTACACTGCGGATGTGCTGTGTGCTACTGCTTTTGGCAAAGATCTGGGCATGTTGGAGACCAGAAAGACAGAGCTTGTCCAAGATGTCAAGAAGCTCAGCGCACGGCACGGGAACAGGTGTGCCTTTTTAAGGATGAGGGGCTGCCCAATTCAGTGCTTCGTAACTATGGAGGTTTCCTGGGGCTACCCCCAGTCGATGGAAGACCGATTGGATAACTATCGGCGATTTGGAAACTACGATTTGGAAACTACGATTTGGGAACTACGGTTGGGAAACTAACAATCTCTGCTTCAGTAACTACGTTTCCCCGATTTGGAAACTGATTTAGGAACTATAAATCCCCGATTTGGAAACCAAATCTCCGCGATTTGATAACTAAGAATCTCCGATTTGATAACTATGTTTTGGTAACTGAGATTCCCCGATTTGGTAACTACCATTCACCGATTTGGTAACTACAATTCTCAGATGCTTGGTAACTAAAACTCTCCGACTTGGTGACTAATTGAGGAAACCAGACCTGACCGATTCGGCAAGCATGATTTACACCTTGGCAATTTCGATTTAAGAAATAGGAATCGCCTCGAGAGACTATCCTTATTTGAATATCACGACTTCTTGAGCAAGAGTATGCCTCAACCTCACAGCTTCACCTCTCCAAGCCTTCTTGTCACGATTCCAAGTCATTTTCTAAACCTCCCCCCCGCCAAAACCCTACATGCAAGAGTATTCCTCAGCTTCACAGCCTCCCCTCTCCAAGACTTCTTGTTAGATTCTAAGTCATTTTCTAAACCTCCCCCCCAAAACCATACATGCAAGAGTATGCCTCAACTTCACAGACCCCCCCTTCTCGAGTTCTTGTCACGATTCCAAGTCATTTTTTAACTTCCCCCCCAAAACTTTACATGCAAGAGTATGCCTCAACTTCAAAGCCTCCCCTCTCCACGACTTCTTGTGTTAGAATCCAAGTCATTTTCTAAACCTCCCCCCCCCAAAACCTGACATGCAAGAGTATGCCTCAACTTCACAGCTTCACCTCTCCAAGACTTCTTGTTACGATTCCAAGTCATTTTCTAAACCTCGCCCCCAAAAAAAACCTACATGCAAGAGTATTCCCCTATCCAAGACTTCTTGTCACGATTCCAAGTCATTTTCTAAACCTCCCCCCCAAAAGCCTACATGCAAGAGTATTCCTCAACTTCACAGCCTCCCCTCTCCAAGACTTCTTGTTAGATGCTAAGTCATTTTCTAAACCTCCCCCCAAAAAACCCTACATGCAAGAGTATTCCCCTATCCAAGACTTCTTGTCACGATTCCAAGTCATTTTCTAAACCTCCCCCCCCAAAACCCCACATGCAAGAGCATGTCTCAACTTCACAGCTTCACCTCTCCAAGCCTTCTTGTCACGAGTCCAAATCATTTTTAAAACCTCCCCCCCAAACCCTACATGCAAGAGTATGTCTCAACTTCACAGCTTCACCTCTCCAAGCCTTCTTGTCACGAGTCCAAGTCATTTTAAAACCTCCCCCCCAAAAGCCTACATGCAAGAGTATTCCTCAACTTCACAGCCTCCCCTCTCCAAGACTTCTTGTTAGATGCTAAGTCATTTTCTAAACCTCCCCCCCCAAAAAAACCCTACATGCAAGAGTATTCCCCTATCCAAGACTTCTTGTCACGATTCCAAGTCATTTTCTAAACCTCCCCCCCCAAAACCCCACATGCAAGAGCATGTCTCAACTTCACAGCTTCACCTCTCCAAGCCTTCTTGTCACGAGTCCAAGTCATTTTTAAAACCTCCCCCCCCAAAACCCTACATGCAAGAGTATGTCTCAACTTCACAGCTTCACCTCTCCAAGCTTTCTTGTCATGAGTCCAAGTCTTGTCTTGGGCGGCGGCAGCAGTTGCGGCTGGATCGGAGCACCAGTCCAAAGAAAAAAAGCACGCGGATAGCTGTGGATTCATTCGAGACTATCGTTTCCATCGAACACGTTCGATTTGGTTGCCCACATAGGCATGTCATTTTGCAGATAACATGGTTTTACCGAATAACTGTTTTTGGTTACTGAATCAATGTTTCATAGTTTCTAAATAACACGTTATAGTTACCAAATAGTATGGTTTCCAAATAAGACGTCTTAGTTACCAAATCAGAGTTCGTAGTTATCAAATCACATGGTTACTAAATAATACCTTTTAGTTACCGAATCTACGTTTGATTGTTTCCAAATAACACGTTTTAGTTACCCAATAACATGGTTACCCAATAACACGTCTTGGTTACCGAATCAAACGTTTTAGTTACTCAATAAAACGTTTTGGTTACCCAATAAAACGTTTTAGTTACCCAATAAACCCGTGACCACCCCCAGTCATCATCCATTTATATATATATAAATATATATAAACGTGGCATTTTCCATGAAATAAACCATCCAGCTATTGGGGTACCCCCATTTATGGAAACCTCCTAATATCAGTTTTCGATCCATTTTTGAATGACCATGGCATTCAGCTCTTGGAGATGATTAGAACAGCTCTCAGGACGATGCTGGGAGCCCTGAGCATCCGGTCCTTCGTGCAGATCCCTTACTGGAAGATTCCCATCATTGGCAGGCGCGTTAGATGAACAGGGTCAGTCATTGATTTGGGTGCCAAAATGGGAGATTAACCCACACTTTATACGATATCTATATGGTATTTTAGTAGGGAACCATGATGAGAAACCGCTGGATTTAGGGGTATTTTGATTTTTTAGACCAACCCCATTTATAATATAGTGTTACTTTGGTTGGGTCTCGCGAAATGCCATGAGGGGCAAACCGCTTTCAACTCACCTCCTGTCGTAGGTACTTGGATGGTGGAAATGCTGCAACAGATCGGCTGGGTCATACCGTGAAGGCCTTGATGAATGAACAAGCTGGACAAGGACGAACGGGAATAGCAGAAGCACTTCCCAATGCCCTTGACCGGTCTGAGGCGAAATATCATGTGCATAGAAAAACAGTTTGTTGAAGTTGAGTCTACGCCTTCGGTTACATGGGAAGCAACGGGATTTTTCTGGTAAATGACGGACAAAGCTAGGGCTGAAAAATTGAAGACCGTTCTTTTCTAAAAAGACATGTTTTGTTCGAATCCTAAAAGTATATAGATTCGAGAATCATCACATTCTTGGGTTCCAGCCCAAAATAGTAAGCCAAGGACGCCTGGAGTATATCCACGTACACAGCATAGTTGCCCCAACAATGGCATGCCATGAGTCTCAAAAGAGATCAAGATGATCCCAACATATCCGAAGATATCTTAAGCCTTCGGTAGATTTTCCATAATCCCTTCCTCCTAATACTAACCCCCCCCCTCCCCTATTAATAAACGCCTCAGGTAGTTTTTATTATTAGGGGGGTATTTATTATTAGGGAACCCTATTAATAAATTTAAAACCTTAATAATAAAAAACTATTTTTTCCGATTTCAAAATCAGTTAAATTTCCTTTTATAACGCAATTAAAATATTGCCAGGGGTTGGATTTCGAAGCGGACCCTATGAATGAATTTACAACCTTAATAATAAAAACTATTTTTTTCGATTTCAAATTCAATTAAATTTCCTTATATAACGCAATTAAAATATTGCCAAAAATTGGTTTTCGAAGCGGACCCTAATAATAAATTAAAAGCCCTAATATAAAAAACTAAACATTTTCGGGCGGACCCTAATAATAAACACCCCGGGGTTAACTAGTTTTTATTATTAGGGGGCAAAACCCACAAATGGTAGCTTTATTTTTTAATTGTTTTCTAAAGGGGATCAATTAAAAGTCAGATTGGCCAATCTGAAATTTTCTGAAATTGGAGATGGACGCCTGTTTTTAGTATTTGGGGGACGTTTAGTAATAGGAGGAAGGGATTACATTGGTTTACTGAAGGGCAATGATTCATGAAACCAAAGGAATAGTTGATTCGGGGCAGCGATGGTGCCCTAGGAGCAACGGTCGTCGAGAAGCTTCGGCAGATGGACGGAGACAAGCTGTCCCACCAGGCGCGCCGCAGATCTGAGTCCATTCTTCGTACTAGAGCCGCACTGGACATTGTAGAAGGACTCGAGGAGTGGCAAATTGGGTTCTCCTGCACAATAGGAACTGGTCCGGAGGCTCACCATCCACTTTGGCAGCAATTTTCGATACATTCCCAAGGTTTACCAAGTATCCAGGGGGGTTTTGCTTGTTTTGCTGCCTTGGGTGCCTCGTGCCGTGCCTCCTGTGCAGGATTTGGTGGGAAATTTGATCGTGCTGTTTGGAGCAGGCACTGATACGACCAGCGTGGCAGGACCCTCAGTGAACACTCAACGGCCATTGGTTTGTAGCCTTTATTGAGCTGGTTCAAAACCAGATGGAATCTATGTTCTTTTGCAGGGTCGACCCGGTGGAACATTCTCTCTTATAATATATATGTATACATATATATTGTGAATGACACAGCTGGTAGCGGAGGAATTCACCAAAACTGAATAAGCTGACCCTGTCAGTTGCAAATGAATCCAAATAGAAATGGCCCTGCCAAATGAATGAAAATGGTGGATGCCCTGCACCACCCAAACACGCAGCTGCCCCTTTTTGGCACTCAAGACTCCATGGCCGTCCGACGACCGATGATCCACAGCCCCACCCTCCTCAAGTTGCCTGAACCGTAAATGGTATCCGGCATTGCAAATGGTCAAGTCACCACATGCTGACAGGAGTTGGGAACATCACATCAAGGTATAGTTGTAGATGAAATCACACTCCCAAAACTTTATTTTTGATGTGATTCCTTCAACCATTGTAGCGCTTGTTTCCTGTGTGCATTTGTTTGAAGACTAGCTGCCTCATCAAACAGTTGAAAGGCCCCTTGTTCTAGTACCGCACGAAGAAGCGATGAGTCCATGTTCTTAGTCAAAGGATCGGCCAGTTGCAGTGAAGTTGGTATCCACCTGAAGAAACAATGTTCCATACACCTTTCCTTGATAAGAAGGACTTCCAGCGTTGTGCGATATTCTTCGCACGATGGCATCGCTCTGCGGCTCACAAGATCATACAGGGATTTGCAGTCCGTTACGACCACGGCAGCATGCATTTGACGAAATGCCTCCGGTGGACTTCTCCACTGGAATTCAGGAATGGTCAGTGTACCCCAAAGCAAGCGGCACCATCCCATCTTATCTACGCTACGTGACATGGAAAAAGCTTCAGCTGACAGTGTTGATCTGACAACTCTGGAGATTTTCTTGGATGACCAGGACAGTGGACTAATGGGGGCCCTCTTATTATCTTGAAGATCTGGTGTAGTGGCAAACACTAATGTTCCTTGAAAGGATGCTAACTGTTTCGGACTGGCAAAAGACGCGTCTCCGAACACAACATGTGTGAGTTTCTGAGGAGAAATGGATCGAAAACATAATCCCACGTCACATGTTTGCTGGGCCTCACGCAGAACTTTGTTGGCCTCCATCAGGGTCGAGACAGTCGGTTTCGACAACTGAACTTGGATTTCCCCAAGCTTTGCAGCCACATCTGGTCTGGTGTTCGTGGTGGCGTACTGCAAACTGCCAATGAGGCCTCTCAAGTTGGACATCTCTTTTTCGGAAATAGGTTCCTGTACCAGGTGTCTTCGATGTTTACCAATCTCTAGATAAGGGATCGCTTTGATGTATTCTGCTTGATTTGCTCTGATACTGAAGTCTGGCAATTGCTCAAGTTGGATTCCTGTAAACACGAATTTTCTTTGCTTATATGACCCGAAAGGTAATTTTTGACGAAGCAATTCTAAACGTGAATGAAACCAGGAATCTCCACCGCAAATGCCGTCATCCACATGAGTACCTAGAGCCCCATGCAAAATTCTTTGTCCATTCTTCCATGACTCCAGATAGTACACGCAAGGTTCAAGTGGATGCATTTTGAAGCCCAAGGTTTGCAGTTGATTGGATAGCTCTTTGTAAAATAGAAGAGGTGCATCTACTCTACCGTACGCATTTCCAATCAGAGCACAGACCTGATCATCAGGTAATTGCATGCGTTCTCGTAATTCTTTTGGGGGTTCCATTGCTAATGGGTTTTCACTATCAGCTTTTCCACGTAAGAAAGCTGTCTTGATGTCGAAGGATGAAAGAACCCATTGTTGCGATGCAATTAGCTGAAGAATGGTATGCCTGCCCTCCCTGGTTAAGGTTGGTGCATCACGATTGACCTCAGTCAGCCTGGGATCCTGATAACCTAGAACTACCAATCTGGCTTTGGCTTTTCTGGCATTGGTCTGTTCATCATCATTACATACATTTTTCCATGTCAGGACCCATCTTGACTTGAGAATTTGATCCGGATTCAAATGCTTTCGAAGTATCGGTTTCAAGGCACTTGTTTGAAGCCAACATGATAACTCAGCTTCCTTGGCAGTGTCGAAAAGCCGTCTTTCGGCTGCGGTCAGATCTTTGATCTGGACTTCGGCTCGGGCCCTTTTTCCGGCAGACGCTACCTGAGCAAGTTCTTCCGGATGGGAAGACTGAGACCACTGTAATAAATCCTGGCGAGACATTGGAACTTCTAGCATGAAACACTGGTGGTCATGATGACACATAGGCTCATCTAAAAGGGGCAAACCATCTTCGGCCAGGCAAATATCGGAGGACTCAGTGCCCGATTGGAACACATTCCATTCGTGAATCGGATCCTCTTGTAGGAAGTCACTGATCTCATAGCACGACAGAACATTCTCTGTCTCGGCTGCATCAACTGGCTCTTCTGTGGGGGTATCTAAATCTATGGCATTTTCTGATTCAAAGTTGGGGAAGTTATCAAAGGGAGGATTATCAGTTATGCTTTGATTGGGACTTATGACGGGTGTGGTTACGTTGGACGTTATGGGCTCTGGAAACAGTTCACTTTCTGGTTGGATACTGGTTTGACTGCTGATGGGAACTTCAGGAACATCTATTGGAGTACCAGGCGTGTACGTCTCATCTTGATTTGAACCTTCATGGATGCTAGGCCTAAATTCCAGGGTACCTTTTGGTCCATCCTGGGAATTCTGGAGACTCTGGACACGGTGGTTTAGAGATTCGGATGCATTTTGCCATTCTCTCAGTGATGCAGGACGCAAGCTCTCGGGTGAACAGCGCAGCAAACGGTCACCATGCGCAACCCAGATTGTGGTGGAACCATCTTGACATACCACCCTTGCAGGCCCATGCCAGCGTCCAGTTTCTTGTCGCCCAGTTGTATTTCTCTTTTTCCAATAGAGTACTAATTGACCTATCTCATAGGTTCCGGGATGCGGTTGTGACTTGCGGAGTAAAGCTCTGCGGATCGCCGAGTCATTGTCGGCAAGCACAAACATGCGTCTTGCTCTGGAACGGATGTCAAGGTTTCTCCGAAAAACTTCGCTTTCAAGGTCAGATCCATCAGCTAGGCTATGGGCTGAGGCATGTTCATCAGATGTTAGGGAAGCAGGCACCTTAGTGGCTTTTCCCAACACAATTTGCTCTGGTGAAAAACCTTGATGACGAGCGAGTGCATTCTTGGCTTGGAAACAGGACTGAAGGACTTGGTCAAGTTCTTGAACGTCTTCAATTTTCTTTTCTTGATCAAAACGATCCAACATGTTCTTGATGATTTGACCATGTCTTTCAATGCGTCCCTTCTGCCATTCTTCGGTGGACAAACGTGGCTCTATGTTCTGTTGTTGCAAGAAATCAAGCCAATGTCCAGCACGGAACTCCCCGGCGGGGTCAGAGTAAATACCGGTCGGTTGTCCGGCCCAAGACATCCACATTTCCTTGAAGACGGGCACCACGTGTTCAAGATGACGATTCTGCAACCTACGTCCTAGGTGGAATAAGGATGCTTCATCTATACAGTGGAATACCATGACTTGAAATCCACCCCGGCCTGTCCAAAAAAAACCATCAATACCCAACAACTCGTTAAATTCTTTTGGATCATGAAGCTTGGCTGGTCTCTGATGACGGAATTTTGAAGTCTCCACACATGCATCGCAAATGTACTCCTTGGCGGCTTCAATCACATGTTCATGGGCTCCGGCTTCTTTGAGGTGATGTGCTAGTCTTATGGGATCTGGGTGACCCAAATTCTTGTGCAATTTCACTAGGTCTTGTTTTTCCTGGGCATTCAGCAACCTGAACTTTGGCCCGTGAAGTGGTACCGGAGGTGGTGCCCAACCTTCACATGGAACATTGCTAGTACGCTCGTGAACTGCAGCTGGCAACCCTTGATTGCCGGACACTCGAATTGCTGTGGGCGGTTCTGAGGGAGCCATCGTCTTCTCAGCATCATCGGCTACTTCTTTTGCGGGTGCAGATTCAATCTCAGGAGAGCATCCAAACATGGTTATGATAAGCTTGCATGGGATACACTTTCGGATGCGTTGAGCTCTGGTGCTCTCATGCCAGTTTTCTAAACCAAGGTCATGAATGGCTGATGTCTCACGATGCAAACATACTGTATACCGCAAAGGAAACTGATGGGACGCTGGGGCTTGAAGTGGCACCTGAAAACGTTCCGTACCCCTGCGCACAAACATGTCTGTGATCTTCATGGTGGTTTCCAAAATGGTCTGGGCGTGACTCCATGCTGTTGAATCTGCAGGACATCGGGTGTTGCCTACGCGTGGTGCGAAGGTCTTAGCCTCCTCAAACACAGCTTGCCAACGTTCGGACGATGAACATGCTGGTGGAGGAACTTCTGGCCTAGGAACATTGGGATTCGGATCCCTCTGTGGGTGGTCGGAAGCATCATATTCTCTCACTGGCAAGGGGTTTGGCTCACTGTTGGCAACCGTTGGATTCGGATCAGACAAGCTGGATTTTCTTTTCTTGAAACCACTACCATTTGTTTTGAATCGTTTCTTGGGTCTCTCTTCTTCTTCATCATCAAAAACCATGGCATGTTCATCAGATCCTATCATGGTGTGGTGAAGCTTGCAGAGTTTTCCGGCCACCATCTTGGCAAAACCCTGGCAATATGTCGCACAGAAACTGGTCAGTCTCTGGCTCTGGCCGTTGACACTGATACTACCCTCAATACGTTGATGAGAGTGTTGATTTGCACACAGGAGACCATTGAGTTCATGAAACAACTGTCGAGACGTGGTGAGAACTTGGCTTCTTCTCTTGAGGAATCGATTGGTCTTGGGTATGCGCAAACCAAAACGGCACATGTCAAAACGGGCTGCCATAGTATGCTGACGAATGAATGCGAAAGCATCCATCTGAATCAAGCTGGAACCTGCAGGCTGCTCGAGGTGGAAATGGCGTTCCAAACGGACCTGATACTCACAAATTCTTCGACATAAGTGGACATGTGGCATTTGCATTTCCTGCTTCTGGGAAATCAAATCAAACATGACTGAACTCTTACCCATGTTGAGACGATTCCAACCACTCCAGGGTCCGCATTCGGGTGCCATCCATATGTGCTCTGGCTGCAGCCTTTCAATCAGACCCCACAATTTTTGTCGACCAGCAAATGTGGCCAGATCCCCATCTTCTTTGGTAAAACGCATTGCCTTGTAACCAAGTCTTTGAACTGCTTCAGTAAGTGGACTATTGTTGTTGGCATAGATTTCCAAAAGGAAAATTCTGGAATTGTTACTGTTGGATTGAACATGGTTGATCAGGGAATCTTCCAAGTTGTTGATAGATTGTTCGAGTTGATGAGAAATTGGACTGTTGGTCTTATCTGTGACCTCGGTCTGAAGATCCTTTCGGGCGGCCAGAACTTCCGCATGGAACTGCTGAGCCTCAGGTGATGACATCATAGATCGCCCTTCGACATCCATAGTTGTCCGAACCGGACAAAGTCCTGTTGCTCCGGCATCAGGCTCGAATATCGAGCTAGGCTCCAGTGAAAGTATCCTGGGTCCTGGCGCATCACTGCCTCGAAGGACTTCCCCTTGTGCTTCCGTCCAAATGAAATCAGATTGCTTCCCCACTCTTCCAGTGTCAGATTTCCTGGAAGCGGCATCGTAGGCACTGGTGGAGCACCTCGATTGGTGGGCTCTGTCACAGGTGTCATCTGGACATTCTGTTGGATCATCACTTCTTCGATCTCTTCGATCTCTTCCCAGGTGGCCGCATGAGATATGACCGAAGGAGCTTTTCCTCGGCGCTGGGTCACTGCGGTCTGAGGCAGAGACATCAACATTGTTGTACTTCCGGCGGAAGCACCTGAGCTTGTTCCCATTGTTGGTCCACGAATCTTGCGCTCGGCTGGCTTCTTTTGGACCATGATCTCGTCTTTCAGATTTTCCAATGCCGTCTTTTGCATGTTGATCTGGTTCATCATTTCTTGCAATTGGCCATGAATCTGAGGATCGGTCTCGATCTCTGTTTCGGTGATCACTTCTTGTCTTTCCAACTGATGCACAAAGATCTGGAGGAGCAAGGCCAACAGGTGGATGATGGCCTCTGCAATCGTCTTGAGCATGCTTACCACAGGCGGCATGGGAGTCGCAGGTCTCTGAAGCACGATTCGAATTGGGCTGCGAGTCACTTGAGCGAAAACTTCTGTTTCGCTGGAATCTGAGGCCAGGTTTGTTTGATTTTTGAGACTGTAAAACCCCTTCAGTCCTACCCATTATGCTATTTTTATGGTTTTCATAACCTAATCTCTCCCCATTAGGCATTTCCGGAACTGATTTGACAGGAATGTCACTGGCGGTCTCTTGGAACATGGCAGCTTCATTTCGTACGCAAATGTCAATCATGTTGATGAGATACAAACCGGTTGGACTGGTCATGAGCTTGATGGGACCGTCTTGCACTTTTCGCATGAAGCATTGATCTGTTCGAGAATCCAACGAGCCATGTAGCATCTTGAAAGCTTTCTTGGAAAACAGAAAAGGAGTGGCTCCTGGAACCACTTCCACAGACAGCCAAAGTTTCTTCTGTTCTTTGTGTTTCAATGGCATCTGGATGGCATACATGCTGGTTAATGACTGGTTGTTTCCAAAACGGAACTTCACCTGGCTGTCTTGCTTGCGAAATCTGGCACTGATCTCTGCTGGAAGAGATTGTTGCAGTCTCTTCAGGGTGCGGTCTCCTATGATACAACGACTGGCTCCAGTATCTAAAATCGCATGGGTGCAAAAGGTTTCTAAGCTACTGTAGACCTGCTCGGATGCAAAAGTCTCAGAAAAACGGCAGGACCGGTTGGTCACAGGAGCTTGGTCTGATGAAGGTTCATCAGGGCATTTCCTAGGCGGCATTTGAAATCTCTTGGACTCTACCGGATCACATGCACATTGGGACTTTCCGGAAAACCTTTGAACCCTCTTGGAATTGAAACTGGACATGCGCTGGCTCAAATTGTGAATGCCACGATTCTTACACTCATGAGTCAACATGAAACATTCCGCATGACATGACTGAAACTGCAAACTGGATTCTACGGAAGGCATCACATATGCTTCATTGTCATCCTCTTCGGAAAACACCTCATCGACATCTCCAACCGTGGCGAAAACTTCCTGAGGACGTTCATCCATGACCACATTGGCAGATGCTGTCGAAGGTGGACCACCGGATTTTTCGGCACCACTGGCTAATGGGCATTCCGCTTTCCAGTGCCCGAGGGCACCGCAGCGGCGGCAGTGGCTGCGAGCAATCTTTTGAAGCAATGCATCACGGTCTTTGGATCTTTTCCCAAAACCTTTACCTTTTCCTTTTCCATATTTATTCTTTCCCTTTACAGGCCAGAATCCCCTTGATTTCTTCTTTTCAATCAACTTTGATCGTGCCTCAATGTACGTGGTCAAGGCCTCGAACATCTCTGGGGTGTCCTGCAAGAACTCCTCGAACTCGCCTTCGAAGGTGGCCACGGCCAAGGCGTCCGCATCATCCTGGGCCACTGAGGCATCAATGAACTCTTGATCAAGCTCGGGTTCTGCATCCTCAGAACTAGCATGGGTGAGATACGCTCTCTCATAGGTTCCAGAGTCATGTGAGGAAGCTGCATCGTGAGATTCAGAAGTGTCCAGAAAATTTGCATCATACACTTTGGTTCGCTGACTGACTCTTCCGGTCTGAAACTCATTGAAAAAGCGGCTGCCCAGCAAACGAAAGGATTTCACCACTGGCTTGTATTGAAGTTCACCCTCATGTTCAAGGAGAATTCTCTTTTTATCTTCTGCACTGAGAGTTGACTGCCGAAGCAGGACATATGCTTGCACCTCTTCCAATGTCGTGTTTCGTGACAAAAGTTCAGTGAAGTTGGCTTCCATACGGGCCAGGAAAGAATCATGGCTTTCATCATTCCTCTGAGTTGTTCCATACAGAGACTTCTCAAAGCATTCATAACGTTCTTCCAATTCAGTTGAACCCCACGACCCTCCAATGGCTTCTACCAAAGCGGCCACACCATCTGTTGTTTTCACCTTCACCTTGGCCGGGGGAATCTTTGCAATCTTCTTGAACGCCGTTCCTTCTATGAGAAGCGCTGCGCGAGGAGCTAACTGATCCAAGTGTTCCACAGGCCACAGCGACGCTAAAAACTGAAGCTTCTGGGAATACTCTTGGACATTTGTCACACCAGGAACAAATTTGGGAATCTGACTCCAAGGTAATTGAACTGGGCTCGGTGTCGGCTCATCGTCCGGCACAGGCGGAAGGCTACCATCACCACTAGCTGTTGGAGGCATGGTGCCACAGTCAAAACTGAAAGGATTTCCGACCTCCCTGGATCGTCCACTCTTACAGCTAAAGCAAAGTAGCTGGAGCTCGAGGCTCCGCTACCAGTGTGAATGACACAGCTGGTAGCGGAGGAATTCACCAAAACTGAATAAGCTGACCCTGTCAGTTGCAAATGAATCCAAATAGAAATGGCCCTGCCAAATGAATGAAAATGGTGGATGCCCTGCACCACCCAAACACGCAGCTGCCCCTTTTTGGCACTCAAGACTCCATGGCCGTCCGACGACCGATGATCCACAGCCCCACCCTCCTCAAGTTGCCTGAACCGTAAATGGTATCCGGCATTGCAAATGGTCAAGTCACCACATGCTGACAGGAGTTGGGAACATCACATCAAGGTATAGTTGTAGATGAAATCACATATATATACATATATATATATATAAAAGGATGTGCATCCCATTTATCCAATTTTAATCCCATTTATCCCATTTACTAAGTGGGCCAGTAAGCATCTTCTAAGCCAGTGGTATATCCCGTACCTCAAACAGAGCCATGCTATGCCCTAAAAAATTCACCGGTGACGACCAGCAAGGCCTTGAGTTGGGCTTTCTATCACTTGGCACGTGACCAGCAGCTGCAGCAGATCGTGGCTGATGAGGTGAAGGATCTACCGGAGGAGGTGAGCCCACAGCACTTGGCCCCTTGGATCCCTTGGAGCTGTGCCAGCTGTGCTGTGCCGCTGGATGTAGTTTTGGATTAACCAAAACATTCAAAAAGAACACGGTGAGATTGGTGAGAGAGGAGTTTTCTGGAACTGGGCGAAACCATTTTTGGAGTTTTTTTTGGATGTCAGTATGGTATTTACATCTATTTACCCATTTTCAAGAATTGAACTTAGTGTTGGGATTTCCATAGACTCTACAAATTTCAGTTCTTTCTCCAGCCATGTGCCACACAAGACTTCCCGAACTTTGCAAGCTGTACTTCAATCAAATGAAAACCTGCAAGCTGATCTTGGACGGCTCAACTACAGCAGAAACATACCACGAATGCATCCACGAATTAAGCCTTGTCTCTCCCAGATCTAAGGACTCTTTGCTGCAGGTGCATGCTCTGTGGCTTGAAGTCTTGCGTTTCAACGGCCCTGCACCCTTCGAGATTACGGACCGAACAGTTGAAATTTGTAGCCAGGGTAGATCCATTTGATGTGTAATCTCTCAAGCATCACCATTTTGAGGCAGAAGATGATGATAAGTGACGATAAACCATTGGATTTTGGGGTACCCTATTCTGGGACAAGCCTGCTGAATATTTTGCCATCGATGTTGGGGTAGGTGACCCTTTCTCCTGCGGTCTGACAGCCAGCAGGAAACGCGTGAAGAAGTAGAGATTGACGGCAGAGTTGTAAAGCCAGGTGCAGAAGTGTTGGAAGCTGGGCTTCATGCTTTGGGATTCAGGGATTTTTGGATGCTGCCTAAATGAGGGTATGGCAAAGGTGCGGTTGTTGGAAAGCTATGCGGCATGCTTCGAATGCATCTCCAAAGATTTCCAAAGCACGCTTCTTCTAACCCTCTGAATCGTGCCCGCTAAACACGAGTTCTGACATGACGGATGCCATTAGGTGAGCATCTTGAAGGACAAGTTTGATGTTTAAGATCTGCTTCACACTTTGAGTCCTGTCTCCAAGTAGAGAGACATAGAAAGACTATTCTATTTGAACACACGATTGAATTTCCACAAGACTGTTCATCTCACTACTTTTAGATGAACACGATGAACACTGCCCTCCTTAGTGACAACGTGGCTTTGCATGACTCTGCTCAGTTGTGCTATCGGCATGTCCTGAAGAACGCGCCGGAACTGAAAGCAAAACTCGGAGATGATCTACACGCATTCCGACCATCGCGTTGGCTTGGTCCAGAGGTGAGCAAATCACAGGAATGAAGGTCCGCAGGTCTCCCCAGGTGAAATTGCAAAGTTGACTTTGAAATCATGCAATATGCAATGGTTTGTCTCGGAAATTTGCTTGTCATCGGCTTCAAAATGAGGAATCCTGAAACATTCAAAACTCCGTCCTGTTCATGCGAAGATGTATCGACCCTTACTGTAACATGAATCTTGGCTGGGCCAGGGCATTGTGAAGTGTCCACCATTCGATTCCTTGCCGTTTGGTCATGGTGCTCGTGTTTGCTTGGGGAAGCAACTGGCAGACTACGAGGGGCGCTTGGTGATTGCACAGGCAGATTCCTGGAGGATGGATGGATGAGTGAGTGGGCGGGTGGGTGGGTGGGTGGGTGGGTGGATTGATCGAGAGATCGATAGATGGACAGACGGATAGACGGATAGATGGATATATATATATATATATAGATGGATTCGACTTGACTAGACTAAACGAGACTAGACTAGCCTCCGCCCCACTCGACTAGATTAGATTGGCCAGACAGATACATAGATTGTATGTGATGACAGCTGACAGATCGATAGATTGTTTGTATATGCATATAATATCCCTGCGGACGTAGATCAATCGATGGAGCATCCTGCCAGGTTGTCCGACATTTTGTCCTGGAAAAGTGGCAAGGGCCTCCGTTGAGGGAGAAAACGTCCTTTGTGGTCTTGCCCGCAGAGGATGTCAAAATCAGCTTGAAACCTAGACCGAATGCCAAGTGACCTTGGCCAGACATGCCACGTTTTCACATTTTGCGGCCTGTGCTGATCAAATCGGATCGATTTATCGGCAGTGTCAGCCATGAGCCATTGCCACAACCCTCTCTGTGCGGAACGGATCGTTTGGCGAATGTACAGTTGGAGGGCTCAGAGACTGACGCAGCCAGCCAGGTGAAAAAGCAGGTGCTGTGCTGGGTGCTCTGCTTCCATATCATTCCCAACAGGGGAATCATGCTCCGCACATCGTTTTCTGATTTTTCTCTGAGCATTGGCATCCGGTGCAGGTGGACAATCCCAGATACCAGTATCTAGAAAGGTGGCGGGAATCTGGGATGAGAGGTTCCCCCAAAGATTAAACCAGGGAGATACATAGGGAGAGGGAGAATAATCATGACAAAAATAGGGAGATAGGGAGAATTGAGGAGAAATATAGGGAAATAAATAGGGAGATAGCTGGGGATAAAACAGGGAGAGAAACGATTATATAGATATAGTGTGAAAAATAGGGAGACAAATAGGGCTTCAGAGGTGCCTGTCTTTTCCTTGAACTAGTCCAAACAGATCCAAAGGATATCAAAGGATGTGGTCAACCCAATTCTCAACGATTCTCAATTTGGGTTATTGGGTTCTTGGGTATACTCCATGTGGGATGATTCATGGGGTTTACCGAGCTACAGCCCTGGCAACAGCTTTCCGCCAGGTTCAGAAATCTGCCTCCCGACCTTGGCTCTTGACTAAGCTTAAGCAATGACATCACCGAAATGCCCCCCCTTCATCAAATCCTGGTAGTGGGACTTTCTTTGACACATCTAAAAGCATCTAAAAGCTAAAACCTAACATCAGAGAACGCTTGACGCCTCATTCACAAACCATCTCTGAGTGCTCTTGGCTCCTGTGCTGGACCTTTTATCCTTTTTTCACTCCTTTCGAATTGTTTAAGTCCAGCTTTCACTGGCGCCACTGAAGGGTCCATAATATACTCTTTCAGATTGTTCCCGGAACGTGTGGATTGACTCGCGCATTCACCTGTCAATTTGCCTGAGTAAGTATATAATTACCCTCTGGTAAATGAACATAGACCCTGAAAACACCATTTTTTTGAGTGGAAACTAGTCTTTCAACCCCTGTCTGCCAGGGTCTATGTTAATTTACTTGGATCTCCGAGGTCTGCCAGATCCGCTCAAACAAGGGCCACTTCTGCCACCAGCCTGTCCTCATTTTCCAAGGCGGGGACGACTCTCTGATACAGTAATTACTGTAGCAGAAATATCACGAATGATCACAGCTACTACAGTATTAGCCTATCGGCTTGATCAGAAGCCTTTGACAAGTATACTGTATACTTTCCTCGGAGGGGCAATTGTGATGGAAGCACATGCTGTCCTGAACCTTTTAGGAGGACGCCACAGCACCTAGTGCACCTCGAAGTGATGCCACGGGTAGTGGACGCAGGGAAGCTCGGAATTTTTGTCAGAGCTGGCAGCATGCCAAATCCACTTGGTTGGTCTTTTTGATCGCCTTTGGAGTCTCAGAGTTGTACCAACATCATAAACATCATATGTATATATCATATATCATATCATATATCATATATATATAACTAATATATAACTAATGTATAACTAATATAACTACCATTCACTCCTATTCTTTTCCCTGGATAAACCTATTCTAAACCATGTCACTTGAATCTGCTACTGGCATCTACTGGCACGAAAATTCGCGAGCGCTTCCAGGTGAACGACGTTGTCCAGAGTGCACGGCCGAAGCCTTGGGGCAACCACTAGATCTTTCCGGAACTGTGGCTATGATTAGAACAAACTAAACATGGTGAGTGGGCATCAGCAACCAGTAGAAGCATGTATTCCTTCGCAGAAAGAACTTGGGGTATGACCCGGGATGTTGACGTAATCGGACGCGAACAGAATGTGGCCAACTGGGCCAACAAATTGGAAGAAAGCATTCGGAAGAGGTCTTCCAAACATCGGCAACTCCTCCGCCATATTTTGAGCCCTACTGCCAAGGCAGACTCTGCTTGCTTGAACTGTGCCTCAGCCCCAGAAAGGCCATTGCTCAGAGGGAAGAGGCGCGCCTTGAGATTTTGTTCAAGTGGACAAGGGAAGAAGCCTCAGAGCTGCCATCCTGGCTTTCCACTTCCATCTTTTCCAAGCCAGGCCAAGTGATGCCCTGCTGCTGGGGCGGCGCAGGAGATTTCGCCCCGCGAAATGTCGGTCGCAGAGGCTGGGCGGGGCTTGAACCTTGCTGAAGCTAGTGCTGGATGAATCAGGGTACAAGATGGGCATCCAGTTCATGCCCGATGGTAGTCACTGGGAGTCAGTAGTCACTGGTAGTCACTGGTAGTCGGTAGCGCATGAGGAGCGTTTCTCTGGAGAGCGGGAAACCTCTTCGATTCAAAAAGTTGCGCAACCCGAGGCCACCCGTGGAACCGCAGGCCACCGATTTTGCGGGCAAACCTGGATCGACGAGAGAGAGAGAGAGGTCAGACTCTTCAAGGAAGTTGAATATCCTTTTACCAGTACCAAGACACAGCATGATAGTAGTTTGTTTTTGGGATGTGGACATTTTGGGTTCTCCTTGTGTCACAGAGTCGGATTCAAATCATTTCAAATCTGCAGACAGCAAGATAAGGATCAGCAAGACGTCAAGATTGTCTAGGATCAAACAAAAATAGCTGCCAAGGTCATTTGCGTTTGCATTTTTCAGGAAAACATGCATACAAAAAACGTGTCTTTTTGTGTTGATCCTGTCTTCCACCATCTTTACGCAATGGGCTAATGAGCCATACCCAGCCATAGCAGGCCATTTGAAATCTTCCCAGCTCCGAACAGCCATGGGTGGCCACTTTTCGTCTGAGACGTCGTTGGTGGTTTGTTACAGTGGCCGCTGCTCCCACGCATTCCCGTTGCGTGTGAGCGCCGATGCAGCGCGAGCTGCATCGGCCGCTGCCATGGGAAGCGCCATGGTGGCGACTGTGGTGGGCTACACCACCAAACTGACGAAGGAGGCTAGTGGCAGAGTGGGGCTTTCTCAATAAGGAAAAACGTCCAGAAAAAAATGGAGACTCAGAGCGCAGCAGACTTGTTCATGGTGCTGGAATTTGGAGGAAGAGAAACCGCAACTCAATGGTTCTTGGGAAGTTTCATACCTCAGCTATTCATAGTTATTCTCATTTTGGCGTCACAGATGGGTCATTTCCAATGCCAGGCCGGTGCGTCTTCTGTTCGCCTGCGCCTTGTCCCGGGCCGTCATGCCCGTCCCGAAGCGCGCAGCTCCGGGGATGGGGAGATAGCCACGCCCAGCTGCAGCACGCTGGCGATTCGCGCTGGAAATCGCCTGGGATTTCTGGCCGCCATTGGGGCATTGATTGGCAGTCCAGAAGGTATCTCCATGGAGGTGCACATGCGATGGTGGAGTGATGAGCCTGGAATCCTGGAAGGTCTTCCGAAAATGTTTGGCTTTTGCGTGATTGATATGTCAGATATACTCTTAGATGATCTCAGATGGTCTCAGATTTGTCATGATTGTCATGTGGCAGTGTGTCAAAACCCTGGTACCCAGTGAACCCCAAGTCATAGCTGTTAAATGGATGTTCATCCCACTATAGTAATGTATCTATAGGTATTGACCCATACCCATGTGTTTTCTGTTGTTTTCCAAAGTGTCTCCAAACTCTGGTGACGTAGGCGGTGGTCTTCGGACGGCCCAACGAGGCTCTCGTGGAACTGATGCCACTGGAGGAAGCAACGTTGCAGGAGACCCCCATGGGATCCCATGATATCCACCATTTTAAGACCCCATGTTCCATCCATGTGGTGAGTCAAACGTACTTTTTAGATGTGATTTTACGTATGTTTGGATGGGTCAAAACCGTCAAAACCTATGAAACTATACCATATTTGTGGAATAACATCCATAAGCCAGCTATTTTAGGTACCTAGGGCACCAGGGGTTTGACTCATAGCCATCTTGAAGAGGCGGAAATTCGCCAGAAACGCTACAACCAGTGGTAGGTAGTTTGTGGAGTGGTCATTTGACGTCAGGCGCGGCTGCTACCCTTTGGGTATGTCAGGATATGTCAGGGTATGCCAGTCCGATAATGAGAAGGACCCAGCATAAAATCATATAGAATCCCTCAACATGATTGAATCTATTTTGGGGAACTTTGTTTTGACATTTTTGACTTACCAATCACCATGCCAGGAGCTCTATCCAATGGGCAGCACTGTTGACGTGCGGCTACTGAGATCCATGCCCTTTGAGCTCCGTGTCTATAGATCACTTGCAAACATGAGGACAGATCTTGGTATAATAGTATAACATGTATAACATGTATAACATGTAAAACATGTATAACATGTATAGCATGTATAACAATGTATAACAATAGACCTATGCTCAAGATATATGTATATACCCCTTTGTCGGGAACTCGAAAAAAAGGGATTGATGTCCCACAGGATGATGACAATCTCCCACACGCGGCACAAGGGATCCTTCTCTTAACTTAAAATTGTAACATATTGTATCTCAGCACCTGCCCAGATGTGGTTGCGATCTTGGACACCTCACATCACTTGTGGCAATTGACCTTATATCACTTCGATTTTCACAGTTACCGGCGTTTCCCAAGTTTCAATTTCCCTGTGGATTCTCGATAAATTCCGAAGCTCCTCAGCTGGCATGACTATGGCCACTGCTTGGTTCAGTAACTTTACTTCCAACCTGCGACATCTTAACTAAACCTCCAGTTCCGCAGCGGCCAAGAATCCCAATCTCTCCTGAAAATTCCTTAATTTCCCATACAATTCTATTATTTTCATAAAAATCAGTCAAAATCCACTGTCTTGTCATTTTCTTCTCATTTTCCCCTATGTTTCCACGTTTTTTCCATTTTCCCCATTTTCGACCTGAAACCGAGGCAGTTCCAGGAACCTGCGGCGCCCAGCGGTCCCGTCGACACGCCGGCGGAGGCGGCTGCGGAGGCAGAGCCGCTGAGGTCACCCAAGGCGGAGTGGATGGTGGAACGTCTGTGGCTCGACGACTGGGAAAGCTGTGGCATTTTGGGATTTTCGATGGGATTTTCCAGCGAAGATTGGAAACCAGATTTCCAGATTTAAGATTCAGAAATGGTTAACAGGGGATCCTGTTAGAATTTTGGATAAGAATTAGTTGGATTTACAAGCATACTCAAAGATTGAGATAACCTTTTGTACTATCAAAGATGGCTGGAAAATCCCCCGTGGCCTAGCCATCGAGGTGGCTAGTTTGCGAAAATCATCGAAGAAAACAGGCTGATGATGAGCAAACCATGGTCGAGTACCGGAGGGTATGTTGATGAGTTTTTAAGGAATGGGTTTATTTTGAACCTAACCACCTTTTCTGGGGACCTGGACATGTACACATGAATGTTGCTTCATCACCAGATAACGGTAGTGAATCTCAGCACTTTTTTTTGTGAAGTACAAAACCTATCATATGGGTTTGATTCACGGGGATATCTCATGGATATGTAAACGGATGGCGATAATCATGGGGATGATATAGTCGTTAATGGACATATACTACATATAATGGGGATAATTGTACTTGTACAAAGAATTGTGTGGGGTGTTTCATGCGGATATGGGATAATTATGTAATGGATGTTAATGGGATACTAAGTTGGCGGATTTTCAGAGATCGCTTGGGGGTCACCAAGATTACGGGGATGCAATCACAATTGGGGGAACCAGGAAGCATCATATGTCATTAACCATTAAGCCATGAAAATGAGGACTTTATATGAGTTCACGGGGAATCTATCTAATCAATGAAGACTTGGGATTTTCTGATAGATTTATCCCGCGAAAAATTGGGTCTAACCCATACAAATAAGGATATAATGGTGGATTTTTTTGGGATTCAACTAATTTAAGGATGAATAATAAGATTTAACCAAGAAAAAACGAGTGTTTTGAGATGATTTTATGGGTGACTGAAGTGAATTATAGGGTTCATGAAATGAAATGGGGATGGTTTCTGTTGTTGACGGCATTTGCTTATCAATTTGCCCGACTCGGACATCCCTGTCATCAGAATCAAACCTCAATGTACCTCTAAGACTCTCATGACTGGAACTTGACCCATTTTTGGTGGTCCATTGGTCCATCCTGTCCATCCGTTTGTTCCGGGAAAGCATGGCCGGACCATCCCCCAGGCTGCAGCTGGCTTCCATGTTGGAGTTCCAGTTCGCGCCGCAGGCGCCCGAGGAAGGCGCCTACGAGGGCAGCAGTGAATGGCTGGACAGCGAGGCGGTCCAGCAGTGGCTGCAGACCGCAGGTCTCAGAGTGAGCCAATGACAAAGCTCATTGGTTGAAAAAGGATGAGATATGATGAGATGAGGATCTGATAGGATCTGGAATTTTGATCATTTTTGCCAATTGTTGTTTTGATTTTGATACTTACTATAGTTGGATAGATCAAGGTTGGTTTCGTGCACCCTTGTCATCAAACGTTGATCAGATGATGCTTTGTTCACTGGCATAATTGGAGAACATGCGTACTTGTACGAAGATGAAGAGTGAGATTTCAACATGAAACTACCAAGGCTGGAACTCAAACACCAACGATAAAAGTGACCCCCCGTTTGACAACGGATTTGAGATGACTCCCTTCCCATATTCAAATGAACAAAAACTCGGCACCCGCACTGTGAAAGTACACTGTGCACAGACATGCAAAGTGTAGATGTCTCAATTGTTGCACCTCAGCTCCTCTGAAGCAACATTTGCTCAGTGAAGAGATTCTAGAGCATGACTGGTGACTGCAGCTCTTCAGCTTTGGCGCGTGCACTAGATGATCCTTCACGAGACATTTGCGCAAAGTCTTCACCTGGAGGGGTGTTGAGTGTTTCTTCGCTCATCCCGTGAAATCCATGGTGAGACAGAGATCAACAGAGGTATCAATAGCACCAGATTCTCAATCATCATCCAACATCCATCCCAAAACCATCTGATGCAGCTTGTGCCAGCGCTGTCAGCGCTGCTGCCCTCCCATCCGACTCCTGCACTCAACAGCCGCATCGCACTGCCGCGCCCGCCGGGCGGCCACCAGGGCCTTGGCCTTGCGCCGTGGAGCGCCGGCCTCGCAGCCGGTGTGGCGCTGCGGGCAGCGCGGGCAGGGCGCAGGGCCGAGGGAGCGGAGGCCGCGGCCAAGCGGCAGCTGCTGTTGCTGTGTGCGGCAGGAAATCGCGGCTTTTCGGCCAAAGAGGCTGAAAAAAAAGAGGCTGTGGATATCTGATGGCTGGTTGGCAGGGCATAAAATAGGGAACTTAGAACTTATAACCAAGTAACTAACTGGCCAGAATTTATCATAGTCGGATACCCAGGGTTTATATGGGTTTATAGGGATTACACCTGCTACACAACTTGTAGTTGCTTGGCATGCTGTTGCCTCCAGGGATCCTCAAAGTTGTGTCATCCTTTGGAGGTGAACAAGCTCTTGGAGCAGCTTGCGGGTAACTTTCGTCCACCCACCGATGGCCGGCAACGGCAAGATGCCTTGCGCGGACGCTGGAGACTGATCTACACAACCTCGGCGGATCTGACGTCATTAGAGACCCTGCCTTTGCCAGGGTGGCAGACAGGAAGAAGCAAAGCTTCCAGATTTGCAAATCTTTGACTTGTTATGTTATATATTCTTGTCTTGGAGAACGTATTTTTTGATATCTTGTCTATTGAGTACAAAATGACATTTGTGGTGTCTTTTGGCCATATCGCATCGTGACGGCGATTACAACATGATCTTGATGGGGATGGCGATGGCGATGGTATGGGGTGGTGATGGTGATGGTGATGGTGATAGTGATGGTGATGATGATGATGATGATGCTGATGATGCTGATGACAATGATAATGATGGTGGTGATGATGATGGTGATGATGATGATGATGGTGGTGGGGGCTGTGGCAGTGGCAGTGGCGGTGGCGGTTGGGTGGCTGCTGTGGTTGTTGTTGGGGTTAGAAGAACTTATACAATGTCACGGCAGTGTCCAAAGGGGAAGAACCTTCGCATTACGGATTTGGCAACTGTGAGTGTCTCCAAATTTCATCAATTTTCATGGTCTTGTCGCAAAGCAGAACTTTGGAATAGACTTTGGATAAGCGCAGACTTTGGGAATAGCCTTTTTCATCAGCGTCCTGTGCCTGCGCTGAGGAGTGGGTCAGTCCTTTTTGACCAGCCGCTTTGCGCGGAATGAGATCGATTTCTTTTCTCCCCTGAACAGCAAGGTTACACAATTGGTTAATTGCACCTGGAAACTCCCAGAGCCATTGAAGGTTGGGGTACCAGGGGGGGATGGTATCAAGTGCGAGTTCCTGCTATGGCTATGGACCCAATGGACAAAGTCACAGGATGCTTTCAGGGATATTCAAAAGGATGTCACTCGATGTCACTTGCCCATCAGAAACTTAGTGTTTGTGCAAGTCAATGCTTCGGGTGAGTCGATCGGGGCTGGACCAACAAGAAACAAAGTCAAGGCGACGGGGCTTAGGAATGGGATATCTTTGCATTACCTTTGTATCCAAGATTCAGCATTGCCAACTCGCCTCCACTTGAATCGTTCATCGCAGGAGGACTTCTTTGTGCAGCTCGTTTTCAAGTACAGCTCGACTGAGTTGGACAACGTTGCTGGCTGGCCAGTGCCGGCACCAGCACTCAACTTGCCACTTCCGCCTGCGGCTGGAACCTTTCAGGCACCCAAATTTGATGAAAAATCCTGTCCCCTTAATATCAAATACAACCTGGGATAATATCGGATCCATCATTTTAGGGCCCCATATATGGCGGGTATTGAACATTAGATCTGATTATGAAATCAATCAAAATGATCTACTTTCACTGGGGAAAACTTCTGGAAAACCAACATTTCAGGCACACTGACTTTTCAAAGATGTCTGTGACGATGCCTCTGATTGAACAGCTTCAAGCCAATTGGACCTTGCACTGCTGGGTTTCTGCCTGACTTCAGGTGGCCTATGTAGATGAGGATCTCTTGGTACAGCGGACACGCCTTGGGACTTCATCGGTGAATGTGTTGGTGAAGGAGAGCAGTTGACCCTGCTTTCATGGAGCGGGCGCAAAAAGGGCAGATGGTGAAATTGGCGTCCAATGGTTTCTAATGTTTTTGATTCACAATCACCAGATGTAGCATGATGTAGCATGATGTAGCATGATGTAACACACTTTGTCATTACGTCTTTGGTCAAATTCATATTGAATGCGCCGAAGTTGTGCGGAAACGGAAGGCCACCTTTTAGGCATGGCGGCACAGCCGGGGCCAGTGACTTGGTGGAGCGGTGTGTTTGCAAATGTCAGGTTCAGAGGCCTACGCCAGAGGAAGAAGATGCGCTTCGTCAATGGAAACAGGCCCAAGCCATACGGAAGACGGAGAGATGTTATGGTTATATAAAGTATGCAAACTTCTCATAGCTTGTCACTTTAAGAGGACGTGTCATGAGTCATGAGTCATGAGCCATACAGCGCCAGCAATTGCCGTCATACTAATGAATGCGTTGAGTTCCTGTCCTGAGCCATGAAAGGGAATTGGATGAACATCTACAAGCTTGCAGCTGTCAGTGGGAACAAGTTATCTCAGCATATCTCGCGTCCTTTGGGTTTCATCGTGGGTTTCATCGGATTTCTGGCTGATCCTTTGGCAGGCCCAGATTCGTGATTGGCTTCGAAGAAAAGACGCCGAGATGTTGCGGCGTCTGCACCTCGGAGGGTCCGAAGCTGTCAACAGTGTCAAAGGGATGTCAACAGTGAAATAAATGGTAGCGCATTGATCACACCTATCAATACCTATTCACAGCTATTCACAGCTATGCACAGCTATTCACAGCTATTCACAGCTATTCACAGCTATTCACAGCTATTCACAGCTATTCACAGCTGCAAATCAGGGCGAAGACAGCAACAAGCAGAGGACAGGGATGCAGCTGTGCTGTTTGCACGATGGCTAAAGGCAGATCTCGATGCAGGAGGATCTTCTCAGGGAAAAAGAAGAGTACCAGGAAAACAGGCGCTACGAGCACGAGGTGCTTTGGGACTTGTGGGATCACTTCTTCTGAATTAGCCTGTGAGCCGATGAATTCGAGCGGGAACCATCCACTTGACTACTTTTGTAGCTTGAAAAGCAGAATTCCACAGGGATGACATTCCTGGAAGCCACTACCCGGCTTGTTTTCATATTTCATAGGAAAGCATTTCCTCTTTCATTTGGATTTCCGACGTGGAAAAAGTATTCTCAAGCGATGGCAAGGGTGGGAATGTGCTTTTTACAGCTGTTTACAGCTTTTTACATCTTTTTACATCTTTTTACAGTTTACACCAGTTTCAATTTGGCCTACAAGTGTGGTCAACTAAGACTAAGTTTGGAAGGATTTTCTCTTCTCTAGTTTTGGGTTTGACTGAAAATTGGGTACTAAGCACCCATGCGTTGTCACGTAACCAATGCATTATCAAGTTGTGATCATTTCCCCATTAAAACAAACACAAATTGCGGGCCCCTCACCCATTTTTGGCCAAACCCAATTAATTTATATAGTTCTGTAATTTGTATCCCATGATTTGTCCTCTTATATAAATGATGTCCCCCAAATTCCCATTATCTATCTATGTATATATATATAATATACATATGATAATAATAATGACAATAGTGATATTATGTGTATATATATATACATATAATCGCCACCCTTTTATGGCTACTTTTCAAGGGGGGACCATACCAAAATGTAAGATACATTTTTTGGGACTCCCCCTTACATGTAAAATTGGTCGCTGAACGTCCCCCAGGTGTCGTTTTTGTGGGGAGGGTCTTCAAAATACCTTAAACATGTAAGCTTACATTTTCAAACCACCCCCAAAAACACCTTGAAAAATGTAGCTTACATTTTGGGTACGTCCCCTTCCTTAAAACGGTGGTGATTTATATGTATATATGAATGTATATATATATATATATGCCCAGTGTGGTTTTAAAGCATCCATCCAGTCGCTGGAGAGTTTTGAGCCACTGGAGTCACTGGAGCCACAGTCACCGAGGCGGAGCTGCAAAGGCAACGGACTTGGCGACTGCACATGGCGGAGTTGAGACGGCAGGCGCGGGGAGACTATTATTTTTTTGGTAGGTTTTTGTTAGGGGGAAAAAGGTGATAGAAAGGTGTCCCCAGAGATTTCCAGATTTTGTTTTAAAACCAAAATTTTGTGGTGGTTGCAAAATGGGTCTTAAAACCCTGCGCCGTGCATTGCATGGTTATAGTTCGGATTCCTCAAATCCTTGGGCCAAGGTGTTAATCCCAACACATCCGTGTCTTCCTGGAAGGAGCTACAGATGGAGATGGACCACCAGATTTTCCCGGGCTCAAGTTGCTCAAGGGAGGCCGCAGCAAAGGTGGGGAGACATGAACCATGGTAAGAGCTGAATGCATGGCACTTGTGGGGCAGGTCTACTGCACCATCCGATTTGCTCGGGCAGGCACGCTTGGGCGCCAAGACCTTAGCTGCCTACTCGACGCCTCGAATTGGACAAGCAGGGAGGAGCCAGATAGGAACTGACCATGCTGCAATACTGTTGAGTGCTGATGGATGCTGAGTCTGTTCATCTCATTCGCTGCACACATATAGTACATGATGACATGATGCCATTGGGAACCACGCACCAGGACCCGGCGTATGTCCCGCTGTTGCAGTGCTGGGTCCAGATCTGCACGAGTGAGCCGCGGTGGCTGGTGACCGCACCAAACTTCTGAGAACGTGTCGCAAAGTGAGAACCTTCAAGCTGGCACGTCCTCAAGTTTCATTTATGTACATATATAGATAATATGTTTATTTATTTATTTTCTCAACCTTTCACAGATCCGAAGCAAAACTTCTGCAGATAAAAGATAACTGCTTAGCAAGTAATTGCTTACTCTGGACTTTGTAGTGCAAGGACCGGACAAGGCCACACTCCGCATAAGATCTTGTTCATCCGAATTGCAACCATTTGCGAAGAGCGCGAATGGTGGCTTTCCAAAAAGAATCAGATGTGATGCGAAAACTTTTGGCTCCTCACTGCCGCTTTGACATGTTAGCAGCATGACTGACACACATTTTCAAGTAGACTCAACCAGACTATATAAGTAGATCAGGGGAACAAGCCATATCGTATAGCTTACATATATAGTCTCAACATGTCAGTGCGGTAAACATGTTGCAATGACCCAAGTTTGTTTCTAGCAAATCACACATATATATATACACATACATACATACTTCAGTACAACAACCATCAAAATGTGTTCTCCAGTATGGCCATATAAATATTTGGTAAGGCCAGCAGTCACCGCAGCTTTTGCATTGTGATCACTGGGATTTCCTCATCCCTTGCCGCAGCTGCCATATATCCAAGCATATCAAGAGCATAGCTGCCATTCATGGCATAGACAACCAGTCATACATGAGTTATACAGTTATACATCTAATCTTTAACTGAAGTGGAGCAGCAAATTTCTGCTTTGGCTGATTTTGGCTGTCCGTTTGAGGCGAGGGATCAGGGTGGGATTTCTGCGGTACTGTCTACATTTGAGCAATGCCCACCAGCCCTAATGGTTGATCCAATTGGACCTGCTCAGGGCAAGTCAACCGCCGTAGACCAACGGAATGGAGGCCTCGAAAATGGGAACTTGGCCTTGAGAATCCAAGGCTTTTCAGTTTTTCTTGAAGAATACCTCGTTTTTTTTCAAAATGATCGGTTGACTGGTCGGTGGCCGGTGGTTTTGGTCACTTCTTTTTTATTCTTGAACATATGAATGTTCGATCTCGACGGTTGCCGAATGACGAAGAATCTGAAGAATATGAACATTCCACCTTTGGATGACCTGAAAATCATGGGAACATCATGTTTATCATCTTTTTCCATGGGTTTTCCCATGGGTTTTCCCATGGGTTTTCCCCATTTTGCCTGGTCAGATTTCGCCAGGTCCTCCTCTTAGGCAGCGAAGGGTTGCCCGAGGGCGCGGTGCTCTCCTTGAAGTGGGGGTGCCCGGCAGATGCCGTCGATCGCTGGAGGGGGGGCTCCCCCGGCCAGAGATGTTGGTATACCTGTCACAAACCCAAAAAATATGATATAACTGGTATAACAATGGTAGAATTTGATAAATTTCTTGGGTTAATGTCCATGGTATCTCCCACTGGGTATAACTATGGTAGAATTTGATATTGTTTTATTTGGGATAGATTTCTTGGGATAGCTTTCAACGTGGGATTCACCCAATGCCATAAGCAACTACAAAATTTGGGGATGGTTTAATCCCACTCAGTCCTCGGGATGGTTTATAGTTGGCTTTACTGCATCAAAAATCAGATTTTTGGGATGAAGATCATTGCACATCCATTTGCACATCCATTTGCCAGCTATTGGATGATTTGGATGTTCTGGGCCTTTTTGTCCACCAGGAAGGGTTTTCACCGTTTTGACCCAGATGAGTTTGCCAAGAAAAAAACGAAAAAAAGGGACGGACCAAAGATTTCATGGTTGAGAAAATCATGTTGCCCTTGTTCGGCAGTGTATAGACTTGTTAGTTTTTTACACTTACCAATCTTACCATCCAGGACGTACTTCCACATCTTCCACATCCATGTTCAGTGTATTTCATGGCCAGGGTATCAGGCCCTCCATGTAGTTCCGGGATTTCCCAGCGCATGTTTGACTACCAGATCTCTACCCAGAAAAAAAGCCTTAAATCATAGATCCGCATGAGTGTTGCTTCAATCCCACGAACATCATATGATTTTCATGATTGTTGGTTAAATCCCCTTGAAGCTCCATATGAACTGGGGCCGCTAGACCGCTGGAGCTCAGGTGGGGTGACATGAAGCGTCAAGCGCCAGTGGGGAGCCAGAACCACACCCGTTGATGGGGACATTGATGAACATATTGAGATATGATGAGGATAGAATTGAGAATATCATTTGGAACTATATTTACCTAATTGTATGATTTCGGAAAAGGAACACATTTGGCTGGAGCGCACTGCCAACGGGTTTCTGTCGGTCTCACCTAGATTCTCATCACCGATGTGCAGGGACAGAGATTTTGAGCTACACAGTTTGAAGCTGTGTATCTGTAGATATGTTGCTTCTAAGTTAGAGATGCAATGTTGTGAAACATTGGTACTAATAATACTAATACCAATCTATTTGTCATTGATGGACTAAGCAGTATTTGGCAGGTCTCCCAAGTGGGGCAACACTTTCGTTTCAACGACTCTGCAGCTCATCCTATGCAGATGAAGGCTGGAGCGGCTGGAGCTTGGAAGAGTTGTTTGCACTTTGGCTCCACATCCAAATATGATATATATATATAATATAATATGTATATGCTAGTATATACATATATATATATATATGCTAGTATATGCAGTTTCTCAGAGCAGACCTTTGAAGATGGCCAATTGATGTTTCAATCGCCTGCTTGGCATTTTCCGCTGTGAAGTGATGAAGCCATGATGATCCAGTTTTTGAAGGTGGAAGTGCTGACACCAATGGCACCTGCCCAGAGTGTGCCTATTGACCCAGCACAGGATGCTGCAGTGGGAAGGGAAGAGTTGGATCAAATTGCAAGAACAGACAGATCAGACAGTTTTCTCGAAGCTTCTCGGAACATTGACGTTTCACGGCAGTTCATTTTCATCATATTTCCACAATTTCCATTTTCAGAAATTTTCTGAGCCGCGGCTCAGTTTTGGAAACGGCACGTTCTTTCCGCATAGGACGTTTTCGAAGTGGCCTTCGACTCCAGGATGAAGGTGGACGCCTGACATCCGACGTATCGACGATTCCCACAGTTTGATCCACTGGGAATTTTGGGGTCCGCCAGGTGCGACTTCAACATCGACCGGCAAAGGAGAGTCAACGACAAGTGGCGCCCTGGCGAGCTGGTAGCTGATGAATGGCTGATGACAAAAGCATACAAAAGCCCAAATGTATCCAAATGTATGACATGAATATCAAGTATAGATCTTGATTTATGATCGATATCTCCGATTTTGTGACCCGAAAATCACTCATGTTCGTTGTTTCGATATAAGTCATCCCATTTCCGCTATTTCCCCTCCCTTTCCTCCGTATTTTCTTGGCACCTCTCAGGTGGATATCAAGAGTGCCGATGGCAAAGGCTTGCCAGTTCACAGCTCGGATTGGGGATGGTTAGGGTTTGAGTATTGAGAGCGAAAATGAAGTGATACCAGACATGATTTTTGTTCATTTATGTTTCCCTTTGGTCTTCAAACTTGACCCAAGACCAGATTTGTCATGGATAGGACACTCGCAAGAATCTCGCGGTTGAGAACATCACTTTTTCAGGGAATTTGCATAAACGGCTCTGGACAAACCTAGATGAGAAGCAGCTTCACAGATCTTCACTGCCACTGCAGCTCTTTTGGATTCGACAGCTAGGTGGTCGAAACTTGGTACGACGAATCATGTACTAGTGAAGCCACGATAGATTATGATAGATTCATACATACTAATGGAGAATGACGAATAATGATGGATATTACCGAGTCATACATAGTTATCCTATCATTATCCTACTAAACTGCAATTTGATGTGTTATTTCGAGATTATGAGGACCTTCCACTCTCGAGACATGACTTTTGACCAAAGCTGCAGCTACACCACGGCCTTCGGTCACCAGCCATGCTCTCGGCGGAAGAATCGACTGAAGAACTCGAGCGTTCGGAGGCATGGCCAGTTGAACTCCGCAGCCTGTGGAACATTTTTGTATGAAACTTGTCAAGCTTATCAAGGGCCATTTCCATCTCTGTAGAGTCTGTAGATGCGTTTTTGGTTTCAAGGATATAGACACTGGAATGATGTGCTCGTGCTTGATTTTGAAGCACCAGTCTAAAGTGGAATCATCACTGTAGGGAACCTCTCCTATGATCCAACTACAGTGGTTTGTGTATCCTGCAGGATAGCAGCTCCAGTTGCAGTCAGCATCAGCCTGTGGTCACTGAGATTCGAGATGCACAAACCTCAAACAATAGTGGTTGGATGGGTTCGACTGAAAAATAGGGTACCCCGGAATAACATTGTCTATCATCAGTATCCACCCTAACATAGCAATTTTATGCCATTTTGGGATGATTATACAGACACATCCATATGTTGTTGTACTGGAGGGTTTCCCCAAATGTACTTTGGCTTCACTTTGGGCGTCACAGCTGAGGTCAATAAGAAGTTTCTGGCAGCAGCTCTGGGCAATTGGCTGGAGTGGTATGACTTCGGGGTCTATGCCGCAGTGCCCCAGATTATAGGCGCACATTTCTTTCCAAGTCAGGATCCCTCCGTGCAAATCATGCAGTCCTTCATGGCATTTGCGGCTGGCTATGTGACACGGCCCTTGGGGGGCATACTGATTGGAGTGGTTGGAGACCGCATTGGCCGGAAATGCGCCCTGTGGACTTCAATGCTTTTGATGTCGCTTTGCTGAAGCATGATATCATCACTTGGTTTGAAGATGCCAAGTGCCAAGCTGCTTGAGGTTGAGCCGTTGAGTCCTTCCAAATATGACATCTACATGTCTCAAGTTGGCAAAATCAACAGTTGGCTTATATAAGGCTTCAGCTTCCAACAGTTCAGACTTTGCCAAGGATGTGCCCCACCTTTCTCATTGGATGTCTTCCCACCTATGCTCATGTGGGCTGGTTCTCTACGGCGCTTTTGGTGGTGCTCAGATTGTTGCAGGGCATTGCCATTGGTGGAGAATATGTCAGTGCATTGGTCTTCAGCATGGAACATGCTCCTGGGCACCAGAAAACCATCTCTGGGGCCCTGATGCGCCTTGGAGCTGGACATTAATTTCATATCATTTCATGCAACCTTAGTATGAGCTGCATAGAGGCTGTGCTTGTCAATGGGTACTCCAAAATCCAACTGTTCATCCTCATTTTCAATAGAGAATCCATAAATATCCATAGCACTTGGCCCCAATCATGGTCTCCTCGCCCCATTTCCCAGGTCCATCTCCGTAGCCATTGGAACCTTCAGCGGTTTCGGTGTGGTGGCGCTGCTGCAGCAGCTGATGTCACCGCAGGCGATGAACAGTATCGGCTGGCGGATCTGTTTCTGGCTAGGGCTGTTGGTGGGCTTGGTGGGTCTTTTCCTACGCAGCAAGGCTTGGGTCTCTGAAAATATGGGGAATGGATGGGATATTTCCATGCATTTCCATACATTTCCATTTTTTTTGGATAGACAATTGCTTTTGGAAAGTGTTAGAGCTGGGTCCACGGGGGGCCCTTTACAACGTAAACTCATGAGTCCTTCAAGTTCTCTGGCACTTTCACACCTCGAGGTTTCGGATCCAGAGGAATTTGTGCAAGCCCGAGAGTTTGTGGCAGAGATGAATCAGCATCCCCTGTATGTACTGTGGCGCCAACACCGGCTGGACGTTCTGTTGATGGTTGGGGTTGAGGCCATTACTCCTGCTGCCTGGTATCTCGGCAACTGGTGGCATGTGGTAACTCTCTATCTCAAAATCAAGAAATCCACTCGTGCAGAGGATATGTCGGATAAACTTTCTAGATCCACTAAGCTTCGACTTCCACTTTCAGGTATCAGAATTTCATTTGGATCCTGCAGCTGTATGATGGCACGCTTTCACATCAGAAACCTATAGCTGGAGCAGCTGAACTGAATACCACGATGCAACTGGCGCCGTCCGCGCTGGTGTTGATCATTGCCGTGTTGCGAAGTAGCTTTAATTTCAGAACTGCAGAAGCTTGGAGACAAAACTATCCACATGTCGGTCCGCTATTTTCGAAGTTTGAAACCCATATGACCTGTGATTCACCGTTTTCTTTGTGATTTCTCTTGGTGGTTTCCATCTTGCAACATGCTTTCAGAGAAGGGGACAGAGTGTAGAATCAAAGTGAAACCATGTGGAAACAAAGCCCTGACAGCAGCATCGTCAGAAACAGCTGTATGTTCTCACTGTGATTGTAGTTCTCTTTCTCCTGCTAACCCAGGATTAATATATAATAGGGCCGGATATGGCCGGATATTTTAATTTATGAACAAAGTTTAAAAATCACGGGGGTTGACGTTAGGATGCCATTTTCGTGCACTTCCACATTTTTCGTTGCACAGTTAGGTGCGTTTAGGGATGATATGGCTGGCCATCTTTGCATTTCCCGGCTACTGGCTGATTACGTTGCGAAGTTTCTGGGGCGCCTTTGCTGCGCAGCTACTCTTTGCCATTGGGGCTGGCTTTGTGGCATGGGGGAACCCATTTCTCATGTATCATGGCTGTGATGGCTGAGCTAAGTTTTGCAGTTTTGAATAATTTTGAATGGTGAAATGAGATAAATGAGTAATTAGATGATATTAGATGATATTAGATGTATATGATTAATTATAATTATATAGTATGTTTTAATTGAGAGCAACTGTCCAAGAGGCATGACACCCGACGCCTGTCACCTGCAGTCTTCTTGAGATGCAAATCAGCTGCACAAACTGGCCGCAAGGCAATTTTTCAAACATTAACATACATTCATCACATTTGTTTCTTGCCTGGTAGATGTGAGGCATACTTCCTTTCCTGTGCATATCCGTGTGGTGGCCATGGGAATCAGCTACAACATATCTGCTGCAATCTTTGGTGGTCCAACGCCTTACGTTTGCTCACAGTTGCTGGTACATTTCGGTGGCATGGCCAGCAGATTGGGCCCAGTGCCTGCTTTGAAAAATAATTGATTCCTTGGAATTGCTCAAGAATAAGTGCAGAAGGGTCTGTGAGTTCTTGAACAAGCCTAACCACAGTTTGCAATTCAATTTACCAGTGCTAGTGCCGATTTGCCAGTCAATGCCTTGACTGCAATCTTCGGAGCCCAGGTGTTTTAGCGCCAGCTTTGTGGCTGGTATTCATGGCACTCTTGTCCTTCGGCAGTATGCGGATCCTGCAATGCCGACAAGAGAACAGAACACAAGCCGACTGCGGCACTCAGGGCGTGCTTCCCCTTCAGATTGGCAGCACGTGAAAAAGGCTTGGCCCTGTGCATTTGGAGCGGAACGTCGTACGCACGGTTAAGATACTGACAAATGAACCACTGGTTTGCTTCCTGTCAGTTCGCAAGCCCTATGTAACTGATGTGACTTCATAGGAAACATTATGTACATGTGCATTAACATACGTATGTTAAACCCAGGCACTCCGGAAACAGCTTCATTTGTCCATTATCCTCCCAGACTGAGGCAGAGCGACTCCAGATGGCACAGCAGGCAGCCTCATACTTAGAGGCGCCCAGGGGCCCATGCTGAATAGATTGCTGGTAAAATCTACAGGAAACCCATGGGTTTTTAGATGTGTAAAAGGCCCGAAATATCGGGGTTTCCTGAGTTTCTTTTGCCTTCAGGCCAGTCTAGGATTGAATAGCTTACAGGAAAGAGTCTTGTCTCATGCTCCTGTCTCTGGCACTAGATTCTCAATTCTCACAGGAGGTTTTTGTTCCGGAATCGGATCGGCCTTCTGGTGAGAGTACACCGCCGTACAATCAAGACTGCCATGGCTGCCATGGCAATTTCGTATGGCTTTTATCCTTTTTTATCCTTTCCAGCTTCTTCGCATCTGCGATACCGGACTTGCCAGGAGCACGACCTAGTGAAAACCTTCCAGGACGCTGTCCGGCGATTTTTCGGAGTCGTTTTTTTTTTGTTTTCGCCGAGTGCTTGGAATTTTCAGTCTGCTTGTGCCCATTGGTGGGCAGTGTATCCTGGCAGGAGATACTCCATGGCCTTATTGTGACCAAACCAGCTGATCCACACCTCTATGTTGAGGCGCCGGGAGGATATCATGGTTCATGATTCCTCTATTCTTGGGTCCCTTGTGATCTATTGATTTACTACTGCTGAAAGCTGGATATGGTTCAGTGGCGATGTCTCTTACAACGTACCCTTTCTTCATTTGTTGGCACTCTGTAGGCTCATTTGGCCAAAGCCAAGAAAATGGTTGGGGCCTCAGTGCATTTTGGCCACGATGAGATGACACCGGGACTGATGACCTGCCAGGCCAAAGGTGGTGATGCGCCTTGGCTCATTTGGGTCTTCTGAACGGTGCTCGGCACACTCCCATTTCAGGGAGTTGTTATGATATGTTATGATATTCAACACACACACACACATAGTCACACACATGGTCACACACACACATATATATATATATACACATATATATATAGATACGTGTATGTATATATACATACATACATACATACATACATACATACATACATACATACATACATACATACATACATACATACATACATACATATATATATATACACATACATATATATATGCTTTAATATACTTTTATAACATGGCAACATGATTCACATGATAAAAAACACATTACATCAGGATTTTTTCACCCCTTGATTTCTGGCAGTTTCTCGCCAAGGCTCGGATGCTGTGCAGTGCTGGCCGTGACCTCGATGATTTTCAAGGGGGCACTCCAATGACTTGAGAAACAAACACACATATATTGAGAATATATACAGTATAATATATATATATATATACACATACATTCATATACGTATGTATATATGTATATATATATATATTATTGTACGTATATCTATAACTTTATGATATGACTGGGTGTAATATGGTATAATGGTATACATATACAATCTGTGTCTCTGTGTGTTACATGATTTCCCAGGCGAGACGGATCGCTGCAGTGGCGCAGCTTCTCCGGCTGGGACTGAGCTCTACAAGGCCAAGAGGAGACGCTCCAGTGTCGGGGCCCGTAGTGAGTTCACTGGGAGTTCGACCATAGACCGATAGGTTTTTGAAAGGGATCCCCAAGTCACCATAGATTTCAAGATGTTTCAATCTGTTTCAATGGTCTGATTTGAGATGATTTGGGGGGCACCTCCATTTTAGGAGCCTTCCAGATGGTTAGCTCAAAGGTTGTAGAGCAGCACTGGTTAGCAACTGAGGTGCGTGAGCACATGCGTGCGAATCAACGCAATGCGGTGGGTTGCTCCAAGGCGGAAAGCGGTTCACGTGGCCCATTTTTCAAGCAGGGCTGCTGGTGGGTAGTGCCCCAGGTTGAGGCTCTTCTATTGACACTAGAAGCAGCCAGCAACAACTTGGAGTTGGCATCAGCCCCAGCCACGGCTAGCACATGTTTCAACGAATATGGATTTGTCTGAAAATCATATACCCCCAAAAAATTGATGGTTTATCATCATTTTTACTAATTATTCACATTGCCATTTTGGTGTGTAAAATAGCACATTGTCAGACACACCTAGATTGCAATCACTTTTTGGTACTTAATTCGCGGGAGTTGAGTGGAAAAACTCAGGTCTTGCATCTGGTCCCAGACACCTTGCGAGAAAGTATCTCGCATCCCCAATTTGTGCAACTGCCTGGAGCTCTGTCGGTCTTGGAGATGTGGATAGATTTCTATTTCCTAATCTGGACAATGGTAAACCTCCAACGAAGTCATTTCAAGGCGAACTTTGGAGAGAAAAAAACTGTGGATGTGAGGGGATGGGCGTGTTGGGACAAGTTCTGCAGGGTCTGCATGAGGTGCGAAGAGGAATTCCAGAAATTGGATAAGGAGCAGCGCGGCGAGGAGCCTTGGAAAATCATGGCCATGATGTCCCCTGAAACTGGATGAGGCTCCCTGATGGCCGTTCCCTACCATGTTGTTGGAGTTTGGCTCTTCCCAGAACCTGGTAAGACGAATGTCAAAGGGAAAAACACATGAAACATCATGAAACAACTATTTGTGTTGAGGAGAACGTGTTGGAAACCTGTTTGTTTCTGATTATCTCTTGAGGTGAACTCACGTCGGACGATTTGTTGGATGTGATCGTGGTGGCCCTATGAACAAACTCAGCATGAAAGCGCTACAAAAGCTTTCGAACATCACCGGCAGATTATTTCACTGGCAAGGTGATGGTTTTGACATGTTTTTTTTTAAACTAACATAGCTATGGAAAATCACAATTTTTGATAGGTAAATCCACTATAAATGGCCATTTTCAATAGCTATGTTAAATTACCAGAGGGTACCAGTTGAACATGTTTTTTCAGCACAACTTCTGCAACTATGAAGTGATGTCAGCTCTACCTGCGCCCTCGAGGTGGAACTCAGTCGTTCGCAAAAGGAGTCGATCTCACAAGTGCAATGCAGGTCGGGCCGTTGGGCCGAGTCCGGGGTGAAACTTATGAAATCAAAATGCATCAAATGGGCACATTAATAAATGAAATTCAATGAAATTCAAACACATAAGACAACCATTTGTTCCAATTTATCCAGCAAATTATATCCTGTTATATATATATGTCATGTTATATCAAATTGTATGCAATATTTTTGTATTTTTTTTGAGCAGAGTTGCTGAGATCTTGGCCAGGAAGTTCGCTGAGATGTTCGACAGCGACCAGGATGTCAAGACGTTGGTGGCAAGTGATAAATGAAGACCCTGCTACCATGCTGGTGATTCGGCGTCTGAAAATCATCTCAGTAGCTTATCACATGTACCATACAGAAGAGGCACAAGCATCACCAGCTTGTTGCTTTTCATTGGCAGGACGGGCTGATCAGTGTTTCGGAGTTCACTCAGATGGTGCAATTTGTCACCGTGGCAAGTTGGCTTGAGAGCGAGGACCCTTGACATGCCGTCGCTATAAGATGTACATCTCAATACATCTCAATAATTCGTGAGAAGTCTGGTAAACAAACGTCAGCAAACGTGCTTGACATCACAGCCGTGAATTCTGCAGGAGGGAAAGCATATGATTCAAAAGGCAGGTGGTGGCGCATCAGTTGACCGTGCGTCATTGAGACCTCGTGCCATGCTTGTTGCAGGTTGAACACTGGACAGCGGGCATGGCCAATGATGGAATGATGTATTTTCTAAGTTTGGACTGACGGCTGACCTTTTGGAGCAGTCTCAGGAAGTGTGCTGAGCCTAATTTTGTTTGGCAAACATTCTTTCTTGGTTTATTTTCCAACTGCTTGGATTCTTGAAGACAGGACTACTAATTTCCATCTTTTGAGAAAGCCAACGATCTTTGCCTTGGACCCATGCGGATGTCAACCGCAGGCTTCACTGGCAGAACAGACCTTTCAGGAGCCGTTTTGGGTGGAACGGAAACATCTCGGCGAGAAACGGCGGTTGATTTCGGTCGTTATCTCCCCTTATTTTGATTGCAGCCACATGTCAGAGATATGCAGTTAGATCAACTTACAGTAGATCATCAGATATTCTGGACAGAATGCTGTGACCATAGAAAGGAGCTGGTGAAGACAGCTGGCTTTTTCCCATCATTTAGTTTATTTCAGTTTCATGACGGAATGACCGGATGAAGGCAAGAGCGAAGCACAACAACCAAAGGAAACCGTCAATCTATCTATATTCTGGATTAGCTCCGCCACAAAAACAGAACCAGGTTCAGTTTAGTTGTGATCTTTAGACTCCATCCGAAGCATCGCTGACAAAGTGGTCCAGTGGTCCAGGACTTTATCAAGATGATCGAAGCAGACAAGGAGCAGTGGAAACGCTCGTGTGAGTTCTTGTGCTCTGCAAGTACCAGTAGCACAAGTACCGTTGTTCTGATTGTTCTGCAACACAACTGCTTGTGATGGTTTTAAACATTTCCATTTACACGTTTGTCCTGTCCATCATAGATTGCCCACCATCTGTCTGAGCATGGCACAGGAACGGCTTTGGAGCATCATTCCCTTTCTGCCCGATGGATTGGCAGAGACCTCAGAGCTGCAAAAAACAAGGGACAAAAAACACAATCAGGTTTGAGCCATCCTGAAAGATCTTGCAATATGCTACAATATGACTAATATGACGTGTATATGTGTGTACATATATATATATATACACTATATACATATAATTGTATGTATGTATATATATAGTATATTATATACACACATGATATGTATGTATATGTATTATACACATGTATATTGTAGATATAGTTTTTCAGTAGTTGTTATAATAGATATACTATAGGGATTGTAGATGTATTATAGATACATTACAGATATATTGTAGATATATTATAGATACATTATAGATATATTATAGATATGTTATAGATACATTATATATACATTATAGATACATTATAGATACATTATAGATAATTTATAGATAAATTATAGATACATTATAGATATATTATAGATATATTATAGATGTATTATAGATGTATTATAGATATATTATAGATAATATATTATACTAATTATATATATATATATTTCAGGAACTTTTCAGTTTTCACCCCCACTTAGATGAGCCCAGTTGACTTGGTCTTTTTTGCCAGGTGACCCATCTGACAGGCAGCAGCTTTGAACAGGCGGGGAAAATCAAGATTTGGGGATTATATCTGGGGAATATCACCGATATCTGGGGGACAATATCTGGGGAATGTCACTGCTCACATTAATTACCAGTATTTCAGACATTGAAGAGGTTGATCCATGTAGATCGATGTAGATCCATGGCTTCCAGGCCTGCTATGAGCAGTTCGACGGCCTTGACGTGGACAAGAGCGGCACCCTCGAGCCACTGGAGCTGCTGCCGGTGATCCAACTCATCTGTCAGACGGAGGAGCGACGTGCCATGATGGTGGTCAACTAACAGCTTGCGAACTGGAAAACTACCATTTTTAGCAGGTAAATCAACTACAGTGTATATATATATATCAACCCTTTCTATGGCAATTTTTAATAACGAACTGAAAGAACTTACCAGAGGGCAATGTTGGTAAAACACTGCCATCAACCACCCATGACTGGGAATGGTAACCATACCACATCTGAAAATGGTGATGACTGGGGGATGGTTTATGGCACTGTTTTACCCACATCATTTTTTTTTGTGTGTACACTATTTAAAAGAGAAAGCCATTTGATGGAGCATGATCATGCAAAAAGGAGATGTGAAGATGAACTCACATTCTTGTATCTTCTTTTATCATCTCTATCAGGGCCTATTAGATGCAACTCCAGTTGGATCAGATGGGTTTTCTGGACGGAATGGCAAGTTGCGCTATCCACGTTGAGATAGATTGTCTGCACGAATGCTGTTGTGATTCTCATTTGGCATCTGATCAGGAACATGCAATGCAAATGACTGAAGAGAAATGCCGCAGGCTGGTCGCTTCATGTTTAGCAGTCTAGCAGGCAAATGAGCTGGGCCCAAGATTTGTGAACTTGCAGATACACCAACCACCTAGAGTTGCATGAGCTTGGGGAATGAGAGGGTGCGAATGCATCCTATGCACACATTGTGTGAGTCCAGTTGCGCCGCAAGGTTCACAAATCTCTTCGACACAGATGGCAACGGTGTGATCCAGCAGCTCGGCTCAGACTTGTAGCAACCGCAGCAGCATCACTGGAAAATAGTGCATTGTGAATCATTGCGAGTCATTGCGAATGGCATGAATGGAGAACTCAAGAGCAAGACAAGGACAATGATTGAATGCTATATGTATACCACATTGTGATATGATCGAATTATCGTCCGTTTGAAAATTGTGCGGATTCTTCATTTGCCAGAACTAGATTCCATCAAGCCTCTCGTTAAACATTTGCCGCGCCCAAGGCGTGATGAGTTCATCGAATTTGCGCAGTTCCTGACGGTCATGAACTTCCTGACCAACACCGAAGAGGGTCAAAGCGTCAATGGCCTCAAACCAGTTCGAACACGGTCGACCCTTTTGAAGGATTCGATCCTCAGGTAAACAATCGTGGCAATGTTGACAATGGAATGTGCCAAATTTGGATTTCAGAACATCATGCGGAACTACATGGAACTACGATGATTTTCGATTGCCTGGTTTGAACACTTGAGGCATCTTGAGGGTGACACCGGGCGACGGCTCTGCCCCCCCCAGGTGAATGAAAGAGCGCAGCAGGTGGTGAACCAAAGCTTGAAAACCGATGCACTTTATGAGATGTTGGAGCAGGACGGATGGACAGATGGGTTAAGTCGGTTAAGTCATGCAGTTTTACCTGGGATCCACAGAGCGATTTGGTAGTCTACGAGCTATGCATCCGACTCTTGAAAGGCTAATACACAGCTCATTTCCAACAACTCAACCAAGCCAAATTACCTTTTGTTTCTCTACTGATCCTAGAGCGAGTGTACATGCAAAAAACCAGTCAGTCCTTCAATAAGTTCTGTTCAAGCTACAGCCCAGAAGCAAATGCTGTGATACAAAATAGTAAAGTCTCTTGGTTCCCAAGTCTCAGATTTTCACCCCTCAATTTTTTGGATGAGAATTGGAATGTCATTGGATAGCTTCCACCCAGCCATTTGACAGGAAGGGCCCCAGCATTTCAGGGTGAATTACAATGACCTCTTTGTAAATGGTGGTTGGTAAGGGGAACCAGAACTTTATCTATGTGGGCTTGTTGCCATCCTGGTAAGAACCGTGGTTTCTGATGGTTTCTGATGGTTTCTGATAGTTTCTGATCGTTTCTGATGGTTTCTGATGGTTTCTGATGGTTTCTGATGGTTTCTGATGGTTTCATTTATTCAAAATTCACTTCAACCACTCCGCCGCTATAGGAACCATTCAGCAGCCCAAACAGCCTGAGGACCCGGATCTACTGGCTGAAGTGCTGCCACATTTGCCAAAGCCACTGTATTGGGCCTGGGACTCAGCTGTGTCATTTGCCCATCATATGGGCCACAAGCAAAACCATATAGCAAGCCCCAAAAAGATAGAATAGCTTTTATAAATTCCTCTTAAAAGAGTGGACACTTGTGGAAAAAATGCATGGATAGGATGGGTATAGAGTTGCAGCTACATCCATGAAGTTATATTGATGTCATCTGCCGCCAGGAACTTACGAGCCTGGAATTTAACAAGGCGTGGAGGCTCATGGAGAAGCTGCTAAGGTCCTATGCGACAGATCTTGGCAACTGCCAGATTCGTTGCAGAGGTTGCATTCTCTGGCCGGATAGCGTTGCTGATTTCATGCGAATCAATCAGTTTTTTGCTAGACCAAGGCGATTTTATGCTTTCAATGATGTGTGGCTTTCTGACATGCGGATTTGCGAGAATAGTTGCAATTTTAACAATGGAAAATACTGTGTATGTGATAAGTTTGTATGAAACCAGAGACGTAGAACATTTTCGCAAATTTCAGATTGCACTGCCTACATATAACCATTGATACATCCACATATATATATACATATATATATATATATATATCCATATATATATATATAATATATATACATATATTATAGATTGCCAGTGTTTTAGATCCATTTTGGATCAGTCACTTGGAACTGCGAGATGTGTCAAACTAAGGCCTGCATGGATGGCTTCCAGGCGGCCAAATTCCGAATTCCCATGTGCCCTTGGTGTACGTACGAATATAAAATCAAATGTATATAACCCTGATGGGATACATAGAATACGGAATCGATAGTTTAGGCCTCTCATATATATATATATATATCCATGTATATATCTTTATGGATATATATATATATAGATATGTATTTCTATATTTATAGATATCCATGTATATCCATGTATATCCATATATATATGTATATATAATATATATACATGTATATATATATATAGATATACGTGTATACATATATATGTATATATATATTATATACATATTATATTATATATACGTGTATATATATACACGTATATAACACGTATATATATATAATATACACGTATATCTATCTATCTATCTACCTATCTACCTATCTATCTATCTATCTATCTATCTATCTAATCTAATCCAATCCAATCCAATCCAATCCTATCCTATCCTATCCTATCCAATCCAATCCTATCCTATCCTATCCTATCCTATCCTACCCTATCCTATCCATCTATCTATCTATCTATCTATCTATCTATCTATATCTCTTTCTCTCTCTCTATATATATATATCTTTATACACATATATGAGATATGTGCACTTTGGCGATGGTATGTGCTTTGGTGGATCCTTTTTCGAGGCGGGAACCAGTCAATCTGTGTGCACCAGGCGCAAGCCGGAGAGCACTGCGACCCATCCACCACTGTGCCTCCAGGGATGCTGACGAATGCCCAGAAGCCCGGGGGGTTGCTGACCCAAAAATGGATTCAACTCGAATCTATCTTGGGGCCAACTTTAAATGTGGCTGGTGGTTTGACATACCTTTCTATTCTCAAAGCGAATTTGGCATGATGATCCCAGCTGACTAATTTGTGATAGGTTGAAACCACCAGGCAGGAAAAGACAGAGAAAAAAGAAATGAACGGCATTTTTCGGTTTTGATAACTCCAAAAATTCTCCATGTCCTGGCCAATGCTAGCTATATCAGGTTATATCATGGCATATCATTGGTTTCGTAGACTTGCAACAGACATGATGATAGGGCAGCTGAAATCTCTGAGAGATGAATTGAAGCTGAGGTTGTCTATCAGCTGATGCAGGCATAGTTCTCAAACGTGGGCATGGGAAAATCATGGAAGATCAGCAGCTAGGTGCCGTGTCATTTCCAACATTCAAAGCCATAAAGTTGGGGTATGAAATGGTATCGAGTTTTGGGGTGAAAAAATCCTTCGAAACATAATGGGTTTTGCTCATCACGGGATGCAACTCTGCCAGGGTCACCCCTTCAGCATCAGTGAAGAGCATTGTAACCACTTCATCAGCCGATGGGAAACTCGTCAGCATGGTGAGTTTGGCACAGCGTGTGTGATGCTGGTGAGTTGGTAAATGAAACTGACATCCTATGCCGCATTGTGGAATATTGGACCATTCGGCATGCTGTTTTTTTTTGATAATCTAACCGTGGATAGACATCGTGATTTTTTATTTGCATCTTAAGATCTGTTGATGATGGTGAGGCCTAAATAGTAGAGTATCCTTGTGGCACAGTTCCACTGGCCAGCACCGAGGGACAACAGTTTAAAGACCGAGTGGTTGGGAATCAAGATCCATTCGATGCACAAAAGAGTTTAGATTTGGGCACGGGGCAACTATTCCACTATAATTCGATAATCTAGAGGTTTTGTGATACAAATGGCACAGAACAATAGATTTACCATAGATAATAACTATAGATAATCTAGCTCTACCATACCCAAATCAACTGGCACATCGCTGATTCCTCCAAGGACAAAGACCTGAGGAACGCCGTCACGCGGTGGACTCAGTGGACCCAGTGGACTCAGTGGACTCAGCAGACAGCATCAATGAGGTCAGCTGAGTTCTTGTTGCTGGCGCGCTACATCATTGTCATGGGCTTCCTGAATTACCAGCTGCAAAACCAGGAGACTCCAAAAGGGCGATGTGCTAAGCTGGCAATGTGAAGCATTTTGCACTTCACTTAGTTCTAAAATCCATGGTGGAAAGTTGATGCTGGCAATCCGATGCCATTCCCAGCAATCCCATTCCACCATGACCCCATCTCGCTATGTCTCCCTATGTTTCCATGTCCTCGGCTCGGTAGAACGATGGACCGCTACCAGATCCTCCCGGTAGGATACTCTGGTGGCAGATTCCATGTTGGGCAGCGAGAAGATGGAGTCCTTGTTGGTTGCCCTGAAGAAAGGCCCGCAAAAATGCCAACTTGGGAAAACCATCCCAAATGACTGACGTAACCTTCAACAAATGCACATTGGTGTGTTTGAAAATGGATGAAAATGGATGACAATCATATAAGACCCCAAATTGCCGTTTCCATAGGGAACATGATGGTAAACGATGTTTTTTTTTTTGCATATGTTCAAACAAAGCCACATCTGAAAGCGCATGATTTTGGGGCAATCAATTCCAAACCCCAGCCGAAGGCTCTGAGATGGTCTGGGAGATCTTACCATTCCTTCCAGAGGCTGGTGTCTGATGGAAGTGACTCGTGAGTCAATTACTAGGTCCTGTAATGAAAGGCGTCACAAACTCATGTGTTTTGTTTATTCGGATTTTATCAGTCTTTACATTATAAACCTAATTACCATTACTATGGGTTGGTCAAATGATTTCCGATGTTTCATCTGTTCCAATCACAGTGAAGGCAGCAACGCCAGTGGCTAACTCATCTGAGGCCTTGGTGGATGAGCTGTCCAGCGACACCTTTGAGCAGACGTGTATCAACTTTTTCAACCATTTGGACAAGGACCAGTTTGTAAAGATCATTGGGTTGGTTTACGGGACAATTTACAGGAAACCCGGGAACCCCCATATTTAATTGTAAAAAAACATGGTTTCCAGTTAAGATTTTCCCTTCAAGCAATCCAATGAAAAGAGTCAAATGAGTCACTTGGAGGTCTGGATTGATGGGTTGATCTCAGTTGATCTCAGTTGATCTCAGTTGATCTCAGTTGATCTCAGTTGATCTCAGTTGATCTCAGTTGATCTCAGGAAAATGAAGACAACATCAGTTTCAGAGGATAGACTTTTTGAAGTTGGATGAACATGACGTACCTTAGGACTATTTGGGACTCAGATGTGTGGTTTGGGCCCATGTTTGGGCGTTCAACAGCATTGACTCCCATGTTTGGATGGTTTTTGGGATGGTTTAAGTTTAATAAACTTTAATACTCAGAAAGTCTAAGTTTTTTGGATCATTTAACTTAGAATATCTTATAATTAGTACTCAATTTCTGCAGTTTGCGGTCCATTAGTCCATCTTTTTTCGCCGTCCAGGATTCCAACGGTATCTTGGAGCCGATGGAACTGCTGCCTGTGGTGCAGGAACTGACCCAGGAGCCAGACGGTGTGTCCTTGATTGTCCTTGTAACATCACCGGGTCATGGAGGGGTCAACAGAACTATCCCTGAGACCTCATGAATACGCCCGTTTGGTTTTTAGATGTTCTTAGTACCCCAATGTGATATGTTATCTTGATGAAAACTCCGGAAGAACATATATGTGCGATGAAGTTTCTTGGGTGCTTTGCTCATGTGGTCATCAATCCACTTTCATAGGTATTTAATATGATTTAATGGTATTTAATGGTATTTATTAATACCCATTCTCTTGGGATTCCAGGGATGACCGGCTGCCGTCCCTTCGTCCCATCTTTGGCGCGTGCAGAGGCTCATGCCTTCGTCCTCACGGAGGATCACTGCAAGCGCTTTGTTGACATTTTCGACATCGATCGGAATGGAGTCCCTGGGCAGATGTCGTTGCCACATGTTTCGGGGAAGGGTACGATGTAGGACTTCGGAAATTCATTCTCAGGATCAGCCTGGCAGTGGCAGTTTGAAGGTGTTTTTGGACCTGGAAGGAACTTGCTATCTTTTGAAGGTCATGATTTTCCATGATATCATTTCCCTTTGTGCCTCGAACATCCTGAGATCAACTCTGAAGGGACAAACAATTGACTGTGACAGTTCAAGAATTACAAAGGGATGGAGTGATAGTTCAAGTCTCCTAGAAATCTCCTGGATACTCGTTGAATCTCAGGTTATCGCGAAGGAAGAGTTCGTCAACTTTGTTTGGGCTCCAAGTCGCAGTTGTTGCACGACCAATTGGTGAAACTCTACTCGGTGGTAGCAAGAGAGTGCCACTCTTGTCTTGACACGTGAACCATCACTCCTGGATGAATGCCGATATCATTCTTGTTCAATGGTTTAGAACTAGATGCCTTTCACAGTCCACAATCACTTTGATAGCGGAACTTAGTCCCGGACTTGGGCGCATGCTGAGGTCCGCTATATGATGATAATGTCGCCAAGCCTAGTGAGAAGGGGCCAGTCTGTGAAAGCATAGCCTTTTTTAAGGGATTACTCTTTCTGGAAAATACATTTAGTTTTGGAGTGATGCCGTTCTTTTATTTGGCTTCCCTGGAGAAGTAATGCGGCCCGCTTAGTAGCAGCTGCAACATGTCTTTGCTGGATTTGTACCAATATTGATAGGTTTTTACCAGCAACAACAAACACAAACTTTTTTTTTGAAGAGCAGTGCCGGTTCATATCGAAATGGATGACCCTGCGCGTTTTTTTTATTCCAAAGGAGAGAAACTGAGTCAGTTGTAATCCACCTGTTTGACTGACAGTCGCCTGGGATCTTTGCAGGTCCTTCATGGAGACACCTGAAGGACAACAGGCGACGATTGAAGCCAAGGCACGGCCAGGTGGAGGGCAAGCTGGGCACTTGCCATATGGCTCGATGTGTTGTTACCCTCTGGTAATTTAACATAGCTATTGAAAATCACCATTTATAGTGGATTTTCCCATTGAAAATGGTGATTTTCCATAGTTATGTTAGTTTACCAGAGGGTACTTTCTGGTTATGGCTCGATGGGTTTCTCCAGTGGGGTACAGCGGTACGCTGCAATATCCGCCAGGTGGAAGAGAGCGCCCTGGCAGTTGACGGCCTGCTGAAGCAATTGGCTCGGGATCGAGAAGCCATTTTCAAGGCTGGAATTCTTCAGGTTGAAGGAATGCCCTCATTCCTGCCCTAGAAAATATTAGATCCATTGGGTCAAGGGACAAGGGACATCAACAGCACTCAACTTTGAAATCCATCGAGCACGATTCGGTTTGGATTAACTATCCGGAGATCGCACGATTCAAACTCCACGGCTTCTTCTTTTGGTATTGTACGCTGGGTGCATGAGATTGAGCTGTCCAAGCTGTCCCAAGCCAGGTCATGGGGTTGCTCCCCGAAGCCTTAGCCCCGGAAACCATCACTTTGTTGCCAATGTAAGCAACCAATCAGCAAAAACGAGGTGCATTTTTCGCGATCAAACTTGAGACGCGAAGGATGGCATGAGTAAGACTTCTTTGAAACGGAGTCGAGAGCTATTAAGATCTCGTTTGAGTGGTGTTGCGATATGTTGCGATGAATACAATGAGGTGGCTCAACTTTGATTCCATAGGCCCATCCATTGATTTTCTTATGACTTGCCAGTCTCCCCGGTCTCCCCGGTGTGTCCATTGATGGATCTCCCAAGGCAGTCTACTCGGAGCTGGTGAGTCAGAAATTTGTGGCGAGCTTACAGAAGTGTCATCCATGATATTTTGTCCCTGAAAAAATAGGCTTCACCAAAAATGGTGATTCAACGAAGAATTTGGGGCAGGGACATTTGCGGAACTGAATTTGGCTTTGTCAATAGACATGTTGAATTACTCCCGATCTAATGGCCATCAAATCATAATGAGGACAACGATGTAGGGCACCGTAGTTTTTGACAAACTGTGATGTTTTGACTAAATGTTCTCATGCACTTCAGCATTAGGTTGTCTCAAATTGGACGGACTTGATGTTTGTTTGGGCCAACTTCGCCAATTTTCCGGTCCCAGCAGTTGCATCCGATCTCCGGGCATGTCAGGTGAAAGACTTCAACGATGAGTTTAAACGCCTTGACAAGGCGCCCAGCTTGAAAAGTCTGGCGATTCTGTTGAAGTGTGGCGTTTGCAGATCAGAAGTTGAGATATGGCACCCAAATCTATCCATAAATCATCGTAAGATATCGTAAGTCTATCCATATCCAAGCACTTGTTGGAGTCATATCGAATGACTTCCGAAAATTTCGTCTCCTGGCTTCACGGCTTCACCTTTTGCGATGGCGCAGGATGGAAGTGGAGCTTTGGAACCTCCAGAGTCCTTTGCTGAGGGACTCTTCATGCTGCAGTGACAAGATTGCGAATCGTTTTTGTTGCTCAACTTCTGAGTGTCTACTGGAATCTCTGCGGCTTGTAACTGGAGAAATGGCGGACTAGCAGCTGAATCGCAGCAGGAAGAAATTACAATAATTATCAATTTTCAACAATCAACAAGACCTCCTAGCTGACGAGGAAGAAGGATTCAATGGTGGTAGAGGTAGACCCTCCCCCCCTTGAGTTTTCGGTCGTCCCCAAGATTGGGTTTGAGCTATCCAACATTTTGTAGGGCTTCAACCTTAGATACCGTTTCAAGACTTTGTGATTTTGGTGATCCCCGGCCTGGGTATATACGTTAGATACATGATATACATAATATATATTAATATATGTATATATATATAATATATACACGATTTTTGATATTGGCTGTTGGTGGTAGTACTCATTATACATGCTCCATTGAAAAACAGGCGTTCGACCTGCACGTGGACTGAGGCTCTTCCCAGTGATCGTCCGCCTCGCCCAGTCCAAGCCTTTCGCGGTGACACTCGAACAGTTCCTGGTCCAGATGGGTTGGAGTCGGCAGGATCTTACCAGTAGTCATTGGATTGTAATGGATTTTGATGGATTTTAATGGATTTAATGGATCATTGGATTGGTTTAAGGGAAAATCTTATCTGGAAACCATGGTTTTTACCATTAAGATCATGGGATTTTCCTGTAATTCCCTTAAACCAATCCAATGATATAGGAATCTGCAACTAGAGACTTATTTTGTTAGCAATTTGGGGAGGTGAAGTGTCTAACAGGGATGAATCTTTCTCTATCCATAAAGCTTTCTTTGAAAATAGGCTGCCCCAAACCCTCTGCTTTTAAATCTCCCATCAAAACTGCGACCTACTCCATGTTGGAGTTTCTTAGGGCCTCATTGGCCCTTTATTTCCACAAAATGCTTGGGGTTTCGACGTGTTTCGACCATTTTCAACCCACAGCTGGTGGCCATGCTGGAAAAAAGGTGTGCCGACTTCACCCAGATTTTTGACCTCCGTGGCGATGGCGTCATCCGCGCAGACGAGTTCCTGGATTTTGGCAGGCGGCCAACGTGGCATGGAACGTGTTTTTTTTGCAGTGATTTTGATGTTGGTGGAGTTGGGTCTTGAGGATTTTGGCGAAAATTTCGATGGTTTCTTGGGTAATGTTTTTCATGAAATCCTTACGAATAACTTCATTTTCATGGGTGGTTTTTTTTTCAGGATGGGTCATACTCGTACAACTCAGATCTAGAGCTGGGCCAGGTTTCTGTTCATCATAGGATATCTTCACAGCGAGGACGGCAAGGCGGGAGATTTTCGCAAGCAGCGTGTGTCTGAGACTGAAAATAGCGGATTCCCTAAATGGCCATCAGCCATGGGAAAATCCATTGGAATTGGGGGCGCCTTATTTTCAGACTAACCCACAAGCTGAACTTTATCTGCGGGATGGTGAGATGTCTGAGGCTGCAGCAAATGAGGCAGTGAAAGTCTTGAATGACTCCCGGCGTATTGAGGACAGCTGGGTAGCTGGCAGTCGGTGATTGCTCAGATCTTCCACCATTTGAAGGTGGGCTAGTATCTACATTTTTACACTAACAGAACAAATGTATAGACATTGCTTGGTGAAAAGTCGCCAGTGATCTATGAAATGTCTATATATGTACTGTATGTCTGTTTTTGTATCTGTCTATATGTCTATACTGTCATATCATATCTATAGTCTATAACTATGGTTATGTCTATATCTACTGTATATTTGTTCCTATATCCGTATCTATATACACACCTATATGATTCGACTGCCAATATCCATCCGAGAAGCGCCTGAATTCCTTGATGGTTGATGGCTTTACTGTATATTATGGTGTTATACTGACTGTAACTGAGACTAAGGGTTTCCCCTAAACCTCATAGGCTGCTGGTGTGATCTCCCAGGATGTGATCCTACTTACAAATTTCGAAACATCAAAAAGCATCAATTTTTAGATATTATACTGATATTAATTGATATTACTGTATCCAAGATTTCACATACTGAAGGGTCACTTCCGAAGCGCCATACTTGTCCGGCGGTTTAGTTTGTGAGTTGCACTCTGCCAATCTCATCACTCCCCCAGCCCAAGCTGCACTCACCCACAACAACCCGCCAGATTCTTTTCACTTAACACAAACAGCAAACTTGTTGTTCGCGAGCCCTTCTTGAATCTGCCATAGATTTGTGGGGATTTGGAGGATGTATGTCCAGCATGTGCAGCCAAATAGGGTTTTCACAAGCTAATTCTAGAGCAGTGATGCCTTTGAGACATTCAAATGTTCACCTCAAATCACTTCAAAGCACATGAATTTCACCTCGGACCCTCAAACTCACAACCCTACCGCGGACGCCGCGGACGCCCTTGTAGCAGACTGACTTCAAGTGTTGTGTTCAAAAAACCAAGTTCCACATGCGGTAACGCCAATCATGGTGAGTTGACATGGTCTTCAACCATGCAGTCGCAAGTGGGAGAAGTTGAAAGAGTGATTTTGATGAGATTTGAGCAGATTTGTGTCAAGGCATAAGAGTGACAAACTTGATTCGAGATGATACCAAAGTGTACAGCTCATACCAAAATTTGCCATGAAAAAGACCTCAATGAAGAGTGCTACAAAAGACTAGGTCAGAGTAGCATCTTATGATGTACACAGAGAATAGAGAAGATACTTTAAGATAGGATAAACTAAGAGAAGAAGATATAGATTAGATTACATTGTGGTAGTCTAGACAAGACTAGACTAGATAAGATTGGACCACATAGATATACATAGATTAGATGAGATTAAATAAGATTAGGTAAGATTCGATAAGATTAGATAAGATTAGATAGGATAAGATTAGATAGGTAGGTAGATAGATATAGATAGAGATAGATGGATATGTGGATAGATAGAGATAGAGATAGAGCAAGAGCAAGAGCTGAGCTAGAGATAGACAGATAGACAGATAGACAGACGGATAGACAGACAGATAGACAGACAGACATACAGACAGGCAGAAAGAAAGATAGATAGACAGACAGGCAGAAAGAAAGAAAAATAGATGGATGGATGGATAGATGCATGGATGGATGTATGTATGGACAGACAGATAGATATGTAAATAGATAGATAGTGTAAACATCTGTAAACATCTGTAACCCCTGTCCTTTGGCATTTTGAAGCACTGCAACCAGGACCTTTTAGAAGGAATGGAACGAGACCACGCTGCTGTGCAGCAGGTCGCTTTTTATGAAGCTCCAGGGATGGGGCCATGTTGAGATAGGCAGATACCAAACACGGGGGATTTAACCAGCAATTATGGGTACTGTTTGGATTTGATATATATATATATAATACACTGTAATTAATATATATATATACATATACAGTATATATATATATAATTATATATATATATATACACACATGTTTTTCTTCTTTTCAATAGGATGATCGCCGAAATGATGATTCAACGTATGGGCTGGGTCCTAGACTCTGATGGTATGCCACTGGGGCTACATGGGAGGTGGGATTCTGGTAGACGCTGCGAAAGTCATTGTCGGAAGTCCACATTGGAACGGGCAGTCCCCAGCACGAATGAATATCTGAGGGTAGCTAGGCATGTATCGAGATATTACTGCATGTTTTGTTGATTTGCATCTTTACGCCTATGGTTCTATATGTTCTATGATAGTTTTTTGTACATAGATGTAGCTGATCCTACAATATCCTACAATATCCTACAATATCCTACAATATCCTACAATATCCTACAATCAAATAATCAAAAATCCTAATGGGAACTTATTTTATCTTATTTTATGGATGATTTCCTGTAGAATGGGATTTTCCATTGCCATGTTTGAGAACTGGAGGGGATTCCATGGCTTTCTGCCAGAGCTTCGCCGCATCGCCTGGTTCAAGTCGTGTGGTGTGAAACAGACACCGTCGACAGCGGAGCAAAGTGCAGTCCTCTTGTGTCGAGCTCAAAGGGCTTTCAGTGGTTTGCAGTTCCTCAGGTCAGTTGTTTGATTTTCAGATTTGGGTATTAAACCTATGATGCCATATTTGGAGATATTTTGGGTGCATGAACAATGATGAACATTCATTTACCAGCGTTTTTTTTGGTTCAATATGCACTTCGCATGTTTCGAATCTAACTATTTGGGTAATCTCCAAAGGTGAATCACTTGACATCGACGTGAGGTGTAGAGAATGGCGCGGCCACAGTCTCGTGGTGCAGGGTCGGGCCGTCATGTGGAGCAATTTGGTCCACAAAATTGTGCCCATTGGTTCGATGTTCGAATGATTCAGAAGCATGGCCAGGCAGAAAAAGGGCAGTGAAGTCGTATAGTGACATTTTTTTGTCATACTTTGCCATACTTATTTGGGATTTTCTCAAGCAATGGTATGACGCAAGCGTTAAACTCACCCCATGGCCCCGGTCCCAATTTGGTCACGGCGCCAGGGCCGGGCCTAACATGGCCCAACAAGGTCTCGGAGTTCCGGCGCGGCGCCAAGTGCGCCAGTGCATTAACAATGATTTATGAGTATTGTATAGTATCTGTCAGTATTGTTTTGTTTGGTAAGATGATGTAAGATGTCAAAAGGTGTCTCAACATCTTGTATGTTTAGTATTGTTTAGTATGTTAAACAAAAACACATGTGAGAATGCTGCTTAAAATGATAACAATTAGTTTTAGCAGCATTCTGACGGGAAGAATCAGAATATATGAGAACCAATCATGGGCTAGTAGCAGTGATACCGATATTGGCAATGATAGCAATGATGGTAATCATCATTAATGAAGGTACTGATGACAACATGATTGCTATGTGGATTGATGTAAAATCATCATGGGGTCTGCTACACAGATCTACACAGAAAACAACTGGGAAGGGGCTCCAAGCAATGGGTTTCTTGGTCCGAGAGTAGACCATTGAACCGAGAAAGTTTGAGTCATGTCTATAGAGTCTATAGAGTCTATATATATATATATAGAGTCTATAGTCTATAGATTGCAAACACAGAGTACTGAGCAATCTTTGAGGATTTGAGCCTGATTTCCAACTGCCAATGACTGCTGCATCCCATGAGGCAACAATGCGGCCTGGAACACAGATGGGGTGTGGGAGCTCAATTTTTGAAAATGCGCTCGCCGCTGTTTGACGAGGGTAGGAAACCGTTCGCCGTTCGCCTCGGCCCCCGTGATGTTGGTTTATCTTACCCTGTCGACTGCAAGTAATTCGATATATCAAGACATATCAACCATCGGTAGCCAATCGTTACCGGTAGGGGTGGCAACCCCATGGGGCAAAGTGGCCGCGCGGGGGACCTCAGCATCAGCCGTGGGTTGGTCATTTGATGTCACGGAAACCACTGGTGATAAGGGGGTCCCCAGAGTGAAAACCAAGGTGCCAACAGCACAGGGTGGGCGCCCGTGACTGAGACAGGATTTCTGGTCGACTTGCCGACAGCAAAGCTATTTGTTGATGATCAAATAGACATATTAATTGTCATTGTTATTGCTTCTATCAGGTTCTATAATATGATTTTGTCTGTAATATCAGCTTATATTGTATAGATGTCAGGTCAATAGTCAATATCACCATTATGCGAACTGGTATATCAACGGGAAAATGCCACCATTATGCTTGTGTTCTAGCATCAAGGGTATATCATCACTTTTAGCTGTGGATTCAGCAAGGCATATCACTGACCATGACGAAGCTTCCCGAGGCATGACCAGTGCCTCCCGCACCCGACAGGGCACCGCCCAACAACCAGTGATTGGCGCGGGCACCTGCTTTTTTGTGACAATTTCATCTCGTTCTGTCCCAAGTAAAATGGGACTTGACTGGCGGACAAAGGTTGGAGAATTACAATATAAAAAGTGCGGTAATGTTTATAAAGCAATAGGATACATTTACATGGGTGGTATAAACCATCCAAATATGGGTGGTTTATGATTCCACTTGGAGTTTCCTCCACAGATCGTACCCGTTAACCCTCCAAAACAGCTATATACCATTTTAACATAGATTGTTGGTGATATGGGTGTCATGCACCACCATTCTATAGAGGCTTAATTTGGATTGCTTGAATCTGGCAGGAGTGCCATAGTATAGATATGTTGGTTTAGTAAGATGTAACAATTCCAGGGTTGGGCATGACATTCTGTAGAGTTGAAAGGGCCTTGTGTTTCGGACCTTGGGGGTTGGATTTTTTCAGATGTTCTTTTGACGCTTGTTCACCCATGCTGCCTTCAAGCCAGACACGCGGTCATGACATGCCAGCCAAGACAGAGAGAGAACCAAACAAAAGAACCCCCCCAAAACTGAACGAGAGTGTTTGAGGATTTGGGGCTTTAGTCGAATGTGAACAACGTGGGTCGTGGGGTGTCATTCTATAGAGGGTATCGGTATGGGGCAAAAAACAGCCTCAAGTGATTTGGTCATGGGCACCATTCTAAAGAATCTGTTAGCCAGTGAGACATTTGAATGTGGTTGGGAACCCCATTCTATAGAGCGCCATGTGCGGACAGGGGTCATGCGACCCATTTTAGCTTCTTTGAAATGGCACCCCATGACGGTTCGACTGAACTCGCAAGGGTATGGTTTATGATGGTTTATGGTTTATGATGGTTTATTATTGCTTTGCTTACATCAATGATAAAGCAATAATATCACAGGCATTCTGTTTGAATACTAGGCAGAAGCCAGACGTTTTGACGATGTCGTTTTGATATCAAGAGCTTTTGTGCTCAAAATCTGATGCCCCCCGGTCCCCGCTGCACTAAGTGTCACCAGATAGCAGCGGCGGAGGGCGACTCGTGGTGCACGGGCTGCAGCGCTTGGGAGTTCCTTGGAAGGGAACTCACGGCCAGTTGGGATTCTGAGGGAGCCAGGGTGCTGGCAGGTGACTTGGCAGTCACCGCCGCGCGCCAGGTTAAGGCGCTCAGATCCCTCAGCTCTGGGCTGGCCAGGGTAGCAGGTGGTCCTTCTGCTGGCACTGGCCGTGCAGAGGTTCCTGTACCCGCCGCCGAGCCCAAGCGCCGAGCAGAGCAGCCCCACACAGGACGTGATTCTTTGCCCCGAAGGAGGGCACCTCTACCACCTCCACCATTGCCCCCAAAGGAGGAGGAGAGCGAAGAAGGAGAAGAATCAGAGGAAGAGACCAGGGACCGATCAGTGGGTCGAAGCCCAGCTCCTGATCATCGGCCTTTGCCAGACGGTTCAAGGCGACCGCCTGAGCCTGACACCCATCGCGGAGAAGGAGGCGATCGAAGGGAATCCCGCAGGGCCCGTGACGCTGGCAGCACCCGTGCGTCCGACAGGTCCAGGAGATCCAGGAAACGAGAGCATCGAGAACATCGAGACGGTCATAGTTCAAGGAGGGGCCGCACTCGAGGAGGACGCAAGCATCAGCGCTTGAAGAGATTGGCAGTAGATCCTACTTTGAGGGTTCATCGAAAACCAGCCGCAGACTTCTGGGAGCTCACTTCTACGCAGGAGAAGCCCCTTGAGTGCACGCGTCTGGGCTATTGAGATGGCCAATTTCCCTGAGGGAGCTGAAATTGACGTGGACTCACACGAACAATGGAGCGCTCTGCAACCAGTGCCTGGCCTAGTCGTAGAATTCAGTGCCAAAACCTCGTCATTGGCTCATGTGGAGGACGACTGGGCTGCCTATTTTATCAGCAAAGTGGAAAATCGTTTGGACGGAAGCTTGGTTTTGTCTGGTCATTACATGGGATGCACCGACCCCGACTTGGGAAAGCAGTTGGAGGAGACGGCACCCAGGAGGGTGCTGAGAATTCACTTATGCTTGTCAAGGCCTTGTGTGGATATAGAGCCCGAGGCAGATATTCACGTCACTACTGTCAGGCTTTGGAGCTTCGAGAACTTCAAAGGGTGCGACTATGTAGTGGCTTCCAAGTGGACTGCCGCCAAACGGTGGACCAAGGCTTTGGAAGAGGAGAAGGGAGAGACCCCGGGAGGCAAGAAAGGGCCTGGGCGCAAAGCTCCTGGCGCTGGCAGGGCCGCTGGCCGGTTGGCCGAGCCGGCCCGTCGCCGTGCGCACAAGGAGAAGCCTGGGACCGACACTGCCATACCGGGAGATCTCAGAGCCAGGCTCCGCGAGAAGTTGGCGGCCGCAAAGAAAATGAAAGACGCTGGCACTCCAGCCGCAGACGTCGAGGAATCAGAGGTGGTTGCAAGCTCAGAGGAGAAATCGTCTTATACAGACGAGGAAGAACCACTGGGAACGGGAACAACTCTCCCCACACTGCGCCCGCCGGCACTTCGCCGAGGCGATGGCGCGCGCGCCGAGGGGGTGGAAGATCCATCAGCTATAAGAGACATTTCTACCAAAAGCTGGAGCGGCCAGCTGGCTTTGAAAGCTCTGGAAGTGACCAATCAGGAGGCGAAGAAGAAGAAGAAAAAGAAGAGCAAGCATCCAGGCAAGGAGATGGCAGAAGCGCTAGCCAAGATCCTTACACAGGATGGCAAGAAGAAAAAGAAGAAGAAGAAGAAGAAGAAGAAGAAGAGAAAGCGCACAGTCCTAGCAGATGGGACGATACGCAGCTACAGTGCCAGTTCGAGCGCATCTTCGGACTCGGAGGAGAAGAAGGACGAGTCAGAGACAGATCTCGAAGCCCCAGTCAAGAAACGAAGCCGGGACAAACCGGGAAGTGTGCTGGCAATGTTGGTGAACCATGTCAGAGATCAAATGGAACAAGCGGCACTTACCGATCTTCCACAAGGTCATCAAGCAGTGACTTCAGGGGTGAAGTTAGCCACATACTTCGCCCAGCAAGTGAGACCAGCGCATCCCACTTTCCTGAGGGAACTGAGGGAAATGCATTCCCTCGCTGCTACGATGGACCTCCTCAGGAGGGGAGACATAGCGAGGGTTGGAGACTCGTTGGCGGCGCGCTTCATGGCGCTACATCAAAGCATCCTGGACAATGGATGGACCACGGCGCGCTTCATGGAACTACATCCTATGGAAGAAAGCGCCGCAGGATCGGCCTCAATTGTCCTGGCCTCACGAAAACATGGAAGGTTGGTAGACAAGGTACAAGGGAAAGGAACTCCGGCATGGGGCAATTGGGGCTGGGGAGCGCGAGGTCGTGGAAAAGGCGGTTGGAAAGGATCCGGCGATTTCAGCAACGCTGGCAAGGGCGAGAAAGGAAAGGGCAAGGATCGCGGCAAGAAAGGAAAGCACAAGGGCAACCAAGGGACCTGGGACGAGAAAACCTCGGACTGGGCCAAGAGCAAGGAGACACCAGGGGACAAGTGATGGGCGGCTCTCTGGAAAAATCCGTCGAGAGCGAAAGGCCCAGTTTGGTTTCAACCACAGGCTGGAGTGAGGTGTTGAGCTGCTGCACAACCTTGAAGAGGAGTGGATGTGCGCTGGCATGGTGCCTGGCTCACGGCTGCAATATTACAGAGTTGCATGACACGGTTTTTCAGATGAGGGACTTCTTCACCCCCGGCATGAAGCACAGGGTGGCCCGCAAGCGTGCCATCTTTCCTTTGCACGAGGGAGATTTTGCCTCAATGCTGTCATGTTATGCCTGCCAGACTTTAGGACATGGCCACACCCCCTTTTTGAAGGGAAAGTGGACTGCACTGGAGACTCGACTGGTGGCTGCCGTGGAACAGACTGTCAATAGGATGTTAAGCCACGGCCATGCGGAGGTGAAAGACACTGAGGCGGTTGAAAAAGAGTTGAAGAAGCGCAGGGTCAGTTATGAGGGGGAAGAAATAGGAGTTTGTCACTGCCTAAGTTTGGAGCAAATTTTGCCGGCCTTACCACCAAAACAACATGGGGGATCTATAGACGTGTTGGAGTATGTTTCGGAGACCACCAAGCACTTCCTTGATAATCCCGAAAAACTGGTTGTTGAAGATGTGGGTCAGCAATTGCCAAAGCTACAGGGGAAAATTCACGTTCAGGGGAATGAGATTAAGAAAATTGCGGCGGAGCTGGTTGATCGAGGGGTGTGCACTTGGATACCATGGACACAAGTTGCTGAGTTTAGGAAAGAGAAGGTCCTTAATGGTTTGTTTGGCGTGGAAAAATGTGGGCTTGTCGATGGAAAGAAACCTATTTTGCGTTTAATCATGAACCTGGTGCCCAGTAACTCCATTCTCAAACAGTTCAAAGGGTTCACAAAACGGCTTCCTCATATAACTTCCTGGCTGTCTACCTACGTTGAACATGGAGAAGAACTGCGGTTATGGCAAAGTGACATGTCAAATGCGTTTTATCTGTTCGGCTTCCGGAGAAGTGGCAGAGATTTCTGGCTTTTAATGTTGTACACAAACATTGCGAGATTTATGGAGGAGATGATCAAACTTTGTTTTGCTTGGCATGTTGTGTACTTCCAATGGGCTGGGGAAGCTCAGTTTCAATCATGCAGGAAGTAAGTGAGAAACTTTTGTTAGGGGGCAACATGCCGGAATGTAGCCAAGTAGTCAGGGGTAAACCGCTGCCGAAATGGATGGTTGGTTTATTGGATGAATCTCGCACGTCTGGGCGAGCGTGGTGGCATATATACCTGGACAATTTTGCAGCAGGGGAGATTGACAAATCAGGGAGCACTTTTCTTTCAGGTGAAATTATTCACCAAGAGGCTGAACGGTTGTGGACAGCTGCTGGAGTGGTGTCAGCGGCAAAGAAGCGAAAATCAGGAGAAATCACTGGACAAGAGTTGGGAGCATATCTGAATGGAAGTGAGCGCACAATGGGCCCCTCGCCAGAGAGGATGATCAACTTACTTTTGGGAACTATGGCACTCTTGAGCAGGAGAACGTTGTCACGAAAGTTACTGCAGGTCATAGCTGGAAGATGGATACATGTGTTTCAGTATCGGCGACCAGCCATGAGTTTTTTAGAGAGTACCTGGGAGTTTATTAGCTCAAAAGGGACGCTACTGGACCTGCAGTACAAAGTTCGCCGAGAATTGTTTGCTTGTATGTGTGGACTACCTATGATGCACACATTCCTGGGAGCTGAGATTTCAGAGGTCATAACTGCCAGTGACGCCTCAAGCTTTGGAGGGGCGGTTGGAATCGCAACACACCTCAGCAGCGAAGGAGAGGACTTTGTGAAGAGGAATTTGAGAGTTGATAACCCTCAACCCACGGGCATCATGGTGTTGTCACTGTTTCATGGAATAGGAGGGTCATTTAGAGCTTACGACGTGCTGGGAATCCGACCTGATGCGTTGGTGGCCTTTGACATTCACCAACCTGCAATGAGAATCACTTCCCGACGGTGGCCCCATGCAGAGCTTTATGGAGATGTCAGACAACTGAACAAGGCTCAACTGGAACAACTTCTCATGAGATATCCCACAGTTACTGAATTGCACGTATGGGGAGGCTTTCCATGTGTAGACCTATCATCGGTCAATGTCAGAGGCCAGGGATTGGATGGGCCGCAATCATCCCTGTTCTATGAACTGAAGCGGGTCTTGAAGGAGCTCAAGGAGATAGGACATGTTAAGGTCAAGTTCATAGCTGAGAATGTCGCGTCAATGCCCAAGCACGAATGTGAACGGATAACTGAAGAACTGCAGGTGAAACCATACCATCTCAACTGTGCGGATGCTGTGCCTATGCAGAGACCCAGACTATGCTGGACATCCGAATGTCTTGAGGGCTGCCTCGGAGGAATAACTTTCAGCGAAGAGCAGTACTGGGTTACAGTTTCTGCCCCAGCCACGTATCCACAGCAAGCTGATTGGATAACTGAAGGAGCGTGGTGGCCCGGTGGAGAGGAAGGCTATACTCTGCCCACTGCGCTAAAGAGCATTGAGCGAAAAAGGCCGCCACCAGCTCCGGCGGGCATACACAGGCGTGATACAGACACATTGGCACGTTGGACCTCTGACAGTTACCGTTTTCCCCCATATCACTATTTACCAAGGTTTATTTTTTGGACGGATGACAAATGGAGACTTGCCAATAGCTCTGAGAAGGAACTACTTTTGGGTTACGGTTTTAACCACACCAAACTGTGTTTCAGTGCTTCCAAAATCAAGAGTTCAGGGCAGAAATACGAAGATGAGCGGTTGTGTTTATTGGGGGATAGCTTTAGCGTCTTCTCCTTCATCATCCCAGCAGCGGCATTGTGCAAACACCTTCTGCCCACATTGCAGTACAGTCAGTTAGTTGACAGAATGGGGTTGGCTCCAGGTTTCACTTGTTCACTCAGATGCACGGCACCAATCAAGCGGAGGTTACAATATGGAAGTTCCACTATACCGCGGCCTGTGACTACTAAAAGCTTAAATCAAATTCTCCTTTCCAAGACCAATCACACTGGATCTGATGTACGAATTTCTACGGGGGAGTTTCTCAACCCTAAGGCAGTTGTACGGCAGAGCATTGAAGCGTCATGGTGGAAATGGGAGCATTTGTTTAATTACAAGTGGAAATTAAGTGAACATATCAATGTTTTGGAACTGCGAACCATTCTACATGCAATCAGGTACCACATCATGCACTTAAAAGCTTGTCATCTTAGGGTCTTCCATGTGACTGATAGCTATATCTGCATGAGCGTGATCTCGAAGGGACGCACCAGCAGCAGACAGCTTTCTCGGGTACTCAAGAAGGTCAACGCACTTTTACTGGCTTTTGGGATTCATTGCATCATCTCGCACGTGGAAAGCACTGACAATCCTACAGATGAGGCCAGCCGGACGGTGGCAATGCTTTCATCGAAAAACACGGGCTGAAAGAGTGGCAGATCGCAGAAAAATCCTACTGTGGGATGCTGCGATCACAAAGAAAACTCAGGAAAGGTATTTCATTGGGGTACAGAAACTATTACCATACCTAGGTGGGGTCACAACTGGAAGGGCCCTTGATGAGAGAGTCTCTGATTGGATACAAAAAGCTTGGGAAGAGGGAGAAGCACTACATATCATAAGTGATGCACTGTGTGGTCTTCAGCACTACGAACCATGGAGAAAGAACAAGCTAGCACTGTCATGGCGTTTGTTTAAGGTATGGAGGAAGGTGGAAGCCCCCAATCGGGCTCCACCTTTGACAGCTGAAATAGTGGATGCCTTTTTATTCTATGCCATAGCCCATAGGAACCTGAGCTTCGCTGCAATGATCTGTTTGGGTTTCTATGGGTTGCTGCGGACGGGTGAATTGCTCCAGATCAGACCATGCGACATGATCCTAGGAAACAAGAGCGGCGTTATAAGTCTGAAGAACACCAAAACAGGACTCCGAAATGCCGCGCAGGAAACTGTCAGCATAACAAATGCAGTGGCGCTGGAAATTCTCCGTGCAGCCTCAGAGGACCAACAGGCGCAAGGCATGCATAAGGTACCCATATGGGTTAGATCCCCCTCAAGCTTCCGCAACGAATTCAGGTATCACTGTCAAATCTTTGATGTCTTGAAACTAAACTTTCGACCCTATTCGTTAAGAAGGGGTGGAGCGACGGCATTATTTCAACAAACAGGCAGTATGGAGACTGCATTACTCAAAGGACGCTGGCAATCAACGAAAGTAGCCAAAATATATTTGGCTGATGGGCTCAGCTACCTGCCAGGGTTGTCTTTTAGCGTCAAAGCTCGTAGCATGCTAAAGCAGTGGTCATGTTCAGAACAGCTTAAGACTCCGTGACTAGGGCCAAGTATCACTTTTTCGTCCTCTACAAGCTGCTTTTGTGATCAGCTCGTGGTAGGGGCCGTGGAGAACCACCGTTTCAATGCATGATTTTCTTTTTCGTGGTCGTCCTTCCATGGACCAAAAACACCACAAAGAAAACCCCTTCCATGGGGGAGGTATGAAATCCTAAGGAGATCTCCTTCCATGGAGACCAATGTTTCAAAGAGATGAATTTCACGTTTCTTTAACAGGAGACTCTGAACCATCAGAGTCCAAAATCCTCAGCTTCATGTCGGAAAAAGGCAGGCTGGGCTGAGGCCTAATCATATAATGATAATGATGATATTATTATCAATGATCATAGTAATAATAAATAGATAAATAAGTAAATAAATGAATAAATAAATAAATAAATATAAATAAACAACTAAATAAATAACTAAATAAATAACTAAATAAATAAATAACTAAATAACTAAATAAATAACTAAATAAAGATTAAATAACTAAATAAATAAATAACTAAATAAATAACTAAATAAATAACTAAATAAATAAATAACTAAATATATATATATATATCAATATATCAATATTATCATCAATGGTAATAGAATGATACCAACTGATAACCCCACTGCCTCGTGTCACCATGTATCGCGAGGCGTGGGAGCCATGACGGAGGTGAAGGTGTCAGATCGACCGATGACCATGCAAGGTGCGACATTTTTGGTCATGGAACATTAATTAATATTTGGGTATGGATCAATACCTATTAATACCATTTTTAATGGGAATGAACATCCATTTACCAGCTATTTTGATGTGAACTACAGGGGTACAAGGTTTTGACACACTGCCATTTGATTAATGGGAACAAGGGATTTACTGTGGATTTGGCAGTTTCATCTGCAGTAATCATTGAAACATATATGTTATTTGATCATTCAACATCAGAGTTTTCTCGTTCAACCGTCAACGTACCAAAATTAAGGGTTTCACCAAACTTGAGGTTCCAACCAGATGCATGAAAGGTAGAGCATGCACACGAAACATGGGTCAATGCAGCATAATATGCAGCAACATGGTCATGTTGACAAGAATAGTGGCTCTGAACCGCCTCAATCTGCTGAAGCACTGATGATCCGAGCGCCCATTTCGCAGCCGACTTTTGCGCTCGAGCATGCTACAAACATCCATTACTTTCAACCTTTCAAATCTTTCAGTTTTGGCAGTTTTTGACTGATTATTGTAGTTAGATTACTTGGTGCCGCGTACAAAACACAGACTGCCGTGGGCTGCGCGCCTTGCTTGACACTTGACTGCGACCATGCCTTGCGGGAGGCAGAGGGGTCGCCTTGGCTCGTGTGCTGTTTGTGTGCGGAAGATCAATGTGTCTCTACCTATGTCTATGTACATTGATATATTCATATGCAAAAAGGAAAAATCTTAGAGATATTCGCAGGATGACACTTCCATTGTGTCTGCGGAATTCAGTAGTCGTTCAAGAAACTATTGGGATTTAGTGGAGGATCAAGATTCGCCAGACATTTCTACAGTTTCCCCCTTGCAGTGAAATAGAACCTGTTTGTCCTGCCGGATTGTTGCCACCTTCAGGCAAGGTTGCACGACAGAGTGCAAGCTTGATGCCGGCGATGCTGCGTTTGCCCTCTCGCCGGTTTGTAAAGTCTGTGACCACTCCATTTGCTTCCACTGTGAGGACCATCATCAACCGATTGATGTGCCGATATTTGCCGATGTCATGGAACGCATTCCAATCAAGCCGGAAAAAATTGGAGAGAACCACAGCATAATCTTTTCCATGTTGTGGATCTCAACCTCTGAAGTCACCATGGAGCCATATGGAGCCTCTAAACTGTAAACCATTCATTGAAGATATCAGGCAACTTCGGCCTTGCCGTTGGAATGGCCAGGAGTGTCGCGCCCTGGGTGAAAGTGGCGAAGATTCTCCCGGGAAAAGATGTGATCGGCCGTGTTGCCGCTTTGAGATCACGATTCTGGGAGTTTCTTGGAAGAGATGGAGGAGATTGGAGGATGACCCGCAGGGGGATAGAGGAGCATAGAGGCAATAGAGATCTGACATGGGGTTCAAGCGGTGCCACTTGTGCCACTTGGGTGAGCTGACTGAAACCCAAACCACAGAGTCGACTCTCAGTTTGAGCTGAGGTGGACAACCTTTGCTGAAATTCAGATCCTTGCCACGCACACACACTGAGAATTACACTGTTTTTGTGTTTTTCCTTTTTTTTTAAAGTTAGTTATATATATATATATACTTGGTTTTGTTTGCCCAGAATGAGACCATCATGTTCAACAGTTGACCTTGCTTTTTTTTCCTGCCGACAACTCCAAACCGCGCATTTCAGCGCCCAGGAGATTCGCTTGGTCGAAAAAGCTGTCGAAAGCCTTGGCATTTCCAAGGCATCTGTGAGAACCAATGCTGGCACAAAGACTGCCGTTGTCACTCACCTGTCCAAGGTGAAACCCGATAGACACATGGCATGACCTGGTACTTTTTGTTGTTTTTGGATGTTTTTGGTGGGGGGCCGGCTGGGCAGTGGGAAACTGGTGAAGGCTTGAAATGCGGGGCTAGGCTTTGGAGGTCGAATTTTTGAGCCACTGCTGAAGGCCTTCGATCTCCTTTTCCAGGATTTCTTCGGATTTCTTTGGATTTCTTGAAATTGATGTTTCGGGAATTGCTCCATATTGCTCCTTGTTTATCTTGTTTCACTATTTTCACTGCGAGTATTTTTGCCCTTTGCCGCGCAGACCAGGCCTGGTGGCAGCGATGAACCGTCTCATGTTGGGTGCCAGTGGCTTGACTTCACAAGGATCATCTTCTGCATAGCATGCAACAAAGGATGTTAGGTGACGAAGGATCTGAGATTTGCTGCAGTTGATACAGTGATTCTGAGTGATGGTACAGAGGTACAGATCAGCGATGCCATCCGCAGAGAAAATCAAGGATTGAAGATTCACGAGGTTTTGCTTGACCCATGCTTGTCCCATTCACCAATTTACCAGACAAAGCCGAACTGAGGAATCCTCCAATCGGGAGGTGTTGGACAAGAAGAATCCAAGAAGTTCAATCTCTTTGCAGAGCTGCAAAATGCAGAGAGCAGCTTGGTTGGCCCAGCTGATCTTTGGGAAGGCACCTGGATGTGATGCTTCAAAAACGTCTGAGCGTGAAGAATAGCCGGATTGCAAGGTCACCACAGCATTCTTCTATTTGGCGAAGGTTTATCTAAATGCAATCTTATTTGGCCAAAGTGTCTATATCTAAATGTCAAAACACAATGTAATATTATTGCAGCTTTCACTATGGCAAAATTATCAAGACTGGTATATTTTTTCCCATGAATTTCTCAGCACAGCGTTTCACCCCTGTATGCAGCGTGCATGACTTGATTGCAGAATCTGAGGCTCTCTCTGCAGAATTTTGCTGTTGGTGCAAGGCAAGTTCTCAGACAAGTTGGCACGGGCATGCGGCATGTACACTCCGGACCGCCAGACATTGTATGTGATGTCTCTTCGCCACTGTTTCTTTCTCCTGTCTTGTTTCCATTCCTTTCCAAAGCGCTGTTCTTCTCACAGCATCTTCATCACGCGCCTCCCTACGCCAGGTGTTGCCTTCGCCTTGGCCCTGCTGACCCAGCAAGTGCTTGGCGGCATTGTCCCAGACATGTTGAGCTTGGTATCTGCGATTGGAAAGCTACCTCCCCAGATGGGACTCTGACCAGTATCCAACGGCCACGCCCAGCAATAAAGCGAATAAACATTGAAGAATGCAAGCAAACAGTTGATGGTAGTGATTATTGCGTGGCTTGGGAGAGAGAGTTCCTGTGAATTGATTTATTTGGGTTCAAATGAACTTCAAAACCATCACTCTTGGCCCTCCCATTTTGATCTAGCCAAGAGGGCGTTGGGTCCTTGGTTCAACGATGCTCTAAGATATTTGGATTTCAGTGAATCTTTGGATGCGGATATGCCAATGCTCTCACAGGGCCATCATGTCCGATCCATTCTTGAGAAGCCAATGATTAGAAACTCAGTCATGATTGCTGCAACCTGTCGGAATGACATGCAGCTTGAAAGCGGGAGCTGTGAGCCACTGTTTTTCGTTTTTGTTTGGACGAACTTGACACCACGAAAAACACGGGCTCACAGCGTCTCTGGTTGAATTATTTAGGGAATGACAAGACATGCAGCAGCCGCACAAGATCTTCAGAATCCTTGGCTTCTTCAGCCGCCACCCTGCGATGCTGTCTGAGGTAACGGTGCTTTTGGCCCATTCCTTGCTCCGAAGGGCATGCACATCCATGATGGCCAAGCGCATCTCGATGCATGTCTTGATGTTCCTGGTGCTGGTTGGGGCTATATATTTGGGCCAGGTCACAGAAGCTGCCACTGTGGCTTTTTTGGTGAATGCATCTGAGTGGATCGTGGGCAAGTCTCAGGTGGCGGTTGAGAAGGAACTGGGGAAAAGTTTGGTTGGCACCTCCAGCCATGCTACCCTCCTGTCTACAGGAGGTGGACCTCGAAGTTCTGGAACTCCCATTCGGATCGAGGACCTGAGACCCAAAGATGTCGTCTTGTTGAAAAGTGGAAGCACTGTCCCTACAGATGGCCGAATTCTAAAGGCAGATACCTTCACGGTGAATGAATCTTCAGTCACAGGTGAAGCCTTACCTGTTGACAAGAGCGTGGGTGAGAAGCTTCTCTCCGGCACTGTGGTAGTAGCTGGGGTGGCTGAGATGGAGTGTACCGCCCCTGCGGCTGAATCCTTTCAGGGGAAACTCCAGGCCGCAGTGGAAGATGCCAGGAACTCACGTTCCGAGATGGAAGAGCTGGTGAATCGATTTGCCGAGATCTACACTCCCATTGTGGTGCTGTTGTCGGTGCTTCTGGCTCTTTGGAGCTCCAACTTGACAAGCGGACTCACAGTGACAGGGCCGCATAAAGCAGAGGTCTTGTTTTGATTTCAAGCAGAAGGCTCCTTTGAAATCCTTTGAACATATTTGCAGGTATGTACACAATACACAGAATGCAGATGTATACAGGCCTTCCAATTGTTGCAGGTCCTGGTTTCTGCATGTCCCTGTGCAGTGGTTGCGGCTGCACCAGTGGTGCAATCGTGTGCCTTTGTGCGGCTTTTATCCGACCTTCAAGTTCTGGTAAAGGACCAGCTATTGCTTTCAGCTATTTTCAGCTGCAGTTCATACCAAACAAACGAAGACATCATGTCGTGTTTTCTATGGTGTCCTTCAGGCCCTTGAGGGATTCCTCTTACTGTGACCATGAGATGGTGGATTTTTAGGGACTCAACTAGGTTCTACTATTGTTGGCAGTCCTTGTTGGCTGATACCCAAGTCCTAATGGCTCAATCTTCCGAGTTTACTGGCCTAAGAGCCAACATTATTACATCATACATGCATATAATTATATATATATATATTGTGAAAGAGCCAGGAAGCTCCTTTCAACACTGGCAGCGGCAATTCCCTGAATTGCTAAGGGGGTGTTCCCAACACCTGAGATATCAAAGGAAGTCAAATGAAAAAGGAACCCTGTCCAATCGGTCAAAATCCCGCAGCTCCCAGTGTTTTTCCCAGCAACACGGCTCGCGATATGGCACCAGTCAGACAACCCTGTCGTCTGCCTCATCCACAACCCTCCGCTGGCACTTGGGACGCGAATGACAGCGGCACATGGAGTTATGACAGTGAACCCTGGCAAATACGTGTCACATCAAGCTCAGCTGTAACTGGTCAAATCACATTCCTCTAAACTCTTTTGATGAGACACACCGTTGGTTGCAGTGTTCTGTTCTTTCAACCAGCGAACAGCTTGCTTTCTGTGAGCATTACGTTCCAATGAATCCTCTTCATCATGTAATTGGAAACAGCCTGATGCCAGAACTTGTCGTAACAATATAGGATCCATCGGCTTTGTCAAAGCGTCAGCGACTTGCAGTGAAGTTGGAATCCATCGAAATTGACTGTGTTCCAAACATCGTTCTCGGATTAGCAAAACTTCTAATGTTGTTCTGAATTCCTCACATGAAGGGATTGCGGTTCTGCTCACTAAGTCATAGAGACTCTTGCAGTCAGTTACAATAGTGGCCATTGGAAGCTGCTGAAATCCTTGTTTGGGTTCTCTCCACACAAAGTTGTCAATGTTAATGGTACCCCAAAGCAAACGCATCCATCCAAGTCGGTCAACGGAGTTTGACATAGAGAACGCTTCTGCTGATAAGGTTGATCTCACCACTCGTGCTATCTTTTTGGATACCCAGGTTAGAGGACTAAGTGGTGCTTTCTGGTTCTTTGCTAAGTCCAGGTTGGTGGCACAAACTATGGTTCCTTGAAATGATGCCAACTGCTTTGAACTTGCAAATGACGCGTCACCAAAGCTCACATGGGTCAGCTGATGTACTGGAATGTTGCGAAAGCACAGTTTCACATGACTATGTTCTTGAGCTTCCCGGAGAACACGATTAGCAAGTAATAGGGTTTGGACAGTGGCTTTTGAAACTTGAACTTGCACTTCCCCTAATTTGGCTGCCATGTCTGGTCGGGTGTGGGAAACGGCATATTGTAGACTCCCAATTAAACCTCGTAGCTTACTGAGTTCACCTTCCGTCACTGAAGATTCAGGCGTTTGGCGACGATGACGTCCCACATCAATGGCTGGGATTCCTCGGACATATTCTTCTTGAGATGCCATGATACTACCATCAGGAAGTTGGTCAAGCAAAATACCTGTGAAAACAAATTTCCGCTGTTTGAAAGTTCCAAATGGTAATACCTCCTTCAGGGCTTCCAGCTGCTTGTGGAAAAACTTGTCACCCCCGCATATTCCATCATCAACGTGGGTCCCAATGACACCATGCAATGTCCTGGAGCCATTCTTGACAGTTTCCAAAATAAACACACATGGTTCCAGTGGGTGGCGTTTGAACTGTAACTTCTGAAGCTGTTTGGAAAACTCTTTGTAAAACAAGAGAGGAGCATCAACCCTGCCGTAGGCATTTCCAACCAGTGAACATACCTGATCAATGGTCAAATTCAGTTTCTTTCGAAGCTCCACGGGAGGTTCCATGGCCAGGGGATTGTCTTGGGCAGACTGACCTCGCAGGAATGCAGTCTTAATGTCAAAGGATGACAATTCCCAGCCTCTACTGGCAATGGTTTGGAGGACAGTGTGTCTTCCTTCTCGCGTTAATGTTGGAGAGTCACGAACTACTTCATAGAGTTTTGGATCTTGAAAACCAAGGACAACCAAGCGTGCTTTGGCCTTTCTTTGGGGCTTTTGACTGTCTTCCTCATTAATGTTTTTCCATGTAAGAATCCATCGACTCTTTAGGATTTGTTCAGGATTAAGGTGACGTCTCAAGATAGGCTTCAGTGCATTGGTTTGTATCCAACAGTTTAATTCTGCATCCTTTGCTTTTTCAAACTGTATTTTCTCTTCTAACGTCAAGTTTTTCACACAAACCTCTGCTTTTGCTCTTTTTCCAACACTTGCTACCCATGCCATTTCTTCAGGCTTTTTGGCGGCTGCCCACTTCAGGACATCGGACTCGGACAGATCAATGGACAAGGCAAAACATTGTTGTTCATCGCATGCAAGAGGGGTATCTAGCATTGGAAGGCCATCTTCAGCTAACAACACTTCGTGCTCTGACTGATTGCTTTGCAAAATTGTCCAATCATATAAAATGCCCCCATCAGAGTCCTCGGCTACTGAACTACATTGCAAAATGGGCATGGCGTCGGCGGCTGCGGCATGTGGATTGCTCTCTTCTGGATCTAGATCAATGGGTTCATCAGGCACGGTCGCTGGAAGATCCTGATTCTCATTTTCGGTTGAAAGTGGGGCAGGCAATTCATGGCTTGGTTCAGGAAATGTTTCACTTTCGGGTTGTGTGGAAGAATGGGGTGTGGCTAGCTGGCTTGGTGGATTTCGGAAAATTCCTTCACTGGGTGCCATACTTGCTTCATATTCTAGGGATTCAGCTGGCGTGACTGGAGCCCTTTGGGTTTCTTCAACCGTGGGTAACTCAGGAACCCAAATCTGTGATGATCCATGGACTGAGCTCCATTCTCGCAGCGATGCTGGGCGAATGCTCTCGGGAGCACATTTGAACAATCTCTCAGCATGGGACAACCAAACTGCAGACGGGCTTTCTTGATGGATCACCCGCGCGGGACCATGCCATCGTCCAGTCTCTTGCCGGCTAGTTCGATGTCTTCGTATCCAGTACATAACCAGTTGACCTGGTGTATAGGGTCCTCGCATGGGGCAAGACCTACGCAAGAGAGCTCTTCGGATGGCTTGATCATTGTCCGTCAAAAGAAAAGCTTTGCGGGCTTGAGTCCTGATTTCCAAAGACCTTCGGAAAAACTCACTTTCAGGTTCATTTCCCATGGCAAGCAAGTGTGAGGCGGCACTGTCATCAGAGGTTAAGCTTGCTGGTAGTTTCTGAGACTTTCCCAGTACTATTTGTTCAGGGGAAAATCCGCCATTACGGGTAAGTGAGTTCTTGGCTTGAAAGCAGGACATCAGCACACGGTCAAAATCTTGCAATGTCTCTATGGATTGTTCCTGGTCACAGCGAGACAGCATGCGCTTGATTACTTGGCCATGTCGCTCAAGACGGCCACGCTGCCAAGCTTCAGTGGATATCAAAGGCTCGATGTCATGATTCCTCAAAAGTTCTTTCCATTCATTTGAAATGAATTCCCCAGCGGGGTCAGTGTAGATCTGGTTGGGGTTTCCGGCCCATGATGTCCAAAAATTTGTCCAGGTACCTATGACTTGGTCTGGATTTCGGGTTTCACATCGTCGGCCAAGATGAAACAACGAAGCCTCATCAATGCAGTGAAAAACATGAACTCGAAAGCCTTTGGAACCGGACCAATAGAAACCGTCCATGCCTACCAAGTCATTGAAGTCTTTGGCCTCATGCAATTTGGCGGGTCGTTGATGCTTTCGGCCAACGGATTCGACACAGGCATCGCAAACAAACTCCCTTGCTGCTGCGACTACATGTGGTGGAGCATTCTGAGCTTTCAGGTGTTCAGCCAACACATTAGGATCAGGATGACCTAAATTGGTGTGAAGTTTCTTTAAGTCTGCTCTTTCTTGAGGCTCCAAATCACGAAACTTTGGACCCTGAATCGCAATTGGGGGAGGTGCCCACCCATCAAATTGAGTAGGTGGCTGGAATCCGGAAGCTCGGACCACTGCCTCTTCCTTGGGAACTGGCCTAGGGATTACTCCCCTGGCTTCGGGAACCGGTCTAGGCAGACTGTCCGGAGGCTTTACAATTGCTTCCGCATGAACCTTGGGTTCTTCTGTCAATGTGCCAAAACTGGTGATCATCAACTTGGATGGGACGGCAGCTCGAATACGTTGCGCTCGTTTCAAAACCAACCAATCTTCAAAACCAAAATCATGAATCATCCCTGTACTTCTGTGAATACAGACTGTATGACGAATGCTGTTGTGATTTCGATCAGGTAGATCCAAGGGCAATTGAAATCTCTCAGTCCCACGGCACACGTAAATAACCTGAAGGTTCAAATGCGGCACCATGGCTTGCACAAGACGCGCAGCTTCATGGGAAGCGTCAATTCGTAGATTGCCAACTCTTGGGGCCAATGTTTCCATGAGCTGGAACACATGTCTCCAGGGTTCGGACACTGGAGACTCTTGGGACATTGGACGTGCTGCTCCCTCGTTCGGACGAGGAACCATGGACATTTCCTTGGCATTCTTGGGTCTGCTTGGTTCACTCATGCTAACATCAGGAACATCAAGATTGATCTTGGATGGAGGCATTTCAGGCTTTTCTTCATGTTTGGGAGGTTCAGGCATGGTCACATCGGACGTTCTTGGTAAAGGGTCAGCGTCCAAATCAATCACATGATTGGTCTTCAGTCGTTTGTTTGGATTGATCATGAAACGACTTCGTTTGGCTGGTGGTGCGTCTTCATGTTCGCCCACCAAGGTTTCTTCACATGTTGTTTGGACTATCCATTTGGCAACCTGTTTGGCAAACCCTGAACAATATGTTGCACAAAATCGTGTCAAGGGAATGTGCTGGCCATCTACGGAAACACTTCCTTCAATCGACTGATGAGCATGCTGGTGCTTGCATCGGGCTTGGCCAAGAAGATTGACTAGTTCCATGTTCGTGGAAAACACTTGGCTGGATTTTCGAAGAAAAAACTTGGTCACTGGATGCTTGAGTCCAAACTGACACATGTCAAAACTGGCTCGGTACGTCAGGCTCAAAATGGCTTGGAACTGTTCAATCTTTGGCATCGTGGATCCATTCGGCTGCTCTAGATGAAAGTGGCGGTTGCGCTGAACTTGGAACTGGCAAAGGTGAGCACACAAATCCACGTGAACCAGCTCCCGTTTTCGCCAGGCATTGATGCGATCAAATAAAGCAATACTTTTACACATGTTCAGTTTGCTCCACCCTCCCCAGGGACCACATTCAGGAGCTACCCAAATATTCAATGGTTGATACTTGTCAATGATTTGCCATAACTTCTTGCGTCCCTCAACAGTTGCAAGATCCCCATCTTGACGAGTAAAACGAATGGCACAATGTCCGGACTGGCGAAGGGCTTCGGTCAGTGGACTGCAGCTATCCGCATACACTTCAAGCAGCACGCATTGCTTCTGGGGAGCACTCCAAGTGGGCGACACGAATGCATCTTCCATGATCAGATTAGCTCGATGAAAAGATTTCTGTAAATCATCATTGACCAGCTTTGGTGATGGGTTCTCTCCAAGAAACTTTTTTGTTCTCAACACTTCATCATGGTACATGAAAGAGTTGGTTTTCGTTTCTGAATCTGATCCTAGATGGCATGAAGGTCCAGGTCCAACTGTACTTGGCAAAACTTCACGAAATCTTGCTGATTTGGGGGCAAACTTTGGAATCTGGCCAGAGACCATTGGTAATACCCGGGATCGGACCGAAGGACCTGAGCATATGTCTTGCCCTTGTGCTTCTTTCCCCATGAAATTCTGCACTGACCCCATTCTCCGACTGTCATCTGGGGTGGCGTGCTGGTACCTAGGGAACCGAGGGCATTGATGGCTCTCACTGTTGATGGACTCACATCCGAACGACGACCTTCGACATCGAGGATCACCTCCTCCTCCTCGCTCTCGGCCAGCACCTGCCAATTGGACACCCTGGTCGTGAGGATGGCATTGTTTGCAGGAGTATTTGCTAAGGCTTGGCGTTGGAGAGCTTGGGTCACTCTTTGAGATGTCACCGGCAAATTGTTTGGGTCTGTTGGCACCGACAGAGGCGGTACTGGTGGAGTCCTTGGCATTGGTGAACTGGAGGCTCCGGTTCCTGTTGTGGTGCCACTGGAAATCTGGCCTCGGGGTCGTTGGGCTCCGGATGACGACATGAGGCTCTGCAGAAGACTTCTCTGATTGTGCAGTTCTTGAACCATGCTTTCCATTGTCTGCATCACTTCCTGTGGCTCCTCTTGGCCTTCTGGCTGCACTTCCAGTTGATGTATCAAAAACTGCAGCAACATCGTGAGAAGACCGATCAAGGCCTCTGCCACCGTCTTCAACGAGTTCATCATTGGCGCAGGCGGCATGAGTATCAGCACGATTCGAACTGACAGGATCAGGCGGTGGGAAATCCTTTGAGACTGGCTTGGCCATGGTGAGGGAAATATTTTCAACTTGATTTTCACCATCTTGTAAACCTGTCTGATCACTCCCCTTGGATCGGACACCCCAAGCATGATGGATATGCGCATTCTTCTTGAAAAAACTGATGTTTGAAGCACACAGCTGGAGAACATCTAACAAATACAATTCCGTTGGATTCAGTTCCAGTTGAATTGAACGATTCAATCTTTGAAGGTAACAGGTGTCATTGGTGGTATCCAGAATGCCACCAAGCTGTTTGAATGCACGTTTGCTGAAAAGAAAAGGAGTTTGTCCCGGCAAAACTTCAACCGTCAACCAAAGCTTCTTCTTGGCATGTGGTGCACTTTGGAGTGGCACTTGAACTTGATATTCACTCTGCATTGTTTGGTTGTTTCCAAATCGGAACTTCACATGGCTTGGTGACTTACGGACTTTGTGTTTCAATTCATCAGGCAAACTTGCAAACAACTTCAGCCAAACTTTCTCACCAATCACACAGCGGCTTGCTCCAGTGTCCAAAATGGCGTGACTCGGTCGGTCACAGGCAGCAGCTATGTTACACATGTCTGGCAAAGGCTCGGAAATCACATTCGAGTGGGTGGCCTTGACACATCTGCTTCTCAAAACTCCTGGAGGACTGAGCAAGGAAAATTTGGATTGAACATGACCATGGGCTTTGGACTCAAGGAGGCTTTTCATTCTCTTTCCCAAAGCAGCTTTAACATGCGGTTCATGAAGGGCTTGGACAACAAAAACGTCATCAACTTCATTGTGGGTCATGTCATGGACATCCAAAACTTGCAAAGGACACTGGCTGGAAAACTTACCTATGGCAGACAGGACACTGGACTCACATTCATCGGCCGACGGAGACGACTCAGGCTCGGAGTGCACTTCATGAACAACGGCCAAGGGGGCCTCTTCAACAATGTTGGCCAAAGCAGTTTGTCCCATTTCCGAACTCTTGTCTCGGTCTGGGCACTCAGCTTTCCAATGGCCCTTCTTGTGACATATGCGACAAGTGGATCTAGCAATGCGAGAGAGCAATTGCTCTCGCTGCTTCTTTCCCTTGCCACGCCCCTTGCCCTTGTAGGCACCTTTTCCATCTTTTCCAGAAAACTTCACAGGCCAGAATCCTCTAGTGCGTCGTTTTTCCTGCAACTTGGATCGGGCCTCGAGATACGATACCATTGCATCATGCATCTCTGGAACTTCTTGCAAAAACTCCTCGAGTTCCTGCTCAAAATTGTGCACGGTAAGTGCGTCCTGGTCCTCTGAAGCGATCATGATGTCGAGGAACTCTTGGTCAAAGTCGGCGTCGTGGTCCTCAGTCAATGCCACAAATGCACGCTCTGAGGAAGCATCTTCATGAGATCGGTTCCAGTCACTTTCAGATGGCTCTGCAAGATTCACATCATAGACCTTGGTCTTGGCATTCTGGCGACTTCCTTGGAGGTCGGAAAAGAACTTGCTACCAAGCAATCTGAAAGATCGCACCACTGGATCATACTTCAATTCTCCTGGGTGTTCGAGAAGAACTTTCTTCTTGTCATCTGGGGGCAGCAGTGATTGGCGAAGCAAGACATACGCCTGTACTTCTTCCAGTTTGGTACCTCGGCTCAACAGTTCGATGAAATTGGACTCCATGCGGGACAAGTAGGAGTCATGTGATTCATCGGCACGTTGCACAGTCCCGTAAAGGGCTTTTTCAAAGTACTCATACTTTTCTTCTAACTCTGTAGCTCCCCAAGACCCACCGATAGCATCCACCAGCAAGGCTACTCCAGACTTGTCGTTGACTCTCAACTTGTCTGGATCCAACCTGGCTACTTTGCGAAAGGCTGTCCCTTCGACAAGAAGGGCAGCCCTTGGGGCTAGCAAGCTCAGATGCTCAGCAGGCCACATTGCTGCAAGAAACTTCATCTTCTGAACATACTCTTGGACATTCGTTGTCCCTGGAACAAACTTTGGAATGCTTGCCCAGGGCAACTGAGGTGACACTGACGGATTGGGCTCATCCGGCACTGGCGTCTCAACGGCAGCTGTCATTTGCGAAGGTGAGGCCATTACGGCTCCCTGGATCCCGCTCTTTCAGCTACAACGCAGGCACAGATCAGCTTCCAAAAGAAGGCAAACAAAAGGGCAGTAGCTGGAGCACGTAGCTCCGCTACCAGTGTGAAAGAGCCAGGAAGCTCCTTTCAACACTGGCAGCGGCAATTCCCTGAATTGCTAAGGGGGTGTTCCCAACACCTGAGATATCAAAGGAAGTCAAATGAAAAAGGAACCCTGTCCAATCGGTCAAAATCCCGCAGCTCCCAGTGTTTTTCCCAGCAACACGGCTCGCGATATGGCACCAGTCAGACAACCCTGTCGTCTGCCTCATCCACAACCCTCCGCTGGCACTTGGGACGCGAATGACAGCGGCACATGGAGTTATGACAGTGAACCCTGGCAAATACGTGTCACATCAAGCTCAGCTGTAACTGGTCAAATCACATATATGATTATATATGTATACATTTACAATACATTTACAATACAGTTACAATACATTTACAATACATTTACATACATGCAAAATATATCAAAATATAAAATTAGCCCACGGTTGCTACAAAATCATGCCCTTTCGAGGACGCCAGGGCGCTGGACAGCTTCGCACAGGTCTCGCGCTTGGGCACGGACAAGACGGGCACCTTGACCAAGGGCAGCTTCGAGCTGCACGACATCGTGGTGATGCCGGGGCAGCTGGAGAAGAGGCCCCGGATCGATCTGGGGATCTGGCGAGTGATGGAGCTGCAAAATACGATGATTTTGGCATGAAATATGGACGTGTTGGGATTTATAAACTTATAAGAGTTTGCAGATGTTTTTATCGAGGTATCAATTTGAGTCGGGATCTACCGCACAAACTTGATGAGGCGAGACTATTTCCCGATCGCCAGTGTAAATAGCAGGAGTGCCGTCAGGTTCCATAATCATCTGCAATCCACAGAACGGAGATTGAATGGAAACATACACTAGTTCCATGTCCCCATTACAGTACGTGTATGTTATATATATACATATATATACATATATATATACATACATACATACATACATACATACAAACATACTATATATATATAGATACACATACATACTCTCTCTATATATAATCAGGCATACATATACATGCATATATACATATATATGTAGATAGATAGATAGATAGATAGATAGACAGATAGATAGATAGATAGGTAGGTAGGTAGGTAGATAGATAGATAGATATGGTAGATAGATAGATGTATTAGATTAGATTTGATTCGATTCGATTAGATTCGATTGATTAGATTAGATTCGATAGATAGATAGATCGATAGATAGATCCATCGATAGATAGATAGGTAGGTAGGTAGGTGGGTAGGTAGATAGACAGATAGACAGATAGACAGATAGACAGACAGACAGACAGATAGATAGATAGATAGGTAGGTAGGTAGGTAGGTAGATAGATAGATAGATAGATATGATAGGTAGATAGATAGATAAGATTCGATTCGATTCGATTAGATTCAATTAGATTAGATTAGATAGAGAGATAGATCGATAGATAGATAGATAGATTTATAGATAGATAGATAGATCGATAGATCGATAGATAGATAGAAAGGTAGGTAGGTAGATAGATAGACAGATAGAGAGATAGACAGATAGATAGACAGACAGATAGATAGATAGATAGATAGATAATTAGATTAGATTAGATTAGATTAGATAGATAAGATAAGATAAGATAATATAATATAAGATATAGATAGATAGATAGACAGATAGATAGATAGATAGATAGGTATAGAGAGACATTTTCACATCCCCGAATCATAGGCAGATGGGGCCATAGACAACAATCCTCTGCAGGGACTTGCTGAAACTCCTTGCGGCCCTGGAGTCTCAGGAGCCTCTGAATCGTACGCGATGAAACTCCTTTGGGCCTACCATGTATTAAGATGTATTAAGTCTTATATATTAAGTAATAAAAGAGGCCCATGTATCATTTAATAGGTACATCTAAGATATTTTATTTTTTGCAGAGTATTTGCAGAGTAACTGTGAACATTTGTATAGGTCCTGCTGATCCTATCAATATGTTTCGATATGAAGTTGTTCATGCATATATGCATGCAATATTGCACTACGGTATAACACCTTGGCATCAATTCCAATCTGTGGTTTACCGGTTCCGCAAAGTGCTCTACAGACTATCCCATCAATCAGGGAATTCATTTGGCATGTTGGGTGTGTCTGAAAAGGGGGCATACCACGATTTCAATGCTGTTTTTCACGGGAAGTATGATGATTAACCACTGGAGTTCGGGGATAAAATCGGTCAAAAAGAACAAGGAACTTGAACCCAATAGCCTAATAGTATCCGAGGGTTTCCTAAAATGATGGCACTCCAAGTTAAGTCATTAGATCATTTTAGTATTGAAGCCTGTGGTGACTTGGGGACCCCCTTCAAGAAACCTCCATATAATATGCATTGCTGCATCAACAATTGAATCTTTTCCCACCTGTCGAGAAGCCAACTGGTCATGGCCAACTCGTCAGGACTCCCACCCCTTAGCCAACTCGCTGGTCCGCAGCTACGTGGGCTGCGCCGCCGAGTTCGCCCAAGGGGCCCCGCAATTGCCGAAGGTGCCGAATTCCCATGGGGGATATCATCGCTAAGATTAACATAGACATGGACATGAATGTAGATGATCATGATCTCCTGGGAAACCATGGATTTCCTGGAATCCATGAGAAGTTATTGGAGGGTAATGGGTGCATTCATGTTATGGCAATGTAATTGCTAGGGATTGGGGATGTGGGGATAGTCAGCCAACAACCAATGCTGGGGGATTGGATGGGATGCCAACAGCAACTTATGGTGATTTTGATGGTAAAATGACATGTTCAAGCATGGGATGGAAGATGGTACCCTATTTTCCCACAAACCCAGATGTGTCCGGAAAGCTGACCGAAACAAGCAGCAAAGATGTGGTTTCCCAAAAATCATCAAAAACTGGTCATGTCATTTTTGTTGATACATATTTATCATATTTGATACAGATGATACAGAGAAAAAAGGGTCACCCTTTCCCGGCTGCCAGGTGGATCGCTTCACCCGCGTGGAATCCCAAGGAGTTTGGGGAATCGTGGAAGGCCAGGTGGTGGGAGCTGGCAGCAAACGCTTCCTTGACTCGATGGCCATCGATTTACCCAGCGAGGCGGAAGAACAGGTGGGGTGGGACAAAAAGATCACAGGATTTTTGGGCAGTTGAACTTGACAACTTGACTTTATCATTTGAGCAGTCTTCAAAACCCCTGTTGGTTGATGATTATATAGGGAATTATACTACCCAATATATTGGGGGTTTTGAACACCGCTCATGTGTTTGCAATTAATCCTTTTGAGAGCTTGTTTGAACTGCATGTGGTGGGTTGTGAACGATGGGCATCAGAGCCAGCCAGAATCTACTTTTCCTTTAAATCTGAAATTCCTGACCGTTGAATTTCAGCAGATTGCCCACATGTCTGGCAAGGTGAAGAAATGGGAACAGGAAGGCGGTGTCTTCACAGTTGTCTACATGACAATGGAGGACGGTTGACAGGTGTCAGTTCCTGCACTAGCCACGTCTCGGGGACTTTTTATGCCCGTTAAGGTCCACCATTGATATAGCCTTGTGTGGTCTAAGTTCATGTCCTTAAATTTCAATATCAGGAAACTAACAAAAACACCGAGAAGTGTCGGATGATTATTGGATGATTGACGTTCCTCTCCATCCCTGGCCGGCTTCACCGGAGATTGAAACATGATCTGTTGCGATCTCGATACTACCGGTATTGATATTGGTTATCCTCTACTTAACTAGAGTTTCTTCTACTTAGCTAGAGTTGAAACATGCTATAATGTGATTAATATTGACCATCATAGCATCATACTCTTTCAGCCTCAAAGCAGCATCATCCTCTTTCAATCTCTTTCATTTACTCGATTTTCATCAGGATGATGTTGCCATGATTCTTCGCTTGGAAGATGAACTGCGCGAAGATGCCCAAGATGCCGTGCAGTCGCTGCAAGCGCTCGGGGTCTATGTGGCCATGCTCACCGGGGACGAACGAAAGGCGGCTGAGGCGGTGGCTCAAACTCTGGGCATCCAGGAGAGGCAGGACGGCCATGGGACATGGGAATGATAAAGAAACACAAAAAAGAACCAGAAAATGATAGAAACAGTTGAATAATATTGATTCATGATATTTCATGATCAAATTGTACAGTGACACCAGGATACAGTTGAATACAGTTGAATACTAGAGACTGAGATGATCACCATGGAAGCATGGACTCAGTGGAGTTTAGAGGCGCTCCAAGATGACACCCAACGACAAAGAGATCTGGGTCCGTGGCAAAGAGCAAGTGCAGCAAGACCTGGAGAGTGGCCTCAATGCGCCACTGCTCAACGTCTCCAACCAGGTGAACCGACAACCGACATAGTGAACCGACTGGACCTGGATTTGCTGCTTGGAAGTTCATGGAAATAAGATGAAATAAGTCAAACAAAGAATCATACTTTAGGCTAGAGATGGCTCTTTGATGTCAGTTGATGTCAGTAGGTGGTAAAGACAAAGCATTTCGAATGAGTCTTCAAGGCTCCCATGATGGAAGCTACTCAGATTCTGCCTTCGTTTGTGAAACCAGGTCCTTTTTGTGGGGAGTCAGGCAGGAATTCTTAACATCAACCATAATCAACCCAAGTTCCCTGGTGCTGCCATGGCAGGACACGGTCTGTATGCTGGGCGATGGTCTCAACGATGGTCCTGCTTTAGCCGCTGCCGATCTAGGCGTGGCCATCGCCAGTGGCTTACAACTGCCCTGCGACGCGGCAGTGTCTGGGCGCGAGATATGCTGGGATGGTGGGGTTGGCAGATCGGTTGATATTACAAGTTTGGTGAAAAGGTGAAAAGCAACCAGTTGGGAAAGGCGGAAAAATCATGAACAACCAAGAGTTTTTGACTTGAATATTATATAGTTGGATTGCACATTGTTGACCCTTATAGATCTTATAGTCATAGTCCTTATAGCTTGATGCGGCCAAAATATCAGCATTGAGCCTTTGCTCAGGATGTGGTCATTGGCAGCGGCGGTGCCATGCTCAAGCGCTTTGTGCAGGCTCTACACTTTGCCAAGCGCTGTAAGGACATGGGCTCCGAACCAAAAATTGAGACAGGCATTATCAAGCAATCAAGATCGGTGTGTGTGTGTGTGAAAACGGGGTATACTGGTATGCAAAGTAGCCAATTTCATTGGGAAACTGATGTATTTCAGCAGTGGCCAGTGGCTATGAGGAGCTCATCCAACAGAACCTGGTTTTTGCCACTTAGCTGGTCAGTTCGACACAAAATCCAGCATGCTTTCACGAAAGTTACCTTAACCAGTCAGGAAATGGGTGAGTCGAAAAAATGGGGGCCCAAATGAGACCACATGGCCATATTTTTATAGGGAAGATGAATGAAGATGATGATTCACCAATGAATTTGGGGACCGGGCACCATATTTTCAGACATCCCTGTGGCCGAGGCAATTTGCGTGAAACTTGCGGCGTTGATCTTGGCCTTCACGGGTGTCCTGGTGGAGGTTGAGGGGAACAAAGATCAGCGGGAAATCAGCCATGATGAATGGTGGCAAATGGCAATTGATCCAGAAAATCTGTCAGAGAATTTGACTTTTATCCTGTGAGGATAAAGCATAAGTCATCAATAATTAGTCATCATCAGTCCATTTCTGGTGGACTTCACTGGTGGCTTCCCGGGTATGTTCACGATGACATCTGCATCTCCGCAGTTGGGAGCTTTCCTAATGTGACGGCGATGACTAAGGACACCTTTACCTGACTTTTGGGGTGCTCAGCGACAGCGGCAGTTTGTTATTGGCCACTTGACATCACTTGACCCCTTTGATTTGGCGAGGGACTTCAGTTTCCTGTGGATTGCGGCATTGGCAAATTGGCATGTTTGTGAAAGTAGTCCCATGAGTGGAGACCCGCCCTTGAACCCCCAGGTGGTGCTGAACAGCCTCCGGCCGCTGGCATGGGAGTTTATTGACATTCCAAAAACTCCAACTGTGCCGTAGAAAGACTATTGTCTCCAGAAAGCGCATGCAGGAATAGTCCTGGAAACTGTGCAGACATCATTGGTCGGTGGTTTCAACTTTCAAATGATTCGTATGTAACTTGGGATGATGATCCCTGGTGTACCAGAAGTTGGTTGGGTGGCCCAAGCACAATTTTAGACTTTCAAAGGCACTTTGTGTGGTACTAGTTATACTTCCAGAGCTGCAAGAGAGACATCCTGCCGCTTCCTGGGACATCTTGAATTCGCAAGAAGTTGAATCGATGTGCAACCCGTAGGGATGCACTAGTTTGCAGGGAGGATTCCTAAGGTCTCAGCACTTATCCTGGTTCAATCTTGACTAGATTTCTATTTGGCCAAGCGTGGAGCATGTGGAGCTGGTCAAGTGGGGCCTGGAACATTTCCCCATGGACTCTGGAGATGGAGACACCACCCTTGAAGGGCAACAGGACCATGGTAGATACCCACTGACAGCTCCGCGTGCCTCTGTTCGCTGTGTGCAGTTACGCAAAGGCGCCATTTGATGGATGACACCTTCCCCCATTGCGAGGGGAGTGTGGAGAATTCAAGTGGCCAGGACGTGTAACTCACCGCCAGTTGAAAATGAAAGGGGGCCGAGGTTGCCATGGCCATGGGATTAAATTGCGTAAGGACGCTTTGATTGCATTTGATATCACTTGTCACTGGTAGTCAAGCTCTTTTTTTCTAGTTAGCCCAGTTTTCGTAATCAGAGATTGCAAACCATCGAAACGAAAGGACACGACCCGTGCCAGCACCTTCACACGCACACAGAACACACTTGCACTTGGTCACACCAGCGGTATCTGAGTCTTGGATGTGGGTTCCCAAATTTGACAGCTACTGTTTTCAAGACTGCGGGGTCAATTTGTCACGAAAGCTTGCTGTAGCTAGCTGGAGCTTTTTCTTGGTTTAGTAAGGGATGAGGCAGACCAAATGTCAAACGAGTGACTCTTCACGCAAACCTGCCCGTCCCCCCCTCGTCCTCCCGGGTGCATCTTGGAAGCACTTCCCCAAAACCACCCCAAACCCATCCAAACCCAACCCACCCACCGAGGTCATTCCACCCAATAAGTCACTCCACGAAAGCATTCTATCATTCTACCTTGCTCATGTTCCATTTCGCATCTTGCCTTGCACTACTGGCTCCCATCTTTCGCTGCTTAGCTTTCGTTCGCCAACCCTTGGGACTCAAGTTTAGTTATGGTAGGATCTGGTATTGCGCAGTCGGAGTTCCACGGCGATAAGCCGATGGCATTGAAACACAGGAAGTGGTTGCAGGAAATGGCTCCAGCTAGCGCCTCTTGTTGGTTTCCAAGATCTTCTGCACCAAACACAAGTGGACATTTCATATGGTGGTCTTGAGTCTTGTCATGTCTTGTCCAAGAGGTCAGTTGAAGTTCATCTCCAATTGCCGTGCGCACCGCGTGCAGGCGTTATGGGCATGAAGACAGGCTCTTTAGGGCCGAAACGACAGATCTATGTGCGGTTCCCAGAATATATTACCGCATATTACTGTACTTGGTGTTTTGGAACTCTTCCCAACTGGGTCTGCTCAAGAATGGAAGCAGCAACCCCTCGCCAGGACAGGACCTACTATCTGGTGGAGTTGCGGAAACGCTGCCAAGAACTGGTGGATGAGGTCTACAGATTGAACAAGGAGATCAATGACATCCAGCAGGACTGCCGCTGGAGCTTTAACGTGACAGGGACCTGGCGTTTCAGTGAGTTTAAGAAGCCAAACATGGTGAGGAGATTACCCATGGTTTCACAGCATGTTCCAAGTATTCTCAACAGAACCAGGCCAGGTTCAATGGAGGCAGTGCCTCATGTTTGGTAGAAGCAATTGCTGTGTGTCTATGGTGCAGAGATAGATTTAAGTGATTACTGTAGATGCATATAGATTACAATAGAACTATATAGATTATATAGATTTGCAATGATTCACATTCTCTACCCAAAGGAGTCATGACTCCAAGAGACAGGTCACAGACATGTCACCCATGTTCTTCAAGTCATTCTACACCACCAGACCATGCAGAATTTACCCAGCAATTTTCCGGTCGCCAGGACAACAATGTCTATGCCTCGCTGGAGAAACGTGGCTCACCTGCAAAATCTGCAAACCAGATGGGTCGCAACCAGAGTTGCAACTCTGGGCTGGTGACACTTGACCGTTGCATGAGAGGTATCATCGGAGAATTTTAAACAGCAACATGAAATTCAATCATGGGCAAATTAGCATCAATGGTATCATTTTTTAATAATATCAATGATTATCAATGATACCTCTCATAGCTCTTTATAGCAACATTAGTGCAGGCTCAGGTGCTCACAGGTGCCCGAGCTGAGGTTATGACTCCTTGGTGAAGACCGTGCGATCCTTGGAGGGCAATTTGGCGGATCACAACTTGGCCACGGACAAACAACGTGCGCAGCCGGGGAAACAACTTCGTCAAAAAAGTGCATGTCGTGATATGGATAGTATCTGTATCTATGACTGATCTTACGGTGGAGATCTGTATCTGTAGAATATACGTCGAATGTACGTAGTCAGTCTTTCCATTGGTCTATGTCTTTCCAGTGTCCAGTTTGCATTCCATGCCGGAGACTTGGAGATTGAAGGTACTGACACCCGACCAGAGGAAGTTCACCACATGTACACCATCATGAAGCGCGGGCCTGAGTTTCATGTTTTGAAACTTGTACACTGCCCATATTCATACACATTAACACTGCTTCGCGAAGGGAACATCCACACCGCGCAAACGGCTCTGAACAAACCAGAGGGCGTAGGGTGGGAAGAGTTTGAAATGGTCTCCTTCACTGAAGCCCTGTAAATATGCAAGTTCCTGCGGCAGCCTGCGTCTGAATAACTGCCAAACGGTTTTTTCATTCAACATGTTTTTCTGCTTTTTTTGTTCTTTGTTTTGGCTATCATTTTGAACTGTGATTGTTTGGAAACCCTACAGTACATGTTGAAAAGTTACATTGCCAGATTTGACATCATTTGACATCATTTGACCAGATTGTCAAGGCTGAAAATAATGCAAAATACAGAAAACCGCTAAAATGAAATTGCCCAGGTTTGCGACATTGGAAAGCATGGTTTCTAAATGTCCTCCTTTGCGAAATGCAAACAAAAAAACTTTCATGTGGGATCAGATGTCCAGAATTAAAAAAAATAACTTTCAGATTCAGACCAGATTCGAAGAACGAAGCAAGATGAAAGAAAGAAACAGGTGGAAAACACATGATTTTTTTCATTTTTCCTTTCTGAAAGCTTCTTTTAACTTTTAAACATATTTTCTTCAGGTTGACACTGAAACTTCATGTTTTCATGTTGCAGCGTTTCGGAAATTTGTTCAAACATGAGCACTCATGATTTTCGTTTTGAAAATTCATTTTTCTGGTGTCAAAATGGCAGCTATATTTTTTCATTCTGATTCCTGCACTCAGTCTGCGCCTCAGAGCCAGCCTTCGGTGGCCCAAGCCATGTTTCCAGATTTTTTTAAATTGGGGATCACAAAACCCACTAAAAGAAGAGAAACCAATCACGTAAAACACTTTCGTGAAACAAGTTATTTGAACAGTCTTGTACGTTTTTCCATTTTTCCCCTGTTACCATACTAGTGCACTGTAGACTGTGGAATGTGGAAGCGGGGGTGCGAAGTGTGGAGTGTGAAGCAAGCGGAGTGTTGAGTGGGGAATGTAGTGTGTAGAGTGTAAAGTGGGGGGATTGTGGAGTGTGGAGTGTAAAGTGTAAACTGTGGGGTGGAAAGTGTGAAGTGTAGAGTGTGGAGTGCAACGTGTAAAATCAAAAGTGTACAATGTGGAGTGTGGAGTGTAAGTGTAAAGTGTAGAGTGTGGAGAGAGGAGTGTAAAGTGAAAAGTGTGCAGTGTAGAGTGTGGAGTGTGGAGTGAAATGTGGAGTGCAAAGTGTAGAGTGTGGAGTGAGGAGTGAGGAGTGTAAAGTGTAGAGTGTAGAGTGAGGAGTGTAAAGTGTAAAGTGTGGAGTGAGGAGTGTAAAGTGTAAAGTGTGGAGTGTGGAGTGTAAAGTGTGGAGTGTAAAATGTCAAGTGTAAAGTGTGGAGTGTAAACTGTGGTGTAGGGTAAAGAGTGTCAAGGGCGGAGTGTAAAGTGTGGAGTGTACAGTGTGAAGTCTGGAGTGTGAAGTGTGGAGTGTAAAGTGTAAAGTGTGGAGTGTACAGTGTGGAGTGTAAAGCGTAAAGTGTGGAGTGTGGAGTGGGGAGTGTAGAGTGTGGAGTGTAAAGTGTAAAGTGTGGAGTGTGGAGTGCCAAGTGTAAATCGTGAAGTGTAAAGTGTAGAGTGTAGACTGTGGAGTGTAAAGTGTAAAGTGTGGAAAATAAAGTGTCAAGTTTAAAGTGTGGAGTGTAAAGTGTAGAGTGTGGAGTGTAAAGTGTAGAGTGCGGAGTGTGGACGGTAAAGTGTAGAGTGTGGAGTGTTAAAGTGTAAGTGTACAGTGTGGAGTGTAGAGTGTGCTAAATACTGCACCTGCTACGCAGTTTGACATTCCACGCGCAACGGATTTGCACCAAATATTGTCGCTGCCACGGAAAATGACATTCTCATGATGTCCAACGCTTGCCACGCGATTTGCACGTTGTCACCACTTGACGCAGCCCTCACAATGCGATTCGCAAAAAAACACGCAAGAGCACACGTCTGAAGTGCTGCGCTGCCACGCAAAAGCAAGATGGACACATTCAAAGTACTGCGCCTGCTGCGAGACATGGAAATCATCTTCGGAAAACGATGCAAAAGCATGGTGCCTGTCACAACGATTTGGACACGTTCTGAAACATGTTGGAATGTCACGAAGTGCCTGCTCACGAAACGATGCTACGTGATGTTTGAAGCCTCCAAAAGTGACCACGTTTGCAGAACTCACCATAGGCACGGCCATATTGCCCTCACCGCGGTCACTCGTGGATGGTTGCAAACGGTTGACGACGGTTGCGGACACAAAAGCAGCGTCGAGCGAACACGTCTCAACCCCCAGACCCACAAAGTAAAACGAGAATCCTTCGCTACGCATTCGGGAAAAAAAGACGAATGGAAAACGCATTCAAAATCAGGGTCAATAAAAAAGCAGTTTTCAAGATGGAAACTCAGAATGAAAATCAAAGCCAGGCCTGCCAGGAACTTGCAACCCTAAAGCTATATATTGTGGCAGCACCGGACTGTCCCAACAGGCTGCCGCCATGTTTTGAAACTCGGAGGAGCTCTGATTGACGGGTGAGATGTGCAAAGAAATGGCGTGCATATGGACAGGGTTGCCTTTTTCAAGGCCGCGTTTTCAAACAGAATCTCTGGCAAAGATGTAGAAAGCCCAGCTACGCCAACGTCCCCACAGTCACAAGCACGGCGTTCAGAAATACTTGACCTTGCAGTTAATTTTTGGTGCTTTGACAATTACACCGGCAAGAGACCCCAAACAGTGTGGGGCGTAGGAAGTCAATAGGTACAAGCAGCAGTAGCTATGGAACAGCACCAGATCAGGTTGTGTAGACATTATCGTAACTGCAGCAGCTGGAGCTTGTTTTGGCAACAGAAGCAACGCTATGTCTACTCATCAGGACCTCGTACCAGAACCTCATACCAGGACATCTAAGAGAATTTCAAAAGATCGTCAAAGAAGGACCTTCTGTATAATATATAGAGGACCTCACAAGATCTTGATACAAGAACTTCCTTTGAACATCCCAGAAGAACTTTCATAATACAAGCACCAATGCAGAGCATCTTCACGATCTCAATCCAAGGACCTCTTGGAGGATTTCTCCCGGATCCCTACAAGATCTTCTCACAGGTATGTAAAAGATCTTGTCCAAGATCTTCATGCCAGGACCCCTAAGGGAAACCCGCAAGCCGCAAGATCGTAATAACGGACCTGCTGCTGCTGGAGAGGATCTTACACAAGATCTTGATACAAGAACCTCCCAAGAGCATAGCTGTCATACAAGCAGCTCCATGCAAGGACCTCTTAGAGAGGATCGTGCCAGTATCTCCACAAAATCTTCTGACACGGACCTGTACAAGATGCAGGAACCTCTTATAAAGGATTTGACCAACTCCACAAGATCCTATCATAAGGATTCTGATATTTCGTCAGGATCTTCACAACATGGTCTCAAGGTCCTCTACAAGACTTTGGCCAAGATCTTCATATATACGGACCTCCAGGACTGCACCAAGAAACCCATGCGAGATCGTCATACAAGGACCTTCAAGAAATAAGACTTCCTTACCGGGATCTTAGGGAAGCAGCTAAAATCATCACCACGCCACAGTGAGAGGGATCTGACACGTGCAAAGTGCCCAGAGGGTTAAGGGAGCGATCTCACAATTCGCACCGCGCCACAACGAGAGCGATCTGACACGCCCAAAGTCACGAGAGTTGCGCGGGCACATGCTAAATTTTCACCAAATATGCACCCACCACGAAAAATGAATATTGAACATGGCCAAAACGAGGTTTCACCTAGGTTTCAGCCACTTTTTTGGTCGAGGTCTACAAAGTATTGCGCCTGCCACGAAAAAAGAGCATGGGTCATCCGAAGTGCTGCACCTGCCACGCGGAATCATCACCATGTCCCAAATCAAACATGACGACAGTTTCACACAGCGAGACTTTAGACCCTTCCAGCACGTCCTGCAATTTCACCAAGTACTGTGCTTGCCACGCAAAATGGCATCCAAAACCAAAAGTGCGGAGAGTGCCACGCCTGCCACACGGATGAAAAAATGCCCAATGGCCTGCACTTGTCACGCAAAACGACGTCCACAAAATGTTCCGGATATCCCACGCCTGCCAAGAAAATGGACATAGCTCAAAAAACGAGCACGGCGCGCTAGTAAAACGAGACCTTTGGAAAGGAGCAAAACGCGACGGCCGTTTTGTGCGAGCAATCGAAATGCGCATCTCACATAAGGGAACTTTTGTGCGAGCCGGCGCAGGTGAAACGAGCAACCCAGATGCGTCACCCTGACTGATCTAACCCCGGCCTTTTACACCCACTGTCAGAACCCTCAGTATGGACACGCTGTTTGGGGAAAAACATTTCTATCTGTGGTTTGTTACGCGTTGTTTTCGTGCTCTAACATGTAAAGCCACCCCGATTTGTGGCACTTTCATGCTTCAACAGCAAAATCAACAGCCAGGGAACAACAGCAAGACACAGACACGCAAAAACATGTAGCGAGTTTGCTTCTCAACGTAAAAACATGTTCAAAAATTGCGGGAACATTGGATCTAGCACAAGTGGGTCCAGCATTTGCTCCAGCAAAGCGGAGGGTTTTGGGTTGAGAATCAACGGTGAATCTGGTCCGAGTCAGCAAACCCCTGCGAACAAAACCATATACGATGACACTTTGCTTGCAACCCTGGCGTTTTACACGCCTCCATTGCTCTTGTCGCGTGGGGATTTAAGTCCACGAGTTGGGTGAGGTCCCAAAATGAGCAGCAGCGAGCTGATGTGGACCAGATCTTCCTGGAGAAACGCAGCCACGAGGAAGAAATCGGTCGCCAGCAGCTGAGATTCGTATGTGGTGGCCAGCGTATATGTGAGGCTTTGAAAGTACATGTAGAGCATGCCACAAAATGTGACCGGCCGTTAGTGACTAACCATGTCTTGGTCCGTGAGAAGATGGGTGCCATATGGCTCCTCACCGGCTTAACTCATGATTAAACACACGTTTTCTTGCCGAATGGTGTCCAATTCGCATGGGTCTTGATGATTTCTGGATTGAGGCATGGAGCAAGAAATTGGTGCCATTGCCAGGCAGGCAGAGGAACGTTTGAATGAATTACATCCCGACCAACGCCAGGACCTAAGTGATTGATGTAGTGCTCAGACTTGTATGGACGCCCAAACTCAGAGTACCGTGGATGGTCTAAAATTAAGGACAAATAAATTGTGTTGTTGCGTTGGTTCCTTTTTCCCAAAAGCATCTTCGATGCTTGGGTTCTCGTTTAGTCTTTTAACCGCGTGGGGGAGCGAGCTGGTTTGAAGGGGTGGTGTGCGGACGGCGTGGGTGCAAGGGAAACGAAGGGAAAGGAAAGGAAAGGAAGGGAAAGGAAGGGAAAGGAAGGGAAAGGAAGGGAAAGGAAGGGAAAGGATGGGAAAGGATGGGAAAGGAAGGAAAAAAGGAAGGGAAAGGAAGGGAAAGGAAGCGAAAGGAAGGGAAAGGAAGGGAACGGAAGGGAAAGGAAGGGAAAGGAAGGGAAAGGAAGGGAAAGGAATGAGTAGGAAAAGAAGACGCTGGAGATCAGCGAGCTTGGCTGCGCGGAAGGCTGCGGACGGTGTGGGTGCAAGGGTGGCTGGAAATGGGTGGGGAGAAAGAAGCCGCTGGAGATCAGCGAGCTTGGCTGCGCGGACGGCAGCGGACGGGAAATGGGTGCGGAGAATTGCGCGGACGGCTGCGGACGGCGTGGGTGCAAGGGAGTGGCTGGAAATGGGTGGGGAGAAGAAGCCGCTGGTGATGAGCGAGCTTGGCTGCGCGGACGGCTGCGGATGGGAAATGGGTGCGGAATTGCGCGGACGGCTGCGGACGGCCGGACGGCTGCGGACGGCGTGGTTGCAAGGGGGTGGCTGGAAATGGGTGCATGGGGAGAAGAAGCCGCTGGAGATCAGCGAGCTTGGCTGCGCGGACGGCTGCGGACGGCTGCGGACGGCTGCGGACGGCGTGGGTCAAGGGAGTTGGTGGGGGAAAAAAGGCGCTCGGGGATGAGCGAGCTTGGCTGCGCGGACGGCTGCGGACAGCGTGGGTGCAAGGAGTGGCTGAAAATGGGTGGGGAGAAGAAGCCGCTGGGGATGAGCGAGCTTGGCTGCGCGGACGGCTGCGGACGGCGTGGGTGCAAGGGGGTGGCTGGAAATGGGTGGGGAGAACGAGCATGGAAAATGGTTGCTTGTCGGCTGGCTATGTGCGCGTACAGATTAACCTTAAAATAGATGCAAAGGGGTGGGGCCAGGGAATAGGTGGAGACATGGGGTAGGATGATTTTTGCTTTTTAGGGTTCTCGCTTGGCGTGTGCATTTTTGGTATCTAATTTATTAAATGGTGTTGCTTCCCCAAAAGCATCTTCGATGCTTGGGTTCTCGTTTAATTGGTTAACCGCGTGGGGAGCGAGCTGCTTTGAACGGTGGTGTGCGGACGGTGTGGGTGCAAGGGAAGGGAAGGGAAAGGAAGGGAAAGGAAGGGAACAGAAGGGACAGGAAAGGAAGGGAAAGGAGGGGAAAGGAAGGGAAAGAAAGAGAGAAAGGGAAAGGAAGGGAAAGGAAGGGAAAGGAAGGGAACGGAAGGGACAGGAAGGGAAAGGAAGGGAAAGGAAGGGAAAGAAAGAGAGAAAGGAAGGGAAAGAAAGAGAGAAAGAAAGAGAGAAAGGGAAAGGAAGGGAAAGGAAGGACGGAAAGGGCAGGAAGGGAAAGGAAGGGAAAGGAAGGGAAAGGAAGGGAAAGGAAGGGAAAGGACGGGAAAGGAAGGGAAAGAAAGGGAAAGGAAGGGAAAGAAAGGGAAAGAAAGGGAAAGGAAGGGAAAGGAAGGGAAAGGACGGGAGAGGAAGGGAAAGGAAGGGAAAGGAAGGGAAAGGAGGGGAAAGAAAGGGAAAGGAAGGGAAAGAAAGGGGAAGGAAGGGAAAGAAAGGGAAAGGAAGGGAAAGGAAGGGAAAGGAAGGGAAAGGAAGGGAGAGGTTGATTTGGAAATCAGCCGCCGTCGCATGACCGTGCTCAAATGAGTTTGCTTGGCTATTGCGCTCCGTCACTCATTTTTGCGAGGTTTCCGGAGGTTGATTTGGAAATCATCCGCCCTCGCATGACCGTGCTCAAATGAGCTTGCTTGGCTATTGCACACCGTCACTCAATGTTTCCGTGCAGAGCTGAAAAAATGAAATTTGCAGTGAATGCGTCCATAAGGTTCATTTTCTAAAAAGATGCTGGCAAGAGGCGAAAGGGAAATAAACCAATTATTACTCAAATTTGTTTGCTGTCGTTTTGCTTTTGGGTTCTCAGGCCGCCACTTGTTTTTTGATCCATACACGCGTGACTTGACGTATAAATTAAGCTGAGAAAATTAAGCTGAGAAACGAGAAACCACAGTTCAATATCTGTAGGCTTGATCAATGTCAGATGCGTTGCTCGTTTGCGCATGACCAGATGGCAGAGAAACTGAAGATGTAATGTGGACTGGTGAGTACACAGAACGCCTAAGAGTACTTAAGAGTACTTTTGTTTTGATGATCCATGGGCTCCGTTTCAGCACCTTTTGAGCTCCTGAGCCACTGGGCCTGTGCTAGCTATGGCGAGCAACGCTTCAGGGAGCTGGTTAGGATTAGAGCATGAAGTTGGCCTTTCGAGTTTAGCCCAGCGCCGGCAAGCTTTCAAAAACGAAGTGAGCTCACGTGCCGAGTTTTCAGATCTTGATTGAAAATTGTCATAAAAAAGTGCCGATGACTTCAAGGTCTGACCGTTGCGGTAATGGTTGCTTTTGTACGCCTTTGTATTATAAAATCTTTGCCTTTATGCCTTTATGCCTTTAGTCCTTTAGTATCGATTGGATCACATTCCCTGAAGCAATCTATGGGCTGCTCAGAACGAGACGTAGGGAGCACGAGCATCAAATCCCATAATAAGCACCCAGATGCTGGATATGAAACTACTGTTGCTGCTGTTGCAGCCTTGAGATGTTTGCTTGCCTGCCAAGGCAGGGAGTATGATGAGCTCAGGGAGGAAAGCAAACGGCTGAGTCAGGGACTTGGTTCGCCAGATAAAGAGATGTCCATTCGCTGATATCCACGGCGACTCTCGCATCAGAGTTGAGAGTTCTGGCTATTCTGGGTCCTGGGCGTGGTGAGTTGGCTGTGCCCCCACTCAGAGCTTCATCCATTTTATTTTCGGATGTTCCATAAACCAGCTAGCTACTGGGGTACCCCCCATGGCTTAGGAAACCCTGTCAGGTGCAGATCTCGCTGAGGCGAGGGATGAATTGGACCAGGCGCGTGGTGGGACATTTTTTGGGGCCCTTTGATGGTTGATTTACCATGAAAACACTGCAATTAGAACTGAATTAAAGAAGTAAGGTTCGCCGAAACTCTCAGTTCACAGTCACATAGTCAACTGATGTCAACTGCAAGTACATGTTTGTTGTGAAATCTTGTCTAGATATGCCAAACAGTCGGGCAAAAAAGGGGTTCCTGCCCATGAAGCCCAGGAACAGGCTGGTGCCTGACTAATTACAAAGGATCATTTGCCCCCCACCAAAAAAATAGCAGATTGGGGGGTTTGCCTTGAAAATACGAAAGTGATGCCTTTCCGACTGATTCAAAATCAGTTCAATTTAAATTCTATTCCGGTTTAGAGTCCCTTTAGATAATATAAGTCAGTCAATTTATCATCTCATTCTGATTCAAAGTAAGTGGAAGTCAACTCAATCAGTTTATAGTAAAATTCAATCAGATTCTATGAGCTCAATGTCGACAAATTTAATTCAAATTGAAATCAAACCCAGATTCCAAATCAAAATAGTCTTAATATCAGCTCACTTTTGATTGGGACAGAATATCAAGACAGCTCGTATTCAAATTGAATTCGACACGTATAAGTAAATGGCGGCTTAATTCAATTTAACACCGAATCAAATTCCAAACCAAAGTCATGTCAAAAACACTCGAAGATCAAATCCGACCTCAATATCCATTTCCCAAGCGCTTTACCTGAACAACACCAGTGGTCCCGGGCTTCCCAGCGCCCCAAACTTTTGTCTTTGGGTGGAGCTAGTTTCTTGTGAGATTCATTAATCACATCATATTGGTACAGTATTTGTAGTGATAAATGGAGGAATATTCGACTTTTGCAGGGTGTGATGAGCCACGTAGAAATGGATAATGATAGAGGATCTTGGACAATGTTGGTCTGGTGAGTCTGGTGATGACATCGGATGAATGGGGTTGAGTTGCTGAGTTTGGAGCTCACAACCTACATCACTATTCGTCACTAGCATCAGCACCAGTGATACAGGTCAGCGGCAGGTTGAATGCCATGGAAAGCAAGCCAGGGTCTTGGATTGCGGTTCAGTTCAACAAATGGATTTGAAGAATGTTGTGACTTGTTTGGACCCGCATCTCAAATTTTCTCAACATATCAAAAGACTTCAAACGTACTTGAGAGCTGGGCGTTTGGACAGATAGGGCAACTGCTTTGAGGCTAGCAGATCTTGAAAAAATGCAACACTGATGGGAGATTTGCTACAGCATCCCCAAAGCTAACTAACCATGGGCGGTTCAATCCTCGGGGGGCACCATTTTTGTGATGACCGGCTCCAAGGCTTCGTAGTGACCCTTGGCGGACACGACATCGACAGCTCAGCCGGGGTCTGAAAAGATGATACAGGTGATATATTCATCCCTGTTAAAGTTGATGTGTGGGGTTGTACAATAATTATAGGAAGTCAATCTAACATGATCTAAATGGTGCAGTTGGGTTCTTATCAAATTGCAGGATCTAGCATGGGAGACCTTACTACTGGCACTCCCCCGAAATCAAAGATTCACGGGTCGTGTTTAGAATCAAACCTCTGATGCTTCACTGATACTGACGGTTTCCCTGAGATCAAACTCGCCGGGATTTGGAAACTCAAGTGAATCAACTTCGTGCGTGGCTCAGCTCTGGGGTCATCACTTGCAGCTCACACACACAGAGGCCTTCGGCATCCTTTTATCTTGATGGAGGAATTGCAGACATCATTAGAATTCATTAGAATTAGATCTGGTTCTGTTGAGTCTTGAAATTGGATTGGGTCCCCTATCACGCAACCGGCTTTCGTGGACTCGAGCCATCAAGAAAACATGGCACATATCCAGGGACTCCAGGGACACCGCACCAGGCGAGGAGGTCCAGCAAGGCTCCATGAGTATTCCAGAACAGCGGGAGATTCTGCTCTCAAAGGCCAGGGATGGCCACAGTCCACAGATGCTGATGGTTATTGTACGGTATTGTCATCCACGGACCAACTTGCCTTTCACCTTGCCATCAATTTGGGATTAGGGGACCTGCGGTTTCCTATGGTTTCCTGAGTGTGTCAGGTTAAAAATGACAATGCTGAGATCGTGGCGACTGAGAAGTCGAACAGTGCGGGCCGCACTCACATTGTCCAGTAGTGATAGAAGATCCTTTCAAGATTTCGAAGTTTTGTCCATGTTCTACGATATCAGCTTCCTTTTCCTTTCAGATGCTATCCATTGACACATGTTTCCTGCTTCCAGAGCTTTGGATGGTCTGGAAAGGATATGAAAATCATCGCAGTTCCGCCTCTTTCGAGGTGAGCAAAAGTTGGAAAATGAACGACTGCGTGCACAAATCAGAGAAGTAGCTGGCGAGATTTGATGCGGCTGTGGGTTGGACTTCAACCGATTGTGGTCTGCTCCAAGATGTCTTTTTGCATGCTAAGTAGGAAAGATCACTTTGATTGACCACTTTGTCAGAGGGGAGGGATCATCACCAATGGGATGATTTTTCCGGTTATCCTTGCACAAGCACTAAACACAAGGATGCGATTACAGGCCAATAGCTTTGAGTCAAAGATGTCAAAAGCAAACGTTGTTCTGATTGTTGGACTGAACATCAAAGTTCTGAGTTGACCAATTTTGGAGGTACCATAGAAACAGTTGACTATCATCAGTCGAAGATCCAACATCATCATCTCCCAACACGAGCGCCAGGTGATCGCAGATGTAGAAGAGAAGAAGGTCGGGGGGGACGCAATCCAGCCACTGGTTGTTTTGATTGCCAGTCTGCTGACATTTGGTGATGGGATCTAGTGGGTTGGTATGCTTCAAAATCCCACTGGATGCACTTCCCGAATGGATGCTTTGGCCATGTTTGATAGTAAGAGTGAGGAAATTTTTGAGTCCATTGTGCAATTGGTATTTGAAGCTTGGCCCCATTTGACAGGAAGAGAATAGCGACCAGCAGAAGTATGAGATCCTCTTCACCAAGGAGCCACAGACCGGATGCTGTTTGATGCTGTTTGGCAGATTGAAGCTCATCATCCCTCCAGCTAACAGCTTGCCATAGCTTGCCCATGGGGGAAGACAGCCAGGACCAAGAGATGACTGCGTTCATTGAGGGCTTTGCCGAAGCCAAGGTGACCTGAGCCGCTGGGCAATGCTTGAAGTTTGGATTTCAACATGACGACCACAAGTGGTGCTTTCAACGCCTAAAGCTTCAGGTCGTTCAGGTTGCAAAGGGAATGTCAGAACTTTGATTTTTTTTGCTTGGAGTCGGAAAGAGATATCTCGCAGGCTGAAGAGGAGCGAAAAATCAAAGAGAAGCACGAGGCGTGGTCGTCAAGTGTTAGTGTGTGTTGCTATTGTCAGTTGAGTGACCAAAAATCTAGCAACATGGATGATTTTGGTGATCAGTCAGGTGATGCTCAATATCATGTTTCTTGCCAAAATGGCCCGAGAAAGATGTTCTGGTTCAATGCCCATGACAAAATCATTCTGGCAGGCTAGTCACCGTTTCACGAAATGTGCTCTTGAAACATCATTGATTCCTAAGTGTCACAACCAGTTGGACAACGGTTCAACCACCTCCCTCGATATGGTGAATCTGCAAGCTTTGGATTTGTCCCACTTAAACAGATTGAAACAAACCATTTTCTGATATTTTCTGCTATGTAGGCAGGTCCCTTCCAGTTTGGGGACATTGACATGATACCCACATGTGATATGATATACTGTAACATGTTGGTACAATTGGTTGATATTGGTTGGTAGGGAGTCAACTCATCACCCGGTCACCTGGGTCACCTGGGTCACCTGCGCCCAGAGCATTGAACGACTGCAGCTGATCATCTCTAAGAGTTTGGAGCTGCCTCCTGATGCCAGCTGCCTGAGATGCCTGAGAGTGGAGGGCGGATAGTGGCGGATGGTGGCGGATGGTGGCCGGTGGATGTTGCTGTCTGAGGTGTTGCTTGCAGAAGGGCTGGTTCTTCTTGGGATGACAAGCCATGTCTTTTAAGATGATGATCCTTTTAAAGATGAACGACTCAACGAGTTGTGTAGACTTTCCCGCCCAGGTGACTCCAGAGTCGCACCTCAGAGACATGGAAGATGAGCTGGAGCGCCCAGTTGAGCCCAGTTGAGCCCAGTTGAGCTCAGTTGTAGGGCCTGGTGCGGATCCGGACTGATGCTTTTCCGTCGGATGTCGGCAGATCGAGGTTGGACTTCAAGAAAGCGCAGCTTCAAAACTCTGAAACCACTCAGCTGGCAGCTTAGAGGGCTTAGAGTTCAGAATCGTGCAACGCAGGGTGCGACCAATATGATATAATTTGATACATCCTTAAGTGTTGAGACAATATATAATAATAATATATATATATTATATAATAATTATATTGTACATCTAATTATACAGTATAATATGAACCAATCCTTCCTGAAAATATCTGAATTCATCATTGGACGGAAATTCTTTTCAGATCCGACCAGATCTCCAAGGAGTCGCTTGGAGGCTGAGTTGGCCAAACGCCCGGGAGCCCTTTTATCACAGCACTGTGATTTTTCGCAATGACAAAATCTAAACACAGGACAGTCAAGTTGCAATTGAATGAACTATTTCAGCCATTTCATGCTGTTTCATGCTGTTTCATGCTATTTCATGCTATTTCAGCTGTTGGCTAATACCAGTAGGAAACAAAGTCTTTGACTTCAGACTGACCCGTTGATTGAGTGCATGTACAGGTATGACTTGTTGCCAGTGATCTCACTATTCGTCATTGAATGTGAGGCGAGGGTGAGCTGGAAAAGATCGAAAGTTTGGATGTGAAGATTTCCCTGGAGTTGTCGCAGGCGCGGTAAAACGGTTAAACAGTGCAACTACAAGATCTGCAAGTGATAGGAGTTGATACAGTATGAAGTGAAAAAAACAGGCCTCTTCACCAGACGTGCTTTTTGAAAACATTTTCTTTGGCCAGGTCGAAGAGAAGATGAGACAGTACGAGACGGACCTAGCTCAGCTTGCAATATGTTGTGGGTTTAGTTGCCTTACAGTTTGACAGTAACTTTATATAACTTTATTTCTTCCTGTCCGGAAGATGGGGTGAATTCAGAACTTGCCCGGCAAGGGATAAAGATGGATAAAGCCTGTGGCCTCTCACAATGTGGTAAACCCAACCATAAACCATCCCAAATTCTACCAGAAATTCGCCTAAATTCGCATTTAAAGCTTTTATAAACCATGTCCATGGGTGGCAGAAACCATGCCTGATGGGAGGTTGAATACCGGGTCAACCACATGAATTTCAGAAAATCCGCAGGAAATTGTTGAGCGCTACGACAAGATCGAAGAAATGAAAGCTCAAGGCCCACAGATGGAGCCTGCGAGCCCTACCCAGTTGGAGATTCCTGGGCTCTGCCAAGTGGAGTTTCTCTAATTTTCTCAGACCATTTCCAAGTGGACTTTGGTTTCATTGTGCTGGAGTGGTTTTTCAAACAGATCAAGGTCCGGTTGCGGAGCATGACATCGCCTGAATCCATTGGATTCATTTGGCAATTGCCCATGTACATAATACAATAGAATACAACGTGTACACGACATAGAATATAGAACATTACAGAACTATAATATATCGGCATGATTGGATAGTACACAATAGTATATAGTATATGTCTCTACGCCCCCGGAGTTAAAGATGTAACACAGTCTCTTTTTTGTTACCCGTAGTGTTCAGCTCAAACTGATAGTGGATGTCGTGCAGCAGCTGCCACACTTTTCTCGGTGAACCGTGTGCTTGCTGCCGCACATATCGAAGGATCGGCTGGATCCTCCAGACTTGCCGTCTGGCGCCCGTGCAGGAGGCGGAAGCGCTCAGGGCTTTGCGTGAGTGCTGCTGCCTGCTCACGGACCTCTACGAGCTGGCGGGACGAGAGGCTCCTGCACAGCCTCTTGAATCGAGGGCAGGCCCCTTGGAAGAGGAGACCGGAGGTTAAGATCGAAGAGAGTAAGGAGCCCGCCCAAAGCAGCGAGGCTGCGAGAGCAAGGTCTGAGGATCCAGTTGAAGAAAAGAAGAAGAAGAAGAAAGATAAGAAGAGGAGCCGCAAGAAGGAGAAGTCAGCAAGTGAGGACCCTGGCACGGGAGAAAGGTCTCCTGAAAACAAAGTAAGGAGGAAAAGGAGGAAGTCTAGAGACGACGCGGAAGGAGAAGGTCCAGACGCAGAGCACGAAGGAGGAAGGACAGAGGTCAAAGAGGAGGACGCCAACCCGGGGGATACCCCTGCAAGAGGTGTCACTGAGGAGGAAGACTTGCAAGAGAGGATCGACAACTTCGTCGCCAACAACCCCAGGTCATACGAGCTTGGGACATTGCCAATCAGAGACCGAGAGCGGCGAGATTCGCCAGAGGCAGATCCGGGAGACACCAGCCGGAGGCCGCCGGAGCCCCTACATCCCCCACCGGGATACCACGGCCGGCGAGAGGACGACGACGAGATCAGAAGCAGGAGAACACCACAACCAAAGAAGAACAAGGGAAGGAAGCACAGGACGCGAGGCAGGGAGCGTGGCTACGTGCCACGGCCTGGGCACAACTAATGGCGCCCATGGCAATGCCAATGCCGGCCCCAAAGGGCAAAGCTCGTGTCCGAGCCAAGGCCAAGGCCAAGGCGAAGGCCGTGGCGGTGGTCAGGCTAGGGATTCTGGGGAGATGTGCTCTCAGGCGGCCGGCAGGCATGACAGAAGAATGTCTAGAGAGGTCAATTCAGGAGAGATGGAGAGGAGGCAAAGAAGTCGAGGCGGTGTTTCACCCTCTTCGGGAGTTGGGAGAAGGCGTCAAAGCGGTGTTGGAGGCAGCCACGTACTTTCACCAAGGGTGCAAGGTGTTGGGTGCAATCATGGGTTTCGAGGTCCGAGAGGGAGAGGTCTCTCTTCGGGTGACCTTGCGGGGAACTTCGCACGAGGGGTCGCTGAAGATGCACTCCGGAGCCCCAGAGACCACTTACAAGATACACCCATGCCCACGGGCCTTCCAGCAGGAGGAGGTCTCGGATTACACCTGGCACGCTCGAAAGGTAAGGCTCTTGGGCCTGGTGGAGTCGGAAACAGGATGGGTTGTGAAATGGCAGGCGGTCCAACCAGAGAAACGAGGAAGTCAGATCGGAAGCAAAGGAAACGACAAGGGCAGGTCAGACACAAAAGGTGGCTCAAAAGGAGGAAAAGACCGGAAATGGGGCAAGGGGCCCCAACCAAAGGGAGGAGCGTCAAGGAGGAAAGACGAGGTGCCCGGGAAGGCATGCGCCCCTGGGGCATAGAGGAGACGGGGGGTAGGCCCCTTGGAGAGGAGCTGACATCGGGGGTGGTTACCCCTGGCCGATACGATGAGGCGAGGGAGAAGTCCCTTGGAAAAGATATGGCTGGGGAGCCCGGCCGAACTGATGGCGGCTATGGTGAGGGGATGGAAGTGGCCCTCTGCCGCAAATCGTATCTTGGGCTCCCTGCCATAGAGGAGGCGGGGGGAAGGCCCCCTGGTACAATGAGACGAGGGAGAAGTCCCTTGGAAAAGATATGGGTGGGGAGCCCGGCCGAACTGATGGCGGCTATGGTGAGGGGATGGAAGTGGCCCTCTGCCGCAAATCGTATCTTGGGCTCCCTGCCATAGAGGAGGCGGGGGGAAGGCCCCCTGGAAAAGAGGTGACATCGGGGGTGATTACCCCTGGCCGATACAATGAGGCGAGGGAGAAGTCCCTTGGAAAAGATATGACTGGGGAGCCCGGCCGAACTGATGGCGGCTATGAAGAGGGGATGGAAGTGGCCCTCTGACACAAATCGCATCTTGGGCTTCCTGGAGCAGCCGGGACGGAGTGCTTTGGCCATGGCTGCGCTGAGCAATCAATGCATGAGGCTGCCCCGAAGTGGGCAAGCACGAATTCCTTTTCTACGCGCGGGGCGGCTGCGGCTAGCTCTGGCTTTGCGGATGGCATGGCCCTTGAAATAACGGCCGAAGCTTTTGAGTCCGCCCATCGAAAAAAGGACGCAGATCAATGTGTGACTGGGAAATCTTTGGGGTCGTGTGGTTCAGTTTTGGGTACTAGGCTACTAGAGGTTTTACCGCTTCGCAGCCAGACCACGGGTAGGGGAAGTCACAAAGCTATTTTTCCCTTGCCTACCTCTAGAGCCGCTTTTCTCCAACTGAACCCCCTTTTTGAATAAGGATGAGCTGTCGTGGATTTTTTGTGTAGCAGTTTCTTTGAATTTTTCTTGGGGATCTGAAATTCTCAATGAGGGTTTGCCGAATCCGTCGCAACACAAATGTTTGGAGGGCATCTTGAGGGAGGTGCAGAGGTTCTGCCATATGGACGCCCCAGTTGCGGAGCCCGATTGGAAGCATTTTCTCAAGGTGAAATCTATTGACTATAAAGGATGGAAAAACATTTTCCCTGCTCTACCTCGTGAAATTGGAAAGGTACCCCTTGCTGATGTCTGTACGTTAGGGTCCAAACACTATGTCCTGCACTTTGACCAGTACTTGAAGGCACCCAACGGGTGGAGTGTCGTCAGGGCCCCCCGGGTTATGGTTGACGATGACCACTGGGCTGAGGTGTGTGAAGGTCTTGAGACGGGTATCTGCACTTTTATCGAAGAGCAGGATGTTTTCCATGCTCATGATACCCCGGTTCTCAATGGACTTTTTGGGGTCATCAAGGATGAATGGACGAAGGATGGCACGGAGATTTTTCGTTTAATTATGAACCTAGTGCCTCTGAATTCCCTTTGCATGCCCATGACTGGTGATGTGAATACGTTGCCTTCATGGAGTGGAATATCGCCGTTTTTCCTGCAGCCTACCCAATGTCTTTTGGTTTCAAGTGAGGATGTTAAATGCTTCTTTTATACGATGTCCGTGCCGACCACATGGACTAAGTTTCTAGCTTTTAACAAGCTGATCCCCGATGAGGTTTTGCCGTTGCATCTTCGAGGTAAGAGGGTCTACGCGGCGTCCCGTGTTTTGCCAATGAGGTTTCTCAACTCCGTATCCCTGGCGCAACACGTCCACCGCAACCTGGCTTTGACGGCTGGAGCGCGGTACGGGGACCGGGAGTGCAACGCTCCTGATGAACGAGAGTTGAGGAAAGATCGGGTGTTCCCACAGGGGGACACCTTGCGGAGAATATACCTCGACAACTATGACCTCCTCGAGAAGGTAGAGGCTACCCAGATGGGAAGCCTTGAGGGCAGTGTGGCGCCCGGGGTACTGGCGCTTCGCCAGGAGTATGAGGTCTGGGACATCCCGCGCAATGTCAAGAAGTCCGTGGGACGCAGCGCGAGGTGCGAGGTGCAAGGCGCAACAGTGGATGGCCTCCTTGGGGTCGCATACCCGCGGGAGTCCAAGCTCGCAAAATACTTCGGCATGGCGGTTGATCTCTGTGGACGGGCATTTGCTACCCAAAAGCAATGGCAAGTTGTGTGCGGAGGTCGTCGCGCCATGCTGGGAGGCTTGAATCAAGTATGGAAGCACATCGAGAGCTACGAGCAAACTGGTCGGCGTTTTCAGCGGACACCTCCTGAATGCATCATGGAGGTCCTCCGATTGCTGGGGTCCTTGGCACGGATGGACTTCCGCCAGGACATGAACGAAGTAGTGACCTGCAGTGATGCATCAACTTCGGGAGGTGGAATGTGTGCCAGTGTGGCAACTTCGCCCTTTGGAAAGATGGTGGCAAAGGGTGCCCTTCGAGGCGAATTGGCAGAACACCGGCCGGAGCATATGGTGCTCTCCGTGGGCTTATTTGATGGCATCGGGGCCCTTCGGGTTGCCCTGGACTTGCTTGGAGTGCAGGTCATTGGGCATGTGTCCGTTGAGAAAGAGCCAACTGCACGTCGGGTGGTTGAGGCGCATTTTCCAGGTCTCGTTGCCCTCGACCTGGTAGAAGTAAGAGGTGACCAGTGAACGGGTTAAGGAGTGGGGCACTGCTTTTTCACAAGCCAGCCTGGTCCTGCTCGGGGCTGGCCCGCCCTGTCAAGGAGTCTCGGGACTCAATGCAGACCGCCGGGGAGCGCTCAAAGAATCGCGGTCGTCCCTGTTCAGCCATGTTCCCCGTGTACGAGATCTCTTGCGCAAACTTTTTTGCTGGTGCCCAGTTATACCCTCATGGAGTCAGTGGCCTCCATGGATGCCAATGATCGGGAGGCCATGTCGCAGGCCATCGGGATGAATCCGCTCTCCTGTAAGCTGGCGACGTCACCTGGTGTCAACGACCGAGGTTGTACTGGATAGACTGGGAGGTGAGTGCTCAGCATGTAGCGGTGCAGCCAAGCTCGGGGGTAGGGACCCCCGCCGTGGTCAGATTGGAGGGCGCTCAGGATCTGTCGCAAATGGTCCGACCAGGTTGGCTCAAGGTCGAGCCCTCCCAATCTTTCCCTACCTTTACGACTTCACGGCCTCAGGCCCGGCCTGGACGGAAGCCCACCGGCATCCAGAATTGCACCCCTGAAGAGTTGCAACGGTGGGTTGCTGACATGCATCGTTTTCCACCGTACCAATACCAACTGCAGCACTGTCTTGTGAATCGGCAGAATCACCTTCGTATTCCTGACGTGTCGAAGCGTGAAATGATGATGGGCTTCCCTCTACGCTACACAGCTAGTTGTTTGCCTAAGGGGCAGCCGAAGAGTGCCAATTTCACGGATGCCCGCCTGACCCTCCTGGGAAACTCGTGGAGTGTTCCAGTAGTAGCCTGGCTGATTGGCCAGTTGCTCGGGAGGCTCGGGCTCATTCCTACACCGACGCCGCAGCAGGTACTGGACAATCTTGTGCCGGGCACTAGTACAACAATTCAAGGGCGCTTGGTCAGGTTGCCACTCAACCCAGCCAGGGGAGAGAGCCCTGGATCAAGCCACGCATTGGCAATGAAACTTGGGAACTTAATCTCGCTCAAGGGCGAAGACATCATGCTGAACGCACCATCATCGCAGATGATCAGGTACCGTGCCGTCGTCCCTGTGGCGATGGCGAGTTGTCACCGGATGGAAGCGGACGAAAGGAAAGGAGCACATAAACGCTTTGGAGTTGCGGGCTATATTTGACCAGCCTACGATGGAGACTTGAATATCAGTCCCATGTCGGGGTGCGGTTTATACACCTGACTGATAGCCTTGTGTGCCTACATTGCCTCACTCGCCGGCGTTCCAGCTCACGGAAATTACGTCGTACGTTGGCCCGTATTAACGCGTTACTCTTGGCATCAAACTCTCAGCCGCTTTGGGGCTATATGTGCATACCGATCAAAATCCCGCCGACAAGCCCAGTCGTTGGGGCAGGCGGGTCTGCACAAAGTTCCGCAATGCCGCGTAAACGCATTTTAGAAGCTGAGAGGGCTGAAGAGCGCGCACGCCAACGACGTGAACTCGGTACCTTGAAACAATTAACGGAGCAGCCAGCAACTCGCTTGCGATATACGCATGCCACAAATGCTTTCCTTCGCTTTTTGTCCAATGAGGGACATGAACTCCCTCGTGAAAGGGCACGGATGGATCCACTAGTGTGTGATTACTTGGAGCATCTTTGGTCATCGGGAGCTGGACGAGCTCTTGCCTGCGACACCTTGGCAGGGCTGCTGGACCTCCAACCTAATCTTCGCAACCACTTACCGGGAGCGTGGCGGCTCCTGAAGACGTGGCACGTGAATGAAATTCCAAACCGTGCACCGCCTCTGCCGGAGCATGTTGTACAAGCAATGGCAGGGAGGGCCTTCTTCCGAGGGCACTACACTTTTGGCATTTCCTTGCTGGTAGGTTTTTACACAATGATTCGAACGGGAGAGCTTATTGGGCTCCGGTCGTGTCACATGACCTCATCGGGGGGCCAAAATCAGGTTTTGATTTCCCTTGGGCTAACTAAGGGGGGCAAACGTCACGGCGCCGCGGAGAGTGTCATTTTGGGGTATGAGCCAGTTGTGAAGCTGGTTCAGCATTGGAAGCTAAAGGCTTCCCCTGCTACTGGGCTGTCAACGTCTCCAGCTAACTGGCGGGGCTTGTTCAATGAGTGTTTGCAAAGCCTCAAGTTGACGTCACATGGGTTTCGGCCCTACAGCCTTCGCCGCGGCGGGGCAACGTTTTGGTTTAGCAAACATCAGTCCTTTGACCGTATCCTAGTCCAGGGGCGATGGCACACACAGAAGAGTGCCCGAATTTATTTAAACGAAGGTTTGTCCGTCCTTGCTACTTTGCGTATCCCACAGTATCACCCTGACATTCACCCCTTCCTGACATTCACCCCTTCCTTAATGTGTTCCACCAAACAGTGAGCCGTCCAAGTTTTGGAACACTTGAGCCTCCGCCACAGGGCGGAAGGTTGGGGGGACGTGGAAAGAAGGGCAAGAAGAGCTCACACAAGCGTCAAAAGCGCACCCTCGGGTATTCCTTTTTTGCCATTAACTGCTTTTTCAATATGCTACTGCATTCTTTGGCATTATGGGTACCAGGAGGTTTGGCTCGGTTACCCTGATGGAAGAATGGACCCTGGTTTCTCTGCTTGGGGTTTGGCCCAGCTTTGAAACAGGGTTTTCCTGGGATTGGATCAGTAGCATATTGTTCCAGAACATGTATTCTATTTTTCTTGAGACATCTGCTGCGAAGCGGAACAAAAAATCATGTGCTTACATCTTTATATATATATACACTATATATTAATATTATATATATAAATATATAAACATACACATATGTAATCTAGTGTATATATATATAATAATTATATATATATCACACATAATCACATAATTACCTTTTGAGGCGCTCTGGAAGCCCAGCGGCTGGAAGATTCCAAGAAGGGTCTCGAGGAACGGAACGGACCATGAATTTGATGCTGAGTCGGGCCATGGGCGAAACAAAACACCTGGTCACTTCGAGTATTTGCTGATTCATCTTCTTGGGGACAGACTTTGTCTTTGAGCCATTCCCGGAATTTGGGCACACAAATAACAACAGTGGTGTGAACCAACACATTTAGTGTATATATTTGCGACCCCAGAGTATGTTGCGATGTTGCTGCATCAACAGCTGACTCGTCCATGTAAGAAGTGGAATGACATTGCAAACCCTGCAAGGAGAGTTGCGGCTTCATATTTTCTCTGCACATATTCAATGGTGCTGTGTTCGTTGAAAAAAGGCCCTGTGCAACATGCTTCCGGCTCACGCTACAGTAAGCAACTAAAATCATCTAAAACCTATATAAAAAGTTGAAAGAACAGATGCTTATTATGATTATAATGCTGAACATCCTTCCTTTGTCATTGCCTTGCCCCAGGAGAGATCGCAAGCCCTGCGGCAACAGGCAGATCTTGGTTCTGCGGCGAGCTGTTGCCTCCAAGATCTTGGAGAGAAGCCCCAATGGACGACACTTGTGTCATCAATGCCCCATGAATCCATCCGAGATAGAACTTGGTGGAAAACTGGGAGATCCGGAGGTAAATGTCCTTCGGCTCCGCTACGATGGCAAGCGCCAAATCCTTGGCTTTCGCATTGCATGTGGGATTTTGATGTTTTTGACGTGCCTTCTCTGGGAAGGAGTGGCAGGAAGTCTTCAGCTGCACAATTAGCTGATCAGCAGCTGACCTGTAAGTTTCTTCCAATCATGGGCCCAATGGGATGAGAACGGTCCCAGGTCAGCAGCTTCAGGATGATGAGACCGCAGCAGCTTTGGAGGCGCCATAGATGTCTCAAGTTCGCATGGTTGATGAAAAAAAGTGAGTATCTGATGGTATTTGTCTTTTTCTTTCTCACCATTCTGGGCAATGGATTAGATATTCAGAGGGTATGCCACACTGACCTCTCTACTTTTTCCATTTTTTTCCATTTGGGGACATCAGGCAGCCAAACAAATGCCAGCCAGAGCAGCCAGTTGTGTGATGGGCCTGTCATGGCTGTACCTTGAGGCGCAAGAACAGCGGATCCGGCAGTTTGGGCAGTTGGGGGTCTTAGTGTCCCGGGGTACGCTGGGGTAGCTGGGTTGGTTCCCCACCGTTAAAACATATGGAGGTTTCCTGAAATGGTGGTAACCCCAAATCATCCATTTTGATCATTTTGGGGTATCCCCATTTATGGAACCCCCCATGTCTCGGAACCTTGTGAATCTTGGAGGGAATGATCGACGACATCATACGACATCATTCCTTTAAGAGTTGACCAATGATTGCCGCAGTTCCGCGACAGCCAAGGACTCTCCACACACTGCGATCGTTCATTGTCCAAAAAACATCTGAGCAGCGCGGTCGCACTTCGGTTTTTGGGGTCACCCTAGAGTGTACATGTTCATCACTGATGTCTTTTGGATCATGCTGACATCACTGATGTCTTTTGGTTGAGGGTCACTATGGGTCACCCTAAAGTGCACATCTTTTGGATGATGACATTGGTGACCAACGCCTGGAAGGTCTGACTTCCGTGGGGAGATGGCTTCGTCGTTGGACATTGCCGCGCAGCTCAACAAGATGCTGCAGGTGGGTCCTGCCCATGAAATTTCGTTTCTTTTTTAAGCTTGAAATGATGATTCATACCGAATTCATGTATATAATAGATATATTATCTATATAATATATATATATAATAATAATATATAATATAACATATATAATACATATTTACTCCTATTTTCTATCTATCTATCTTATCTATCTTATCTATCTTTTCTATCTTTTCTATCTTTTCTATCTTTTCTATCTTTTCTATCTTATCTATCTTATCTATCTATCTATCTATCTTTCTTTCTTTCTTTCTATTCTTTCTATCTATCTATTCTATTCTATTCATTCTATTCTATTCTATTCTATCCTATCCTATCCTATCCTATCCTATCCTATTCTATTCTATTCTATTCTATTCTATTCTATTCTATTCTATTCTATTCTATTCTATTCTATCTATCTATCTATCTATCTATCTATCTATCTATCTATCTATCTATCTATCTTGTCTATCTATCTATCTTGTCTATCTATCTATCTATCTACCTATCTATCTATCTATCTATCTACCTATCTATCTATCTATCTATCTATCTAGTCTATCTAGTCTATCTATCTATCTATCTACCTATCTATCTATCTATCTATCTATCCTATCCATCCTATCTATCCTATCCATCCTATCTATCCTATCTATCCTATCCGTCCTATCTATCCTATCTATCCTATCTATCCTATCTATCTTATCTATCTTATCTATCTTATCTATCTTATCTATCTTATCTATCTCAACTATCTTAACTACCCAATCTATCCAATCTATCTAATCTATCTAATCTATCTAATCTATCTAATCGACCTTAACTATCTTAACTATCTTAACTATCTAATCTATCTAATCTATCTAATCTATCTAATCCATCTAATCGATCTAATCTATCTAATCTATCTAATCTATCTAACCTATCTAATCTATATAATCTATCTGATCTACCTGATCTATCTGATCTATCTGATCTATCTGATTTATCTGCTCTATCTGATCAATCTGACCAATCTGATCAATCTGATCTATCTGGTCTATCTTATCTATCTGAGCTACCTGAGCTATCTGAGCTATCTGACCTATCTTACCTATCTTACCTATCTTACCTATCTTACCTATCTCATCTATCTTATCTATCTTATCTATCTTGTCTATCTTGTCTATCTTATCTATCCTATCTATCTGATCTATCTGATCTATCTGATCTATCTGATCTATCTGCTCTATCTGATCAATCTGATCAATGTGATCAATCTGATCAATCTGATCAATCTGTCTATCAATCTGATCTATCTGATCTATCTGATCTATCTGATCTATCTGCTCTATCTGATCAATCTGATCAATGTGATCAATCTGATCAATCTGATCAATCTGATCAATCTGGTCTATCTTATCTATCTTAGCTACCTCAGCTATCTGAGCTATCTGAGCTATCTGAGCTATCTGACCTATCTTACCTATCTTACCTATCTTACCTATCTTACCTATCTTTCCTACCTTACCTATCTTACCTATCTTATCTATCTTATCTATCTTACCTATCTTACCTATCTTTCCTATCTTACCTATCTTACCTGTCTTATCTATCTTATCTATCTTATCTATCTTATCTATCTTATCTATCTTATCTATCTTTTCTATCTTATCTATATTATCTATCTTATCTATCGTATCTATCCTATCTATCCTCTCTATCTTATCTATCTTATCTATCTGACCTATCTTACCTATCTTACCTATCTTCTCTATCTTGTCTATCGTGTCTATCTTGTCTATCTTGTCTATCTTGTCTATCTTATCTACCTTATCTACTTTATCTACCTTATCTATCTTATCTATCTTATCTACCTTTTCTATCTTATCTAATATATCTAATATATCTAATCTATCTAATATCTATCTAATCTATCTAATCTATCTAATCTATCTAATGAATCTATCTAATCTATCTAATCTATCTATCTACCTACCTACCTATCTATCTATCTATCGATCTATCTATGTATCTATCTATCTATCTTTCCACCCATCCATCCATGTATCTATCCATCGATCTATGTATCTATCTATCTATCTATCTACCTACCTACCTACCTAATCTATCTATCTAATCTACCTAATCTATCTATCTATCTATCTGTCTGTCTATCTGTCTATCTGTCTAATCCTATCTCGATCTATCTAATCCTATCTCTATCTGTCTAATCCTACCTCTATCTATCTATCTATCTCACCTATCTTACCTATCCATCTATCCATCTATCCATCTATCCACCTATCCATCTATCCATCTATCCATCTATCCATCTATCCATCTATCCATCTATCTATCCATCTATCCATCTATCCATCTATCCATCTATCTATCCATCTATCCATCTATCCATCTATCCATCTATCTATCTAATCCTATCTAATCCTATCTAATCCTATCTAATCTATCTAATCCTATCTAATCCTATCTAATCCTATCTAATCCTATCTAATCCTATCTTAACCTATCTATTCCTATCTTTTCCTATCTTATCCTGTCTTATCCTATCTTATCCTATCTTATCCAATTTTATCCCACCTTATCCCACCTTATCCCACCTTATCTTATCCCATCTTATTCCATCTTATCCCATCTTATCCCATCTTATCTCATCTCACCTCATCTCACCTCATCTTATCTCATCTTATCCCATCTTATCTCATCTTATCTCATCTTATCTCATCTTATCTCATCCTATCTTATCTTATCTCATCTTATCTCATCTTATCTCATCTAATCTCATCTTATCTCATCTTATCTCATCTTATCTCATCTTATCTCATCTTATCTCATCGTATCTTATCTCATCTTACCTCATCGTATCTCATCTATCTCATCTTTCTCATCTACCTCATCTATCTCATCTACCTGATCTATCTGATCTTTCTGATCTTTCTGATCTCTCTGATCTTATCTGATCTTATCTAACCTTATCTAATCTTATCTAATCTTACCTAATCTTATCTAATCTTATCCAATCTTATCCAATCTTTTCTAATCTTATCTAATCTTATCTAATCTTATCTAACCTTATCTAATCTTATCTAATCTTATCTAATCTTAACTAATCTAATCTAATCCAATCTGATCTAATCTTATCTAATCTTACCTAATCTTATCTTAATCTTATCTAATCTTAATCTAATCTTATCTAATCTTATCTAATCTTATCTAATCTTCTCTAATCTTAACTAATCTGATCTGATCTTATCTAATCTAATCTTATCTAATCTACCTATCTATCTATCTATCTAGCTATCTAGCAATCTAGCAATCTAGCTATCTAGCTATCTAGCTATCTAGCTATCTAGCTATCTAGCTATCTAGCTATCTATCTATCTATCTATCTTGTCTATCTATCTTGTCTATCTATCTTGTCTATCTATCTTGTCTATCTATCTTGTCTATCTATCTTGTCTATCTATCTTGTCTATCTATCTATCTATCTATCTATCTATCTATCTATCTATCTATCTATCTATCTATCTATCTATCTATCTATCTATCTATCTATCTATCTATCTCTATATCTCTATATCTCTATATCTCTATATCTCTATATATATATATATATACTGTATGCATCTCCCGTGAAGGCTCCAGATTTTCCTCGAATCGATAAGTTTCATCAGAGCGGGCACGCCAGGATGGGGCTCTTCCGCGGCCTCCAGGCGTTTGAGATCCAGGTGCCAGACAAAGGAGCCCCAAGCGGAAGGAAAACCTTGGTGTTTTCCCATTAAAACAGGGATCATATGGGATGATGTTCATGATTATTGACTATTGAATTACTATTGATATCTATATCTATTCATCATTTTTAGTTTATGGATATTGATGCTGGACGTTAGCATTTTTCCGTTTCTTTTGAACATTTTTTGGGCGTCGCATCTAAATCCATAGAAGTTATACACACTGAGTCGCAGAGAAATTTGCCATATCTTGCCATTTGTCATGCCTGTTGCTGCAGGTGATGAGGCCATGTCGCCATGTCGCTTCCGCACGTGACGCCAGGGTCCAGCCAAGTCGTAAGCTGGATTCTGGCCGCTAGCTCACACGGAAATGAAGGCCTTGGTCACAGTCTGACATGTTGCAAGTTCGAAGTGATCTAAAAAATGCTAAGTACAGTCGGATCCCTTCAGTCGAAGATACCAGAAGGGTGGAGGTTCTTGAGATTTGTATTCCTGAACCTACTAAAACGAAGAGCAACCAAGATCCCATGCTTTACACTTTTGCTGTATCCGGATACTCATCATACATTATGTATACAAGTTGTGAAGTGATTGTAGTGGCAGCATGGTAAATATGGTAATCTGAACGGCACTGTGATGACTGCTTGTACAGCGCTGCGTCTTCGTCCAGTGACTCACCTCTGCATGATGACCGAACTGTGCTGCGCCGTTAAAGATCTGTGCCGTGCGCGCGGCTTCGTTCAGGTGGTGCGTTTTTTTTTGCATATGTTTATGATTTGTTTATGATGTTTGTTGACCAGGGTTTCAGCAAACTTGTCAGATCTTTCGTACTCACAACCATCACATAGTAAATATTTTTCTGATTCTTTATCTATCACTACAATCTAGTGAAAGTTGTGACAGCGCATGAATTTTCACCCAGAATCCGTGTGTTACCGTTAAAACTGTGAACGCTTTATTGATTTCAATTCTGTGGCTCTGTGCACGCAGTAAGATGCACACTATATCGACTAGTGAGTGCTGACGACAAACAACCACTTCAGAATCTTATCGTCAGAAGTGTTGTTATTTTCTAATTATGTCCGCCTCAAGATTTCCCACTTTTTTTTGGTTGCCGCGCCCGAGTCAAAGCATGTTTTCTGTAGATACTTTCACTGCGACCTCAGGCGTTGCCTGAGACACTGCTGTTGCCGTCCGACATGGCAGGTGATGCCTTACCTGCCCCAGTGGCTTCGCAATGACTTGTTGAGTCAGGGACTCAGAAGATGCACAGATCCACGAGAAGCCTCTGGCGGCCTTCCACAATCAGTGAGCAGTTGACCCATGAGCTGGGACTGCCTATCAAACAAGCAGTGTATACTGCAAACAAATGCTTAATTTTGGCCCAGTCTACTAACAAACTTGCCAGAGAACGCCAAGCATAATTTTGGCATAAATACATATATAATCATTATATATATATAATGTACTGTAACTATTATGTAATATTATGAATGTATGTATATACATATGAACATTCCGTTTTTTTTGGGGGCAAAACCCCAGTTAGAAGTGATAAGACTGTTTTTTTTGTCACACTGCTTCGATCCCTCTGATCCTCAGGCGAACGCTTCATCACCGAATGCATCCATCTTTGAGGATTTGGACAAGGCTCTTGATATGGCAGGGCGGCAAGGGTAGATGTTGGAAGATATCAATTGTCATTGTTTTTGAGTTATTTTTTTAAATACAGTATTTTTCCCTGGATATGAGAAAGGTACGGTAAAGATTTGTACTTCCTTATATGCAGAATCTGGATACAGATCCAGGTCTTTCAACTTGGCATGTTTGGTGGGTTCGAACATCGAAGCCTGCGACGATAAACCCAGTGAACAGTAAGCTTTTAAAATGGCTGTCTCAACCACTAACCAGTTCATGCATAATCAAAATCCATGAAGATCCAGTGTTTTTTTTGACTGTTTGCCCATCTTGCATAAATCTACCTGGGTTATTGATGTCATTAGTCATCCATATCTGATGGCAAAACAGCTGGTTTTTCCAGCTTCCGCAGGACAAGAATGGCACCCTGGAGCCCGAGGAACTCTTTCCAATGGTTGGATCCTTGGTGGGATCCAAATGGATTACTATTGAAAATGGCCCAGTCGAAATAGTGGATTTTCCCATTGAAAATGGTGATTTTCCACAGTTATGTTAGTTTACCAGAGGGTAGAACTCCAGTCAACTCCAACAATCCACGGATCCAGTGCGGTTTCGTTGTTGTCGTTGTAGGTTCGCAACATGGCGGATGCCCACAGCAACTTGGCAGCTGGTGGATTAGCAACTGTCACAGTTGCTCAGTTGCTATTCGGTAATCCCCCCAAAAATAGAAAAGGAATCTACCCTGATTTTGGTTGCAACGCATAAGTCTCGCCCAGGCATGGCTTTGGATCTTGACCAGCTGGCCACTTAGTTCGCGAAGCCTTTTTTTGTGCAGCCGGTGATGGTCCAATCAGTGAATCAATGGATTTCCAAAGTGATTTCCGATTCGTAGATTTCTATGATCAGAATGAATTCTATGATTTCTATATATTTCTATGATGTCCCATTTCCAGATATTTCCAGTGGTTTCTCCAATCTTTCTCAACACTTTAGACAGATGTTCTTAAAAAGGTTCGGTTGCCGCCTTCAACATGAAATCACCCCAGCTTTTCTATCCCTTTCTCCCCACTTCCATCTTTTTTCCAAGGCATTTCTTTTGGGTTGACTTGGGGCCAGGGGGTTCACGACAGGTGCAAACGCTTCGCCTCGATCTTCGATGACAACGGCGATGGCCTTATTGAACTCGATGAGCTCGGAAGCCAAGCCGAAACGGCATGGCAGGGAAAGGGAAAGCCTGCTGTCATGTGTTGTGCAGTTCTACATATACAAACATGACAAACATATGTATATTGTTGATTATTGTTATACATGTATGTATATATATATATATATGTAACAATTATACATTATACTAAGTACATATGACATGTGATTATAGAATATTATAGATGTATATCTATAGTCAAACTTACAATGGCTCCCAGCAAGCTGTTGTCATATTTGCTTCCGCACAGAAGCTGATATCCCATACTGGCGATGATCGACATGTCTCGCAGAGAACCAGGGTGCACAAATTTGGTGGCGTTGCCGCCTTCCGGTTGGTTCAGAGATGTTCCGAGTTTCAGTGAATTTCAGGTTTGTGACCTTCTCCCGGTTCATGATTGTCATGGCTTTCTTGCATAGCCAGGCCAGGCTGCTGCTATGCTACTGAGGGGGCAGTTTTTCAGTGGAAAGCCGCTTTTGATATTTTTGACTTCTCGCATCTTCTCGCATCTCGCGCAGGAGGGTGAGCTCACATTGTCCATTGCCATGGAACCAGATGTCGGGAGCCTGAGAACATGCCGCAAGTGGTGCTGGAAGTGGTGTGATGGTGTGGAAGTATGCTGTACCAGGCAGTACCATCATAACACCGCATCACTTCCAGTGGCATCATGTTGATCAAAATGTATACCATGATCATGGTATCATTTATATCATAGATCATAATGCCAATTACTTTCTGCCTTTCTGTTATTTTCCATTTCTGATAGATGTTCCAGGGGAATTGTTGAAGAAGCAGTGGGAAGCATTGAGGTTGTGACGGAGGCAAACAAATCCTCAGTGTTCGGCAAGACCTGCATTTTTTTCTCGAAACTCAAGTGTTGTTTAGATGATAAGGATGATCGTCGCCATCATCGTCGTCGTCGTCGTCGTCACATCATCATCATCATCATCATCATCATCATCATCATCATCATCCTCATCCTCATCCTCATCCTCATCCATTCTGAGCATGAACATGAAGCCTCAATTTCTTAGGCCGTGGCCCAAATGAATGGCATGGGATCTTCTGCTGGCGGCGTTCCTCCGGGCACTCCACAGCAGGTTGGAAAGCCAGATATCACAGCTAGTGGTGACAGACGGGTAATGATATCTATAATCCAATATATATATCCAATAGGATGAATGATGATCAATATCAATATCCAATATATATATATTATATTATATATTATATATATTATATATGTTATATATATATATATTATATATTATATATTTTATCCAATGGGTAATACCAACTATAGGTAATTCATCCAGGATGGTGATTAGTAGATCCAATACATCATCCAATAGGTAATGATATCCGATATATTCAATAAAATATTCTCGATTTTTTTCATGGTAATACTATGCAATACGATCATCATCCAGGCCACATCCTGCTGTTCAGACCAGAAAGTCAGATGGTTGTTTTTGGCATGCGGCTGATACGGCGCCCTTGGAAGGGTTGTCGATTTTGAGATGTGCCATTTACGATCCCGTGGAAGGGTTGCAAATTTCAAAAATGAGGTTTTCCGAAATGGGGGTATAGGATTTGAAATTTTCGATTTTTTAACGTGTTGCACATGGAAGAGGCACAGGTTGCATATGTTGTCGTATGATCGTCAGGGGGGGGTGGGGGGGGATGTTAACGTTCGTGTCGAGCGCTTCCCTCACGGTACGGAAGAGGCACATGTTGCATTTGTTGTCGTATGATCGTCAGGGGGGGTGGGGGGGGATGTTAACGTTCGTATCGAGCACTTCCTTTACGTTACAGAAGAGGTTGCCGTTGCTGACATCTTGCATTGTCTGACGCGCTTTTTGCGGATTTCCTGCTTGAACCTATGTTGGTCGTGGTTGGATTTCCTCTAGAACCATTATTGCTGGAACTCAACAACTTGATGGAACTTGGAAACACTTAAAAAAATGGCGACCTGAATCCATGCTCCACAAAAAGAAACAACAGGTGTACCAAAAACGGTGCAGTTATGCTTACAGCTGGACTTGGCGTCGCAACGCTGCCTTGTTACAGACTGTAGCATCAGCACTGCCACAAGCACTCTGGCACCGCTAACCTCGAACAGTGGAAAAAAAGAGGATTGAATACCGCCTTGATTGATGTGATTTGGATGACTCAAAATCATAAAATTCTAATGTTTTTTTTTTCACCCTTGAAGAGAAAAATCGAGTCACCGCGCAGGCGAAATTCAAATTTTCACTCTTGAGTCACACGCCTGCCAATCGAAATGAATGTCCATGTTGCACACATTTTTTGACGACTCCTGCAAATACCAGCATTTTCTCTCTTACCCTCAAAAATGACAATTTCAAATTCGTCACCCTTACAAGGGCGCCGAGTCAACCGGTTGCCTTGTTTTTTGTTCCCGTGAGATGGTCCCAGCGTGGTCATCCCCACATCGAAAAAGCGATTCAACCAGCATGGTAACGAACACGCGGTTCCCATCGTGGATGTACCATGATGTACCCCAGTTTTGAACATGTTTGATACACCCAGATATGCTATCTTGTTGGATAACGTCGTTGGTTTTATTATATTCCATTTTATCTCTGTCATACCCCAGTGAGACACACTCATTTGTGCTGTCAAAAGTTGGATTATGTAACATTAGAAACACATAGAAACTTTTAGTTGGATTGTGTAATATTAGAAACATCTAGAAACTGTTAGTTGGATTACAATATATTAGAAACACTAATATTAGTTGGATTATGTATTTTTTTCGAAACACTAACAGAGTCTGGATTACGTAATATTGGAAACACATAGACACATAGAAACACAAATATTGAATCTGGTCGTACCATCATTCTTAGGGATTTTCCGCAGAAAAAATCCCAATGTGCGATGGCTTGACCAGATGCCGATGGAGATGCCTATGGAGCCGGCAGAGGACAGGGTCCCCAATACGCTATGTAATATACACACTGCATATATGGGTAATCATGGATATACAATATATATATATATATTAATATAACATATGTATACATATAATAGTCATAAATAGATATATGATCATATATTGTATATATATATATATATTTACACATTGTAGAGGATTTGTTGCGGGGATCTCGGGAATCCCAGCAATCCGGCTCTTTTGTGCAGGAACCGGCATCTCCGACCTCACCGGCTCACCTGGCCGTTGATTGTGAGTTCTACAAGAAGAAGCCGGGCACTGGAACTGGAAAGATCTGGAAATGTATAGAAGTATATAGAAGTCTCATAAAAATTCTTAGCTCTTCACATTCTTTCGTGACGCACTCCATGTATGTTCATCTGTGAGGTGGTGACACTTTGGATGACTTTGGGCTGTGGTTTGGAGCGCATCGGACAGCTGACCAAATACCAGGCATTTTCTGCTCCCAGGTCGGACAAGTTGATGGAAGAGAACGAGAACATGCGAGAGTTTCAACCTTGGATTTGGGTGAAGGATCGGGGTTGTAGTATTATATATCGTAAGTAGTTTCACTAATATGGGTTTGTTATGGTTTGTCCAAAATTTGGGGCACCCCAAAATCCAATATTCCTGGGCAAACCCATATTCAGAAAAGCGAATTGGAACCATTGGCAGTCGGGATGTGCAAGAAACAAAGGGGTATGCTGGTGGTTAAACCCCTAGTGCCATAGGGGTATGGCCCGGCTGAAAAGGCGGAAACAATGGACCCACACAATTATATACTCATTTTGAAGTATTTACCTTCTCAAATCTTAAACCGTCCATTTTTTTGGGCAAAAAAACAGTTTCATTCCATCCCCAGCTCGCCATGATACAGTAAACCCTCGCAGAAATCAACCATGGGCAACGGAAAATCATTTAGTTCGATGATTTCCCCATCAAAACCCAATTAATATACATATATATATATATATACACACATTATTATATTGTATATACATTTATGTATATTTATATAGTTATGTAGGATTTTCAATTGCCATGACTATCAGATGAGGGTACATCCCAGGCGCCTCAGAGCATTGGAAGAGGCGGTCCGCGCTTTGCAGGGCGTGGTTGAAGAACAGGCACGGCACTCATTGGGAGACGAGCCAGAAACAATGGGGATTTTCGATGGTTTATGGTAATCAATTCCCCGAAAAAAAAAAAAACAGGAAGGCCAAGTCCTACTAAAATTGTGATAATGTACTTTTGTGTCTGTATTTGAGGTTACTCTATATAAGTATATGGGATGAAATGGGGACATGACTATGGCTTTTCTTTTGCAACAAGTTGTAATGAGATGTAATGAGTGAACACAGAGGGCCAACATGGTTTAACTCAATCAATAGGCTTATTTTTTCAGCCAAATATGCACTAATTCTCACCAATCAAAGCATTATAAACCGCTTGGTGGTTGAAAACATATCTTTCAGTTCTCATCTTGGAACTTGGGATGATGATCATCAGTGATGAATACAGTTTCTTGAAACTATCAGATGAGTTTACGGGGGGAAGTGCAACGTATTCCACCTGAGAGGTGAAACACATTTTGTCTGCAGCCCTTCAGAAGAACTTCTCTTGGTGGAATGTTCAGGATTTTTCCAGAAAATCTGCTTTCAGAGTAGTGATTTTGAACATATTTGAACAATATGCAGGCGAGGCATCTAGAATGTGGTTGATTTTACAGAATCCATTGTCATGTCCTTTCCAGCACCATGAAGGACATCAAGCTTCGACATGCTGAAGTGGCTACTTGGCATTGTGACGTTCAACTAGAAAGGTAGGAGAGAGACAGGTTGAATGTACATTGCAAGGTCTGAAAGGGGATGCCTACCAGACTTTGGTGAACACATCGAACGAGAAGATTTGAAGTGAGTTGAATAGTGGCATTGCCGAAGGCGCGGAACACATCCCCAGCGTTGTTTCAGGATCTTCGGGCCAGTGGTTTCCGTTGAGCGTGGGTCCCCGGATGGATGTGGTAGCAGCAGGCTACAAGAACACGCTTGGCCGAAGGCACTTTGTTGGTGAAAACTTTTCAGTAACAAGCCCAAAGTTTCAGATGTCCAACTGGGCTTCAGTAGGTCTCCATACAAATACACGTTATGATGCATATATATATATATACACATGGATATCATATATATATATATATTCTCGAGCGAAGAGTGACGAGTTTCATTTTTTGCCCCAGAAGCCACAATCGATGCCTAACCGACTGTTTGTTCTCATTCAGGCCGTTGCTCTCCTGGAGAAAAGTTCCGTTGAGAGTGGCTTTAAGTGAAGAACATCAACCAGACGTGAAAAGGGGACTTGGAGCCCATAGTATCCAATGACTAATGAGCATCCAATGATCATGGATTATTTCAGTTATCCAATGATCCCATAGTTATCCAAAATAATGACCATAGTATACCATAGTTAGTTTTGATCAACTGTGATTACTTTCATTCAGATGGCACCAATAGCTGTCACTTGCAGCCGATGTTGACTCAGACTTGGAGTACTTCCAGCAATAAGCATTGGAAGTCTCAAGTTGCCCCGGTTTCCGGGACCAGGTGAATGCCAGGCTCAAGGAGGAGTTCTTTTAACCCGAGCCAAAACAGAACATGTTCTGTGGTAAACTGGGGTAAACTGTAATCTTGATTGGTGGCGCCTGGCACCACCTGCTGTGATGCTGTAAGGCGTCACAGCGGATTTCACCGCGAAGAGCGAAAGGCTCATCAGCTTTCCGCAGAATGCTAGCAGTGCGGTGCAACAAATCCAAAGTCGATGTTTCTTCGTTGCACTCTCCGTCACTGTCCCCATGGCCTGGTGATCCTGGTGATGTCGACATATGTCGACCTGATGGCTTTGATAACTTGGTCTGTTTTGAAGCTGGAAACCAGGGACAGCGACTGCAGCTGCGCTGCGAGGCGTCTGAGGCAGCATGTGCTGCGCGATTGGAGGACAGATCTTAACGTCGGTGAATGGTTGAAGACAAACAAAAACAACCATCTTCAAAGGGTTCCCAGAGTCCACCAATCTCTGACCTGCATTTTCTAACCTGATGGTATTGGGGGCTCCCACCTACACAGGTTGGGGTCCCAATGCTTTCTGGCACAAGGGGCAAAAACCCTGGCCGTGGGTCAAGGGGCAACCACTTCGCATGGAGCCAAGCTTTGGATCACGTTCTCTTTCATTATCAGATATTATCAGTCCCTCTATGTCCCTCTCGAACCTCACCCACAATCGTTCACTGCCTCTAAATTGACCGATCCAGTTCAATGTCATGCTATTCACAGAAAAGGTACTGGCAATTCAGAAATAGTGTTAGATAGAAAAGTAGCAGATAGAAAAATCTACCCAGCTATAGAATTCAAGCCAAGGAAGGCGAAGTGATCCTTTTGAAACACCTGGGCCATGGCCACTGGTGAGCAATTGTTGCTGTTGGCGTTCGGCCTCGTCTCATTGCGACACAAAGTTGCGACACAAAAAGTGGATGCACAGAAGTGTGGCAACAAGGATGACGAGGACGTACATATGGATATAGAATGATATAATGATATTATAGAAATAATATGTATATATATATTATATATACATACATATTATTATATACAATGTTCATATAGTCCATAGTGTGTGTAATATCTATATATACTATAGACAGTGTACATACATAGTATATACCTATGGCGTCAAAGACCTACTTCTTTTTGGGTTGAACAATGAACACCTGAGACCAGAGACCAGACTTGCGGCCGACTCTATTGGCCACCGTTCCGTGGAATTAGGATGACTCTGCTGGGGGGACGAACTTTGTTTCCAACATAATGTGGGTGAAACAATAATAAACCATCCCCCAAATCACCATTAATAGGTGGTATAAACCATTCCCAAATGGATGGTTTATTTTTATTTTACCCACATTACACAAAATTTATGATTCAAAGTTCAGAAGGTCTCCAAAGTGTGCGGTCTTTCAAGAATGGCTTTCCCGAGACACCCTTCAAAGCTTAGATTATGAGTTCCTTCCATGCCGGGAGAAGTGTCCGTAGCCATCAATAGCCCAAATATCGGCCTGGACAAACGCCTCGTTTTGGCCATGGCACCTCTTCCACAAATCGTGCAGGAGAAACCTTTTTCCAAGTCGCAGGCAAGAATGGATGATGGAATGGAAAGGAACGCAAAGGAGAGAAGAATCCATTTCTGATGTTAAAAACCCCGCCAGAAACCATGGTTTAGTAGGGGATTTACACACAATTGGGACCATAATTTAGGGGATGTTAAACGTTGGGGGCATGGGATTAGATAGAACAGTGGAAAAGTATGGAAAAGTGCCAAGAACTTCCTGATGAACAGTGGGGGACCGCCCTGCCACTTGGAGATATACTCGTACTTGAACACCGGATGAAAAGACAATGACAATGACCAGCGAAGTGCAAGGATTCAGCACAAAGCAACCAGGGCAGACAGATGATTTTGACATATTTTGACAATTTTTCACGTATTCAAAGACATGCTGAAGCTTTTGAGTTGAAGCTTTTGAGACCAAATGATTCCGCTCAACAGATAGACATGGATTGAAAAATGACACTGGGACTTGCCGCAGGTACGAGTGGGCAAGGGAAAGCCTTTGCCATATGGATGCACTCAAGCCATAAAAGGACCGGGGTCGCTACTTGCAAAAGTATTCCACACCCGAATGGGACCCCAATTGAGCAATTTTCAACAGTGTGTCGGTGTTTCTAGTGGTTTGTAGTCATAATTAACTATATATATACTATATATATACTATATATATATACTATATATATACTATATATATATACTATATATATACTATATATACTATATATATACACTATATATATACTATATATATATAGTATATATATATAGTATATATATATAGTATATATATAGTATATATATATACGTAATATTAATACTAATATATAATACCCTAATCTATAGTATATATATCAGTATATATATATGTATATTATAGGATATATATCTCGGTATATATAGTACGTCTATAATATCGTATATATAGATAGTCCTCTCCTCTATTCTCCTCTCTAGTCTATCTATCGTATCATTCTCTCCTATATCTCTCAACTCTCTGATATACTATATCTAATACTATATCTATCTCCTCTCTATCTCCTATCTAGCTCTACTATATATATCTACTAATATCTGTCCTCTGCTCCCTACTCCTATCTCTATCCTATGATCTATCCTCATCTATATAGCTCTCCTATCTCACCTATCTACAATAACTATTATCTTCTCCTATATCTATATCTATTCACCCCTGTTTTTCCAACCCAGCCTAGTTTTCCGTACAAGTCCTGCCACAGGACTCAATTTCAGCATTTTGGCGCCCGACTCACTTGTCCCTCGGTTTATCGGGCTTGTCGTGCATGTCACCAAATCCTTCATGGGATCATATGAATTATGGGACAATGAATGGGATTGTCATAGAATTGGATGATGGGAAAATTTTAACCGGAAAGCCCGATATTTGATGGTAAAAACCATGGTTTCCTGTAGATTTTCCCTTAAACCAATCCAGTGAGATTGGTGCAAACATGGGGATGGCTTCATGCGAAATGCGCTGATGTCAAGGATGGGCTATCTGCTGTTGAGTAACCAAAATGGTTGGTCACCTGGTAGTTGTCGAGCCATCAAATCGGAGATCAATGGGCCCAACGGGCAAGGATTTTCTTAGCACCATCTCTCCATCTCTCCATCTCTCCATCTCTCCATCTCTCCTCGCATCTCAGGCAGCATGGTTTGTAATTGAAGTACCCTCTGCGCAGGAGTGTCCCCGATGCCCAGGCCTCCCAGGCCTCCCAGGCCTCCCAGGCCTCCCAGGCTCTGTGCATTCGGTAATGGAATTTTGGTTGCAATATGTTCTAAGATGTTCTAAGTGTCCAATTGGAGATGAACAGTGGGAGTGTTTTTTGAGATCATATTGGATATAATGTATATAAATGTATATAAATGTATATAAATGTATATAAATGTATATAAATGTATATAAATGTATATAAATGTATATAAATGTATATAAATGTATATAAATGTATATAAATGTATATAAATGTATATAAATGTATATAATAACATATTATATATATATATATGCACAGTATACATGTTGGATGATATTATATTGACATATTGGTGCAGGTTGGCCCTCTAAGGGACCAGATATCATAGCAGCCGCCCTGCCCAATCGTGCCGCAGGAGAACGTTGTGACCTACCCTGGAGTGAAAGGCAACTTCCTGCGCTTTCAGCTTCAGTCCCCGATCAATCGCACCGGCAACACTTGGCACATCCAGGCTGCCGGCTGGACCGATGGGGCTTGGTCCAAAGGGATTGACCTGCGTTTTGTATGGTCCTTTTATGGGGAAAATGATGGTCAACCACTCTTCTTTTCTATAGGTATCCTGTTAACCCATCTAATGGTAGGTTGAGAAATGCACTTTCGAGATTTCAGCAGAAGCGAACAGCTCCCATCCTTGAGGTCTTGATGCACTGCAAGTGGAATTGAACATTTATTTTATGAGGATTTGATTCCAGTTGAAATCTAGCACACCCTTGATGGATCTTTCTTCAGAGTTCTACCAATTCTAGAATTTTCTAGGATCTATCATCTATCATGATCTATCGTGTTCATTGCGGATGATGGAAGAATCCATACTTCGACCGCCAGATTGCAGCGCCCTTCTCCCTAGAGGGGCTCCGCTACGGTTGGCACATTGACCCGGAGCCTTCCGATGACGGTGAGCCGGTCTTTGAGCAACCTGTGCTGGATCCCTGTGCGCGGTGCTTGTCTTCCGGAGGCACCGGTGGCTACTGAGCCCCGCGAAAAGTCGTGGTGTCTTTTCATGTCGTAGATCGATTTGTTTGTTGGTCTCATATTTTTCACTTGCTTTGCTTGCTTTTCTTTAAATAGTTTT